ATCAAGCAGGCCATAAAGGCGTCCTACAATTGTAGGAACCACTGACGATATGGCCCACCGGTAATGACGGTGATTTACCAGTCTGTACCTGTACGAACATAAAGAAATATAGGGACAGCGGAATAAGGGATCTGCCTACATACAGTGCAACCCGCTTATAATGGACTCGGCGGGACTGTGACAAATAGTCTATTATAGGCGCATGACCACCATGTTAAAAGAAACACTTTTTTAATGAAAAAGTCAGCAGAAATAACATATTAAGAGCTTAAAATGTGTTCAACATGTGTTACATAAATAAAGATACATACAAAAAAGTTATACGTAACATTGAAATATGCATTTTTTTCAGAATCTGATACACATATCACAGCCATACGTACTGTGTATGTATGTGTAAAAACCGTAAATTATTTGGTAGAAAAACTAGTAATTTTCATTTGAACAGATTGTTTTTTTTGTACTTATAATTTGTGTAAGTGTGGCTGTACTGTCTTCTTGCTAAAAATAACATTGCTACTTTTTCACGCAGTCTAATGCCTCCTTAGTTGTGACTGGAAGCTCGTCTTCGTCGTTGTTTTCTAGTTCGTCTACCTGTTCGTTATCAACGGATCCTTCATTAACCAAATTCGAGTCTGAGAATACCTGTGTTGCTATTAAATTATTGTCAACATTTACATACTCATTAAATTTGTCTATATTCAGTAAACTATTAATTTTCAGTAAATCACTCAATGGAATTTCATCTTCTGGATTAACATCGTTGACTATTTCGGTTATGTTTTTCACTAAACTAGCATGGCGAAAACAATTACGAATCGTTTCTGGAGTAACCAATTCCCATGCAATAGTTCCATAATTTTCATCAACATATGTTTCCGATACTTACATTTGTTTAAGACTCCAAATGACACCCTGGTCCATTGGTTGCAGAACTGATGTCACATTGGGTGGAAAAAATTGAAGATTGATGTTAAGTGAAATATTTGGATGAGCAGTTATCGGCCAAGAGCAAAATTTTACGATTTTTCATAAGGCGTTCAGCGTCCCACTTTTTAACATTCTTCAAAAATTGATGAAGTCATCCAAGCTTTATTATTTCCAACATAATCGACGGGAATTGTTTTATTATTTTTGAAACACATGGGATTCTTAAATTTCCCTGAAATAAAAAAAGTCATACATTCTTTGCAGCACTGCTATTGAATATCAAAAAAATTAGGACATGAATTTCTATTTATTCACTTACCTATTATCAATAGTTTCCGTTTTTCAGTACCAGAAGCATTAGCACAAATCATAACAGTTATTCGCTCTTTTGATAGTTTCCCTCCATTTCCAGTTTTATCTGGTAGCATTCTATAAAATATCCCGGTTTCATTTGCATTGAATTTGTTATCATCTGAATAATCCCTGCATATTACGGGCCAAATTTGGAAAATCCAGTCATTGGTAACGTTCTTGTTAACTGAAGCTGACTCACCACACATTTTTCCAAAAACAATGTTATGTCTTTTCTTAAACCTGTCTAGCCAACCAGAACTACATTTGAAGTAATCTCCAATCAATTTCCCAAATTCTCCAGCCTTTGTTTGTAGCATAGGTCCTCTTATTGGAAAATTATAAGCACGCTTTTGTTGAAACCATTTAAACAGCATATCATCGACTTGGGGATGCAGGGATAGCCGCATTTTTTCTTTTGACTATTTGATTTAAAGTCATTTTTAATTTTTGTCACGGTTTTTCCAAATATTTGACAAGGTGGATTTTTTTATAGCTATACGAGCACATATATCAGCTTGAGATGAACCCTGCTCAAGCTCACTAATTATTGTGAACTTTTCGTGTAAAGTGAATGCACGTTTCGCACTTTTCGACATGTTTATAACTCTAATAAATACAGTATACCTAACACTGGTGGCCAAGTTCGAATGCAAACTGCGGAGCCAAACCGCCGTAAACGATTGCATCAGCTAAATCTGCTTCAGGGAACTACCAAAATAGCTTGCATATGATTAAAACAGTCCGCTATTTTGAGCGAGTCTATAATATCCGAGGATTTTACATGCAATTGTTTATAGGACCGTAAATTGTGTCCATTATATACGGGTTTCCATTACAAGCAAGTTATAAGTGGATTCCACTGTACTTATTTGTAGGCAATCCAAATCTACGACCCTCGTGTGCCCGACAGCCTGCCCGGTTTTTCATTCGCTGGTTAACTTTCGAGTTTAGTAACTATAACTTGTAAGCTAACTATTTGTTGTCCGTAAATCCATTTTTCAATCTCTGGTTAACTTATAATTTACGGTTGATGATATCGTATTTTGTGGGTTTTGTGATGCTCGATGCATGCAAAAGAGGTTAGGCATTGTGGTGTCAGTAACGTTGCAAGGGGGTGGCGGGGGCAATCTGCACCGGGTGTCACCTTTTTTTGGGGTGACACCTACCCGGTGACTCAACTTTAAGAACAATGTACAAACATAAACAAACTAAATCTAAAACACTAGCTCAGCTCTATGCAACGAATTCGAATACTTGGGTAGAAAACGTAAACAAAGGATTTGTTTGTAACGTTATAGTTAGAGCGAGACACAGACTTGAGTGGTTACCAGTTTTCTGCGGTGTTGTCACATCTTGTTCAAAATCAATGACTGCCTTCACGCAATCAATAGATAAATAATAGCAGTGAACAGTGCAAAAATAATCGTAAAATGATATACGTGGTGATAACTAAATAAAAAGTATGTCTTCAATATGTTGTATTTTCAAATCGAACAACTCATATGTATGTACAGTTATGAATTGTTTGTAACATCTGCACCGAAAAGAAAGTTTTTGGTTTCAGTACCCTAATACATTTCATATTATAATGTTTCCACTAACTGATGCAGTGTTATCATAGCTTCAAAACCTACCAATTTCACGGAACTTGCAAAAATTGAAACAAATGAGATAATTTTTCGAAAAATAAACCTTACAGCGATTTCCGAAAACGTCTTGAACTATGCTTATTGTGGTTTCGTACTGAGCATTTCGTAATACATCTGTAATAAGCTCCGAAAGCATTTAAGAAATATGTAATGTTATATCCCGGTGATATTTCCTGAAAAACTAATATGTGCGTACTAAACGTGGCAACGCTGTGGTCTCAAATTAAGAACAGCTGGGCTGATTTCTGGTGTTTTATGCTGCGGCTCTTTGTGAAATTCAGGGGAGCTTTGCTTTGCTCATGTTTACGTGTGTTTTCCGTGATATTTTCTCAGAGTTATGAGGATTTTGAAACATTTCAGTGGAATGCATAGCATTTTGGAGTATTCTCGAAGATGGTGTTTTTTAGATTTATTTTTAGGTGCACACCTTTTTCGGTAAAAAATCTCGAAATATCTAAGTTATACTAAGTGACATATAAATCCGAACACCCAGTTTAAATGGTTTTATTTTAATAAAATTTTATATAAGTACTTAAGGAAGCATAATTAGTAAATGATAAAAATTTCAAAATGATTGCACTGCTTTAAAGCCCTTTGACCTTTAATAATGTGTGGATGCACCCTGATATGCTACGCATTCTCCAACGCGCCTAGGAATGCTTCTGATCAGGTGGTCAATGTCCTCCTGTGGTATCTCATTCCAGGCAACCACCAACTCCTCTCGAAGTGCTTCTAGAGTCTGAGGAGGACGTTGCAAATTGAGCAATCTCCTACCCATCATATCCCACACGTGCTCAATTGGGGATAAGTCGGGAGATCTTGGTGGCCATGGTAACTATGTGATATCATTATGTTGAAAGAAGTCTATTGTGACTCTTGCAACATGTGGTCGGGCATTATCTTGTTGGAAAGTTGGATCTGCCAGGGTGTCAAGATAGGGTAAAAGATGGGGTTCTAGATCTTCGTGGATATAACGCTGCGCGTTCATGTTACCTCTGATGAAGATTAAAGGTGACCTGGAACCATAAGCTATAGCACCCCAAACCGTAACTCCAATAGTGTGATGAACACTCCTTTCACCACGTCGCCTTCTAACCCTGGCACGACCATCGTGCATGCCTAAACAAAATCGAGACTCGTCACTAAAGACAATACTGTTCCATTCCTGATCCCAGAGTGACCGTTGTCTGCACCACTCAAGGCGATTACGTCGGTGTAAGGGTTAGAAGGCGACGTGGTGAAAGGAAGAATCCACAGTTTTTTGTTGAAAGACATGTTCATCACACTGTTGGAGTTATGGTTTGGGGTGCTATAGCTTATGGTTCCAGGTCACCTTTAATCTTCATCAGAGGTAACATGAACGCGCAGCGTTATATCCACGAAGTTCTAGAACCCCATCTTTTACCCTATCTTGACACCCTGGCAGATCCAACTTTCCAACAAGATAATGCTCGACCACATGTTGCAAGAGTCACAATAGACTTCTTTCGACATAATGATGTCACATTGTTACCATGGCCACCAAGATCTCCCGACTTATCCCAAATTGAGCACGTGTGGGATATGATGGGTAGGAGATTGCTCAATTTGCAACGTCCTCCTCAGACTCTAGAAGCACTTCGAGAGGAGTTGGTGGTTGCCTGGAATGAGATACCACAGGAGGACATTGACCACCTGATCAGAAGCATTCCTAGGCGCGTTGGAGAATGCGTAGCATATCAGGGTGCATCCACACATTATTAAAGGTCAAAGGGCTTTAAAGCAGTGCAATCATTTTGAAATTTTTATCATTTACTTATTATGCTTCATTAAGTACTTACACAAAATTTTATTAAAATAAAACCATTTAAACTGGTTGCTCGGATTTATATGTCATTTAGTATATTTCAAAAAATCCTGAAAAATGACATTTTCTGTAAATAAGGTCTCATTTCGGCAAAAATACCGAAGAATCGGTAGATTCAGCAACACTGATTATCAGTACCCCAGTGGCGTGCTTCTCTTTTCCATTTTAATCCTCGACTGTAGTATTCGATGTGTCCGATTGTGAATCCTAATCTATCCTAGTATTACGTGCAGGACGGGCGCAAGCTGGGATACGGCGCGATGCAGGGCATCCCTATGGTGGCGTCATCGCCCGTACGACATGATTCGCCCCTAAGCGGGGTGCACCCCTTGGAGGTGCACGCATACCAACCGCCCTGGAAGGCGCTCAGTGATTTCGCGCTGCATTCGGACCTGGATCAACCGGGACACCAACCAGCCTTCCAGCAGCTTGTCAACCAGGTAAGAATGATAAGTTATATTGAAAAGGCATAACAGACAGCAGGTGTGTTAAAACAACTGTAGTGAATTTTTAGTCTTCTTGTTTTGTGGGTTGGTTATTTGTTTGTTTATTTAAGATTTATTCAGCATGATTGCTACAATTACTAAAAACTGAACAATGACATAACATACAGATATTTAGAAAAAACAAAATTTGCATGTCTAATAATTTTCAGCGTCCATTAAATATTCCTTTAATTTTCTTTTAAGCATCTTTAAATTACAAGTAGACTTTATATCATTGTCTAGTTTATTAAATTCAAGTAATCCTTTCTGAAATATTCATTTGCTAGTTATATTAGTATTGCAATTTTGTAAATGAAAATATATGTTTCCACTTGTATAACAATTGTGGTAATTATTATTCAATTCTATGTAGTCTTCTAAATGTTGTGACAAAAGATGATTTTTTATTTTAAGGTGACACGTCTCTTTTTTGATTTTTTTTTCAAACCGTTACAAATTTCCGAACGATATATACTGCTCTTTTTCCGTCTTGGCGAAAATCACAAAACTCGTGTTACTCGAATGGCTGCCAAATCCAAACTAACCTCTCAGTCAGTCTAAAGTTTGTTGTGCCGCCGTTTGACAGATAATAACACCAACTTTCCTCATGAATGCCCTATGTCGCCAAACAAGGGTACTTATTGAACAAGCCTTGTATATCCATATGTGGGGAATCCCTGAAGATCCGACAAGCATGGTTGCCACATGTGTTCAAATCAAAATTGACTAAATCTTGTAGAAAATCCAAAAAACTGAAAAAATAAACATTGCTGACGTAATCACCATCTAGACCCCCATCCATCACGTCATCAAAAATAAGCAAAGTAAATCCCCGCCACCCTTTAGTGCGTACACACAACTTGAATGGTCTCTTTGTCGCATTGTAGCTTGACTTTAACATCAACTTATTTTTCTAGATGCATGGCTACGATCTACCTCCGTCCATGGGCGGCCCAGGCGCGGGCGGTCAAGGCGGCGGCCCCCAGCATCCCGGCGCCCTTTTAGGCCTCGGGGGTCCTGGCCCCGGCGGCGGCGGTGGGGCTCCGCCTCCTCCAGATGCCATGGCACACCCTGACAGCACCGACAGTTACGTCACGTATGGAGACAGCGACGACAGTCTGCCAGCCAGCCCCTAACGCAGCCCTAGGTGCCGATGATTAGATAACGCCAGCGCCGAGGTCATCTGCGGATTGTTGATGGGATTGTGGAGGATGTAAAAGAGATGCGACCAGTAAAAATGGAAGAATCTGTTTTTTTATTTTTGTTGAAGTTTTTATTAACAACCAACGGAGGCTAAAATTCATTAGAAACTTTTCGATCTCTTTACTGCATAGGTACCCTCCATTTCAAAAATAGTGTCATAGACTTCGTTATTATAAGGCAGCCTATGAATATGAAACTTACAACTTACACCAATTTTGTTGTTACAAATTAATGAAACTTCTGGAAATTGGTGAAAATTATGCTCAAAGATTCCATTACATACAAACAGGCCAAGCTAATAAAAGCGTGTTAAAAATCGCTAGAATCATGTGTCAAAATTATCATAGCGGTTTAACTTTTAACTTTAACTATCGAAATTCATTCAGAATCAGGCCTCCAGTAATGGAAAAAAATCTTCCACGTATCAAATCAGTTTGAACAACGTTGAGAGAGTAAATAACTGGTATTTGAAGCCTCTGTTGGTTTTTAATAAAACATTTAAGAAAAGTTAAAGTACGACCCCGACGCACACAAACATGGAAGATATCACCAATATTTTATTTATGTTTCAATAAAAAACGAACTGAGGCCAGACAGTTCAACCACATTTGTATACGGAACCAAATTCACCACGAATGACGTTTATTTTCATCAACTTAATAATTTAGTTTTGAATTCTGGGGATTGGTGCTTGCTACTACCCTTATTGTACAATAATTTGAGAATTCTTATTTAGACGCTAAAAAATAACTTCACTGACTTCCCGGTCGTCATAGAAATATCACTTGCGTTTTTGCATTTATACCTGGGTGTCCCAAAAAAATTTGAAATTATTTTAATAGAAAAACTATGGAAGATATTCGAAAACGGTTTTCGCAGCAACATGGATTGCTTACTCGTGTACTCTTATAAATTATTTGGAAGAATACAGGGTGACATTATTCCATGGCACAACAAACATGTTTTTTTAATGAAACACCCTATATTTGGAAAGACTTTTCCAAAACAAGAATACTGATGTAATACACATATATAGTTTATATATGTATATTACATCAGTATATATAGTGTTTTAGTTGTCACTTGTTATTTTATCATTATTCTGAAAAAATGCTTATTTTTTAAGACTTTGAATTCCCCCATTTTGCTCAGATTTCCAATGAATTTTGAAGAGAAGTTGAAACAGTACGTACACTACTTCAAGCTTAACCGCAGTTACCAATAATGATATCTATATACAAGGTGTTGCAAAGCGCAAAATGTTTTTTGACTGAATGAAACGCCCTGTATATTTTCCGTCATCAGATAAGCTTTCAAAAGCTTTTTTTTGTCTAAGGTTTATACAAGATTATTTAACGGTTATTTCTAAAAATTCTAGAAAATCGTATAATAGGGAATATGCACATTTTTTGTATTTCCTATCCATTATTCACGTTAATTTAAACCGTTAACACATTTCATTCATGCAAATGTCTTTATTTTTGCAATTAAATATTTCAAACTGCAATGCCAAAGACTTTGATTTAAACGCGCTTTGCAGTGTCGTCACAACACATGGTTCGTCATTTTATGCTATATTTAGGCCCGTATCGTCAGTCGTTCCTACAATTGTAGGACGCCTTTATGGCCTCCTTGATAGTCATACTCCTTTCTCTCCCTCAAAAATTTCTAGATTGCACCTGTTCTGTGTCAGCGTCAGCGCTCTCCTATTGTAAAGATATGTTTTCTTTTTAAATTGTAGGAAATTTCAGGCTGATAAAACATGATATAACTCAAAAGCATGCACAATTTGATGCAAATAGATATTTGTGACATAACCTCAAAATATAGCACTGACACGGAAAAGTAGAAAACTATGACAATAAAGGCGTCCTACAATTGTAGGAACGACTGACAATACGGGCCTTAGTTAATTTGTTCTCAAGTTTTGAAAGTAAACAAGTAAACGTTGTCTGGGGGCAAAATCCTCGTGGTTGGTATATGCACGTCCACTCTCAAACGGTAAAACATCTTTATTCAAAAGGGGCGTAACCCATTGTACTAGAGAGCCCAGTAGCAAGTTTCGCGTTTTCTTTGGAACTGCTCAAAGTACTTGTTTGACAGTCAATGACAGTTACAAATGTTTGGCTGCTCACTTGCCGATATCGTGACGTCATGCCAATGGTGTTGCGATTCGATATTTTAAGTTTCCCCAGTATTTTTTCCATTTCTTATTTACCCTGCGTAGTATCGTCAGTCGTTCCTACAACTGTAGGACGCCCTTATGCTTATGGCCTCCTTGATTTTCATAGTTACCTACTGTCCGTGTCAGCGCTCTAGGCCGAGGTTATGTTACAAATATCTATTTGCATCAAATAGTTCGTACTTTTGATTTATATCATCTGTTATATCAGCCTGATTTTTACTAGAATTCAAAAAGAAATTGGAGAGCTTTGATGCTGACACGGAACAGTAGAAATGAATAAATAGCCCAGACTTTCTAAAGGAGAGAAAAGTCTATGAAAATCAAGGTCATAGGAGGCCCTCCCTTATTGTAGGAAGGACTGACGATACGGCCCTAATACTCGTAATTTTATAGTGCATAAGTAAAAAATAATGTTGAAGGTGGCTTTCTCTAGCAATATAAACTGTAAATAAAAAAAATAACCGATAGGTGAACCACATGCATATTCCCCTATTATCTATTTAGACACCACTTCGTATCTCCTGTGGAAACAATAACTTCTCATAATTCTTGAAAAGAGGACTAGCACATTCCCTAAATGTCTTTTTTGTTCATGAAAAACCCCTTTAAAAACCATTATTTAGTTGTTATTTGTTTATCTACGAACGCATCAATTCAGAAAACGATGTCACATATTAATTAATCTTAATATTGTATAGAAATAGATTATAAGTAATTCTTGGATACTTCTTACCATTTTGAAAATTTGACTAGGCGTCACAAGTTGAGGGCACACTCGAATAAATTATTCTAGTGATTACGTGACTGAAGATTCTGTCAGAAATGCACACCTATAAGATATCAATCTTGCTGCGAAGACCGTTTTCGAATATCTTTTACAATTTTCGTATTAAACCATTTTCCATTATCGTTGGGACACCCTATATAAAATGTGATTACCATGGGCGCCAGCAAAAAATTTTTTCAGGAGGCGCGATTATCGGCAAGAGCTATTTTTTGTGGAAGTGTATCTGCAAATTTTCTCCGAGGGTCCTAAAATCTCCAAAATCATGCTAAATATGCAAATCGGGTCTAGCCACATTCTCAGGAGGGACGTGCCCTCTCCTTCCTCCACCCTGCGGGCGCCCATGGCGATTACCAGAATTGTCTGGCGGTACTCGCCCATTACACCTTACTATTTGATATTAAAATCGTACCAAGTATGGCATCTAGCAGTGCGAGTATGCCCCGCATGTGATTCCTTTTGGTATATCGTCATCAAAAAGAAGCTTTTCACTCTATTCGCTCCAAAAACCCGTAAAGTGTGTTGTCACATATTTTTCATTTCACCAGATAGTAAATCATCAAAAGCGATATTTTAGGTTGCTCTTCAGTCTGCTTTGTTTTTTATCTATCTAAATAAAAAATCATCACTTCAATGAATCTCCTGCACGTGATGTCAGAAGTTGCAGGTAAGGGTACGTTCAGATCACTCACATGCCCATGGGCGCCCGCAGGGAAAATTTGCAACTCCCCGCTCTTCAAAAAGTTTTAGAGGCAGGTATATTTTAGCAAAAACTCTCTTCCGATGATCGCCCTCCCCCTCTCCCTCTGAGAAAAAATCCTGCGGGTGCTCATGCAGCTCGCTCAATATTTTTTCGCGAGATCCCGTAGTGAATGGATCAGGAACAGTGGGAATTTCCCCCTCCTCCCGAAGATTTGACAGTTTCAAGTTACACCGGGAGTGGTTAGGTGGCGCATGTTGCGCAAAATGTTTGCTTTGAGCTCCTTGATAAACTTAGTTGCCTTCTTTGAATCTGAAATAAAAAGACCGATCATTTTTGTGCAATGTACATATATGTCAATGAAATCAACCGTTTGATATGACAAGTGCGGTTCCTATAAGCATTTTTTCGCGAATCCAGTGCACTACTGGGAACAGATACTGAGATTTTCGCGAAGAAGGAGAATAGGGGAAGGCGGATGTGACGTCATCCAAATGGCAAAAAATCACGTGGTTCTGGCATCCGCCTAACGTCGGTCAAGTACTAGCGAGTGACAGGTCTTACGTTAAAGTCATTTAGAAAACAGACATCTCAATTGAAAATTTGACTTCCCAGTGCCGAAAATTGAATGAAATTATTAAATCATAAATGGAGGAACACGTCCACCTGATTTTAAGTGACGAGGGAGAAGGTCATCGAAGATACAGGAACCACACTTATATATATATATATATATATATATATATATATATATATATATATATATATTGCACAAAAAACGATCGGTCTTTTTATTTCAGATTCAAAGTAGGCAGCTAAGTTTATCAAGGATCTTAAAGCAAACATTTTGCGTAAGATGCGGTATCTAACCACTCCCGGTGTAACTTGAAACTGTCAAAACTTCGAGAGGAAGGGGAAATTCCGTTCCCGCCCCATTCACTACAAGAACTCGCGAAAAAATCTCTAATATTTACGATGACCTTCTCCCTCGTCACTTAAAATCGGGTGGACTCGTTCCTTCATTTATGATTCAATAATTTAACTCGATATTCGGCACTGCGAAGACAAGTTTTATGTTGAGATGTCTGTTTTTTAAATGACATTGACATAAGACCTGTCACCCGCTAGTACCTCACCGCCGTTAGGCGGTTAACCATACCTTTGTGATTTTTTGACATTTGGATGACGTCACCCCGTTCTTCGATAGAAAAATTTTAGTATCAGTTCCCGGTACTGCACTAGTGCACTGTGCTACACCGTCGACTCGTGAAAAAATCTTTAATGTTTGCCCATCGTATATAAACGTGCGTCAGAAAATGGACGCTCGTACAACGCCACTAAAAGCCGAGTATCTCAATACACGCGTTTTTCCTCCTGTGTATTTTGAAGTTTGACGTCACGTGCATTCAATTCCTAGATGTATGTTGTAAATGATCTAGTGTCTGAATTACAATATACTGGTCACTGATGTTTCTTAAGCATTGACTCATTATTCACGTGCAATCAATGATATACCTATTTAGTTGCTGACCCTTGTCATTTCAATTAGAACTTTACCACTATACGCGGAATTTATTATTATGAAAACTACTGGAAGTGTTTTATACTTCAGAAATTGATGAAAAATGTAACTAACCAAATAATGTACATACATTATAACTGTAAAATAAGTGTAATATGTCCACTTTCTTTGTAAATTTTGTTGAAAGATTTACATATTTGTCCTGATATGTAGATGTTATTTCATTTTAGGTAATAAATTGACAAAAAATGTATGATAATTTTGAAAATATCCGTAATCATAATTTATTACAGTGATTTGATGAAATTAATTCATGAATGATCTGAGATAATTGTAAATAATATTGTGTAAAATAATTTGTAAATAAATATTGTGAAACTTCAGTTATATTATAATTCTTTTCGCACACCCTGGAACTTTCTCCTCAAAAGTACAGTGTCTACATTGTATACCGTTGACCACTTTGTAACAACCCTTCGTCACAAGTTTTCTATATTATTATATGAGGTTGTCATATATACGTTTTATGTAAAACCTACAAAATGGTGAAACTCGGAAATAAGGCACGGCCATCAGTCCTCGTGATCAAGATCAACAAGTCACATGACCAATGTTAATAGGTCACGTGACTAAGGTTAATGTACCATGTGACCATCAAAAATGTTATTCATTTGCTATCTGTCAACTGTCACATATCCAATATGGCCGTCCTAACCACGCCCCTTATCCAAGTTGAGCATTGATAGAAATGACAATATTATGTCAAGTGCTACATGTTCTGTGTTTGACAGTTGACATATTTTATAACCTATGTTATCAATATCTTCAACGTAATCAACAATTCTAAGATCAGATATAAAAGGGGGCTCATAAGATAATAACAACGTTTTTTATCCAAACACCACCCTATAACTCCCTACAAAGTGCAGAGTGTCCTTTTTGAAAGTATTTAAACCATCCAAATAGAATGGCTTCAGACGGCGAAGATATGATCACTGATCAAGAGAAGGTCCGTATAGTATCAGATTTCATCTTGCATTCGCCTCCAGGAGAGTTCAACGAGGTCTTCAATGACGTGCGGAAGCTATTGAACAATGATGACCTGCTGAAGGAAGGGGCCAGCGGAGCTTTCGCCCAGTATAACAAGGACCAGTTGACGCCTGTTCGAATTGAAGGGGCAGACAGTCCAGTGCTCATCACCGAGTACAACGATTTGGGGAATAGCAGGTTCTATGATCCCAGGAGTAGACAGAGCTTCAGGTAAGATACTGTTACCTTTGTAACATATAACCTAGGTCCATTGAGCTAAGCCAAAAGAAAGACATTTTAGGCAAATGTCACACAATTGGTATGTACTGTGATCTGTCAGTATTTATCTTGAAATGTGATATTGACCATACAGCCTGGATATCCATAATCATTGTGTATGAGGTTACATAGAAATCCACTTATAGACAAAATCATCAGTAAGTGTCAGTGTCACATTTGTCATCAAGAAGCATCTGATAAAGAAAAACTGTCAGCTTTTTTTACTAATTATATAGCCTATAGCATAATGAATAGATGACTTCTTGCCTGTAATGTCATAAAACTGTCCATAAATGTGAAAATTAGTTATTGGGTTTTGAACATCTTAAAAAATTACCTAAAACCTCTTGTCTCATTTTAACTGTGTTTTCAAATCCTCAGTGTGGAACTATATTATCCTTTAAAAATCACAGGATTGTTCAAAAACAATGAAAATATGTTTCTTTTTGAATTGCCCGGAATTTCTTTTTTGCATAAAAGTTTCTATTTTCCTTAAATCTTAAAATTCATTTTCATAGAACAATATGATACTTCTATCTTATGAATATAGTTGTTGAGTTCATTATAAGGAATTATTATGTTAATTATGACAAATTCCAATTTTTCTGCTTGTTTCAAAAAATATTAATGCTGCATATATACAGTATTCCTTAATGATATGCGAATATTTAAGGGTGTGAATCTACATGAAAAATTAATTTTAGTTTGCTTTATAAACTATGGTCCAAAAATGTTTCCTTACAAAAACCCGGGGTTTGAAGTTTTAGGGAAAAAATAGAAATTAATTAATATTTTCAGGACCGTTTCAAATATTTCACTGATACTAAGTTTGTAGTGAAAATTAATAAAGCTGCATATTTGTCAATGCAAAAATAATTTTTAGCTTTAACAGTGTCGTGCGTACGGGTATTGACTTCAATATTTTTTAAGAAAAAAATAGTACGGCAATGTTTTTTTTGCCATATAAAACTTATTTTTGAATTGCCGTTCAATTTAAAATAAATGATCTCTCTTGAGTTGCTTTCCTTCGACGCACCATTTTTAATTAAAAAAATAAAAACTGTTCTATTGTCTAACTTGCAAAATTATTATTAATTTAATTGGAAAAATTAAACACATCAGGGGTAATGAACAACAACAACTGACAACATAAACATAACATTAAAACCAATGATGTGATTACTAAAATTGTTGAAAATGGCCCCCTTTACTTAGTATGCATGCTTCCGCCCTCCTTCTCATGGAATTGCGCACTCGTTGAAATATCACTGGTGTGTTTTTTATTCTATCACAAGCTTCAACTATTCTTTCTCTTAATTCCTCTACAGTGTTAATTGGACTTATGTACACTAGTGTCTTAAGATAGCCTCACAAAAAGGAATCTAAACTGTTGAGGTCTGGGGACCTTGATGTCCATTCTTGGGGCCCACCACAGCCAATCCTACGATTTGGATAAACAGTTTGTAAATAATTACGAACCACTCTGAAATGCCCTGGTACACCATCATGCTTGTACCACATATTGTTTCTTATTACTAATGGAACTGTTGTTGAAGAAAATTGAGGTAAGTCTGTCCGCCAAGTCGTCCCGGCAAGAAGAATGGGCCAATAAAGTGGTTGCCAATAATTCCTGCCCATACGTTACCCGAAAATTGGTGTTAGAAATGGGTTTCATTATGGCATAGCGATATTCTTCTCCCCACAAATGATTATTGTGAAAATTCTGAATGGCATTTCGAGAAAAATTAGCTTCATCCGTGAACAGAATGATTGATTCAAATTGCGGATTTTGTGTAATTTTTTGGAGATACCACTGACAAAAGGTCACACGCCTTGGAAAATCAATGGAAAGTAATGACTGTACTCTTAAAATATGGTAAGGATACGACAAAAAATCCACTAAATTTCTCCAAACAATTTGATTGCAAATATTTAAGTGTCTAACGATCTTCCTCGTACTCGTTTCAGGATGTTCTTCGACTTCTTGCAGCACTGCTCCTCAATTTCAGGTGTTCTCACACTTAGAAGTCTACCTTCAGATGTTCCTTTTCGGACAGAACCAGTTTCAAGAAGACCACAATGTATATTAGAAAAGGTTCTGCTATCTGGCAAAGCACGATCGGGATATCTCTGGTGATAAATCCGTCTAGCTTGCTCACCATTACCGTCAGCAAGGCCATATACGAAATGCATTTCCGCCATTTCTGCATTTGAATAATTCACCATTATTAACAAGATTGTAAAAACTAAATAATGAAAAAGATGTCACAGTGAACAGATTTGAATAACAGAGACTTGTTAGATGTCAAAAGCCAGTGACATATTCCAGAGCAACTAGATATTTATCGCTAAATTGCATTCTTCAATTATTACATTAATTTTCTCGGACAATAGAATGGTTTTATTTTTTTACTCGAAAATGCCGCATCGAAACAAGATCATTTGTTTTAAAAAACCATTGGCGTACCATTTTTTTCTTAAAAAATATCAAAGTCAATACCCGCTCGCACGCCACTGTTAAAGCTAAATATTATTTTTGCATTGAAAAATATGCAACTTTATTAACTTTTACTATGTACTAAATATCAGTGAAATATCTGAAGCGATTCTGAAAATATTAATTAATTTCCATTTTTTTCCTAAAACTTCAACAACCCGAGTTTTTGTAAGGAAACATTTCTGAACCATAGTTTATAAAGCAAACTAAAATTAATTTTTCATGTAGATTCACACCCTTAAATATTCGCATATCATTAAGGAACACGCTGTATAACTACATTGTAAGGATAAAAATGGTTTTTGATATATTTGAAGATTTCCATAAGATTTTAGAAAATTCTGAAGTTGGAAAGTATTCTGTAAAATATTCATGGTCTTCCAGATTTTGTCTGATGATAAAATGCCATCAGTTTTAAAACCCATTTTATTATATAAATAATTATATTAATGTTCAACGATTGGACAGTGTGTTTTTGGGATCCGTATAGCAGCCGCGATGCCCTGGCGTTTAGGCTTCTGCCTGTGCGGCTGCTGTGGTGTAAAATAACCTTTAAAAGGACTATACTAATTTAGCTTCCATTAGTAATACTGTAAACCCAAGGTCTCAGGGTTATCTTATGTCAACTTCATAAGTAATTGATTGCTGCATTTATATGTAGGAAACCCTATATAATATGTGTATTCATATTAATACATAGGTACTTTTTTTTGTAATAAGTTTTTTTTTGTAATTTTTTTTCCAGATACGATCACCTGCGCAAAGAGGCCTCCGACTACCAGCCTTATACACCTGATGCAACAGCTGAACCTTGGCGAGCGGCCCTCGACGCCGAATTCATCCAGTACACCCGCAACCACTACAGAGACGGCGTGTGCTGCGTGTTCGGCCGCACCCAAAACGGCATGACAACGGTGACGGCGTGCATTGAGGATCACCAGTTCCAGCCGAAGAACTACTGGAACGGCCGTTGGCGGTCAGTGTGGCAGGTTACGTTGGAAGGTGGTAGCACGGCAGAACTGCGCGGGATACTGAAGGTCCAGGTGCATTATTATGAAGAGGGGAATGTTCAGGTAAGAATTAATATTCTAGTATGTTTAGGTATAATAGAGGGTTGGTGGAGCATTGCTCCTAGACGAAAACATTTTTCAAAAACTCTTTATGGAATAATGGATGTCATATCTCAAGCCACATTTTAAAAATACTCAGCATTTCTGACAGACTGCCAATTCGCCATTTTAGGAGATATTAAAACACGTTCTGCGTCAAAACTTTTCCCACTAATTATCTACAAACGAAATTTGCCAATTTATGGAAATCTATACATCAAAAATGTTAATTTTAAATATTGTTATTGACACTTTGTAAATAGCATCTACGTTAAGTTCTGGCAGTTTCCGCTCCCAGGCTTGACATACTTATTAGTTCTATTCACTGTAAATGTATTGTTAAGTGAAAATAACAATTTAAAATAGTTTTGACAACATATTCTAACAAACCTATCAGGTGCAGGTATTTCACTTTGTGGTAAAATTATCACCTTATTCGATTATGTTGCATAAGTATGATTATAATTGGCTTCTGTGAAAAATAAGTGCTATTATGTGAAGTTGGGTAATACAACTTATTAACTACATTTTGAATACGTTTTGATATCTATTAAGCAATATCTTAGAAGCTATATATCTAAAATTCTTTGTTCTTTATATCATATAATATGTTCTAAGAGTCGAAACCAGAGATGCAAAAATATACAGGACAGTCTTTTTCAAATTTTTTCTTCCTGACCACCTTGTATAAGCTAATGAATTTTTTTTTAAAATACTACGAGTAAGATATTTTGACACAAAACACTTTTCAATATCCCTCAAAATGGTGCACGGGCCAGTTGAGTTTTCTTCTGCTCCAGCAACTGATAATCAAAAGCCTACAACATGTTATAATTGTTTTTTTGTTTTGACAAGGCATGGTCATATGCAATAAAATATCTGTGTTACTGAAAAATACATTTTCAGTAGCACAATATAACCCTACTGGAACTTAACAGGTTTTCCACTAATGAACTGACATGTCTATGTTGAAAAGGAATAAAACAAGCTATGTGTGAGGCAATAACAAAATTCTTTTTTTGAATTTATTTTTCTTACCGGTACTCTCGCTTTCAGAATTGCCCCCTCCCCGCTTGTCGATTTTCAATTGCCAATAACATAGGGATGGAGCATTTTCATTCATATCAATGATATGATCTGATAAAATCTTCTAAACTACTAATGTTTCCTTCCGAAATACTCGTGTTTTTTTTTTCGAGGGATCGGCACTGTGGACACCTTGTAGATTTTGAAAATTCTACTATTCAAATTGACTGCGAGTTGCTAAAATAGTATAGATTTGAAGATATAAACATTTGTTTGGCGATGTTTGTTTTTTCGCCAGATGTTTTAATATTGATAGATACATTTTACTTTCCACGCCTCGTGTCAAGGCAGTATTATAATCGAGAATATATTTTTTTTAATGTCATATGACATGGCATCACAAAAATCCATCTCACTCAGTTCCGTCGGTCTTTCTGCAAAGGACAAAAAAGCTTTGTAGTTTTTGAAAATCGGACCAACACCGGCAAATAAAAAAAAATCTAATTGCTGAAACTTCGTTTTTTGACATTACAGAGTCTCTTGATTAGTTTTGGAAAAAAATTTGAAGGGTAAAAATTGAGGATAGGAATTGCACGTGGGGAGGTGTACATCAGTTTTTTTGATGTTGATATATTTATAAACCTCCAACCCCAGTAATTCATGTTGCCCCCGTACATTTACTCCTAAAACTTAGAAATATCTCCAACAGTCGTATCGATACGTGTGACGTAGTTAATGGTCGTGCGTCGCAGTCTGCAGTCGCTTCTGTGCTGCTTTGGTTTGTCTGTTGTAAAAGTCAATAAGGTCATCCACACAGAATAGTTATATCGACTATGTGTGCCTGTAGGAATTTCTCTCTGGGGGAGGTAGAGCGTTATTTAATTTTATGTTTACATGCACATAGCTAACTTTTTTCTCAGAAAGGCTATCTAGTGCCGAACGTAATCCTTTACGAACGTTGCTTGGGAAGTACACAGTCAACTTGACGCCATTTTTGTTCTTCCAGTTGGTGAGCACAAAAGAGATAAAAGAATCGGTCCCTATCCGAAACCACAGTCAAACGGCCAAAGACGTTGTCGCGGCGATCGAGACAGCGGAAAACCAATACCAAACGGCGATCAGCGACAACTACCAGACGATGTCTGACACGACATTCAAAGCGCTGCGACGATTACTGCCCGTCATCCGCACCAAGATGGACTGGAACTCGCTTGTATCCTACAGCATCGGCAAGGAGTTGAAGACGCAATGATCCGAGGGCGAATGCTAACCTGGCAACGGCGGAGGATACCTGCGGATGGGATGAGAATTTTGATACTGGGGTGCGTCTATCTTTGCTGAATATGGCAGTTGTCGAGTGAACAAACAATATCACTTTCTAGATCTACACTATCTACCCTCAATAAACATAAACAAGGAAAGACGTTAAACTATGATTACTTATACTGGCACCACGCTAAGAAAATATTTAATTTCTGTCTGAAGATAGGCGAATGCTACGCGTTCGATATTGTGATATTTGTTGAGTATATTCCATATGTATTTATTGGTGTATAAGGCTATGTAGAACCACTGATACTGACGGATCCATCAATACATTTTGATGATATAGATCACAATAAATACTGAATGTTTGACACAGCTTTAATGGATATTTCAACCAATAGATACCTGCTGACAATGCTAATGTGTATTGTTGCCAGTTGCCTCACATCGCCAACTTAACGGTCAAGTGTACTTTGAGGCTATAGCTACAGGTACTTGTAAGGACAAATCTTTTTACAACCGATTTATTCGTAGAACCAGGAAGGAGAACATCAAATAGACTATGCGGATACTCATCCAGCGTTTTGGCATCAGCCAGTGCCGATAAAGAATGGCTGAATGCGCTGAAGAGCATCGTCAATTCCGTACATTTAGCGTCCGTAAGATACCATTGAAACGTCATAATCTTGATCATAATGTTAACATTCATAGGTCAGAACTGGCCATCTAAAAAGATGTCCAACGCCATACATCAGATAAATTTTACCTTGACTTTTGCAATGGCGACAGCACGCGATCAAATTGAAGCAAAATGAAGTTTTGAGGTGGATTGATGTCTCACATCTTACATACTGTCTGGAATAACTTGGAAAGCTTTCTGTTCCATAGTTACATTGATTCATCCCAGTTCACAGTGTAGCCTCCACCAAACGCCACCATGCACTAGATTGTTGGTTAGAACTTTTTATGTGAATAAAAGTTATCTTTGTATATGAATATAAGGTTTAGACATTCAAACACGTATCTATAATGCAAAATGATTTTTTATGCAAACTTTATCAATTTAAATAATACATGATTATAAAATTACGCTTGACGCTCATAAAAATAGCATACGCATATAATTAGGTAGTACATAAGTATACAATATTTATTGAAAAGTGTAAATATATGTGTGCACTAATAAAAGAAAAAATATTTTCGTCATATTTTTTGTTGATTGAGGCTCAACATTCATTGAATTCAGCAATCATTAACTGAATCTGCAGTTGTTCTTTTTTACATTTGTACCAAATTGGTAAACATTTGGCAGTATTATCGCATGAGCGTTTTGATTGTAATTCATAATAATATTGATTGCATTTAACCAGCGTGTTACTTTATGTTTTTTGCATTGATTTACCTATATATTATTTTTATACTATATGTATGCCTTGATAATGTATTAGTATTATTTTTATATATTCCCATAAAATATAACCTAAACTGTGCAATATTTTGCACTGTTATACTGATGTATGTTATATTTTACTGACCCTGAAGAGTTTTTATACACGTAGCTATTTTTGTTATAATTCAACTGTTTCAGTTTTGCAAGTAGGCCATACTGTTACAACGGACGCATTCAGAGAATTACAGAACTTTAATGCCAGTGACCATTAGATGCAAATAGCTGCTTTCATGAATTGCTGTCGTTTTCTGCATGCGCCCATTGTCTTTAGTAACACTGTTATGAAAAAAATACTGAAATCTCTCAAATTGTCACAATGTCATAAATTTGAATGGCGTCCAAACTTCAAACATTTTTTATTGGAAATACTCCCTTAATTGTGATATAATAATGACGCTAGGTTAATAATTGTCAAGATTTCCTCAGACGTCAGTTATTGCCACTTATCGATATCTTTTTAAAATTGATAATTTATGTCTTGTTAAAGTCAATTATTGTATGAGTTATTTTTCAATGAAGATTTATTTATAATAGTGTACATTTTTTTAATAAGTTCTTGTATCATATTAGGTCACATGTCATTCGAAGTGATTTGTCAAAGAAAATGTTACTACATGGAAGGAATTCATTTTTGACCTCTGAGCAAATCACCTTATGTGGTATGAGACCTGCCGGACAACTAGTGCTTGTTAAATCCCTTCTGTCAGTATCACATAGTGTCAGTTATGATATGGCATGAGGATTGGGAACACTGATCGATGTAAAGGACAATTGATGTTTGCTCGCCTAGGACGATTCAAGTATTATGTAAGGTGCTTATTTTTGATGACACGGGGGATGGGGGTCGTTTTCGTGTTTTCTACAAGATTTGGTTGATTTTTATTTGCCTGCTTGTCTATTCTCGAAACCGAAACACATCTTCAAGAATTCTCCAAATATGGATATGCTTACTCGCTTTTAGAACCTTAGCTACAAATGCTTCTAGTAGATATACCTTTTTGTTATGAACTTGTAGAAATATATTAGCAAAGGTACTGAGTTAGATGTCGGGCGAGCCAGATCCTCCTCATTTTCCAGGCATTAAATAGAATTCAGAACATGTGCGTAAAATCCGATATTTGCTTCAAATCGTAAAATGCAAGCATGAAAGGCGAGAGGTAGAAGATTGGCTTACTTTTGCTAACAAGGGGGGGGGGGGGACGGAGGGTAGGGTTTATAATTGCAAATATCTGCTTACGTAATGCTTGAACGGCCCCCTAACCAAAATTGTAAGCTTCGGACGCCAATTTGCGTGGCGAACACTTGTTCTAATTCTCTCTAACATGAACGTCGCACAACACTTCCGTTTTCGACTAAACATAAAAAAAGTTGATAAGATATGGATCCGCAGACTAACTATAGTTGGCGGCTTGGGGTAGCACAATAAATGCTCACATATTCCCGGCCAGTTTCAAAATCTCTGTCAAGTCATAACCTTGTCTAACAGAGAGGGCCATAGGAAATTTGCTGGAACAAATGTCATTGATATGCATCTCACCTATGCGACAGACCATCGCAGTAACACAAGTTCAGGCCTAATTAAAGGTCACGTGGACAACTCTGACAAGCTTCTCTAATATTTATAATCTGTGAAAACCAAAAGTTCGGCAGATTTGGCCCCACAGACAAGGTTAAAAATTCGCTTTAAATGAAGTAATCTCAAAATACTTTTCAGGGTCTTGTAAAACAAGGTTTAAACTTCAATTTAGATACTTGGCGACCTCAAAAATTATAATTTTTAAGAGTTTTTACGCGTTGAATATACCAACCTTTAAGGCTTTGAAACATTCGTTCGCTTATAACTCGAAAATGGTCAGCTCTAGAGAAAAGTTAATGGACGTCTTTTTTGTTCAGGATGATCCAAAAAACCTGAACAAATTTTATTAAAAAAAAAACATGTAAGCTAAAACTTTTCTTTAAAAGACTTTGAAGAGTATTTAGAGAATCGTATATTTTGAATCGAGTTTTTTCAGGCCAAAATTAGCGAACTTTTTTTCTCAGACTATACACTAATCAATGTAGTACATAATTTACGTATTCTAGGAATTCGTGATTTTTTAACATTGCTTTGGATAGAAACTAAATCTCTGAATAAATAAGACACATCCTATTGTAACATATATATTTCTTATACATAAATTATATATAAAAACCACAATTTCATTATTGTATAAATGTACATTATTCAACTTGAGGATCAAATAAAAAAGCAATTACAAATAAACGTGCTGCCAAAAAGCTGATTCCGTATGGAATGTCAAAATGCAGAGAAACGTGTGAACATGTTACATATCAAACTTGAGCTGTTAATGCTGATCAATTTCACACCATCTTTGGGCTTATTTGTTTTTATGTTTTTCTGGCTTCTGAAGATGTATAAATATGGCTCCGGTGACCGCAACCGTTCGGAATAGTCCAGCTATAGTAGACATTTTCGGAAAAAAATCGCATCAAACACCTCGAACGAATTAATGCAAATAAATTAACTTCCAAAGTTTATTCAACAAAAACCTCAAACGATGGATTCTCTGCTCAGCCTCTGAAAGGTTTGGTGCCAACCATTCAAAGATACTGTATATGGATGCAACAGAAACTGAACGTGTTATTACATTTATAATTCCAAGAATTGAAGAATTTTTGTGTTTGAATAATCATATTACAAAACATCCTGATACAACTTTTTTGGTTAACTGATCAGCATCACAAAATGTGAGGAGGTATGTGAAACGGACATTCAAAGATAATGTTTGCGGCTGTTGCTGTGATTCTGTTTCAGACGCAATCCACCTTCAAAGATCGAGAAACTTAAATTTCCTCGAAGGGGGTTAAAAATCCCCCCATTTTTTATGAAAAGATTACGTATTGATTTGGCTTTGTTGAGAAACAAAACATCCTCCTCCTCGCATGCATTGGGGCTTACTGAACGGATTTGAGATTTGAGCAGCCCAAGGTAGTCATTCAAAACGGTGGACTTTGTGGTGGCTACCGATATGTAGCGCCATCTATTGGAGAGTAGCCGAATGAAAAAAATATTTATCGGTATACCATTCTTAAATGATTTGAAGCTAATTCTATGCATTTTCAACTACACAAAAAATGAATCAGTTGAGCTACCTTCCCATAGATGGAGGTTCTTTGTAAAGTGTTATCATAGGTCACACAAAATTTAACTAGTCAGAAAATTTATTTAGGGGTGGGTAGGCGAGGTTCGAATGGGTGTGTGGTCAACGCACCTTCAAATATTAAGAAAACTTAAATTTTCGCTGCTCACATATAAAACGTGACATTAAAAAGATTTAGTTGAGCTACCGTCATCTAGATGGTGCTCTGAAATTATGTTATCACAAGGCTCACAAAATTTAACTAGGCTAAAAGAACCTTGGAGGGGCGGTCGGTCGGGGCTTGGGAGGCACAATCTTACAAATCAATAATGAATTCTACCAAGATGCCAAGATCAAGAATCTTAAATGGTGGTGAGGGGGGCTAAAATACTCCCGTTTGTAACAGAATCGTTTTGGTTGGACTAGTTTATTAAATGATATTACGTATTATTTTCTCTTTGTTAAAAAATCGACACCCCCCCCTTAACAAATCGAGATTTACTGAGCTTCCGCAGAAAGACCCACGGTAGTCTATGAAATCCATGGAGCGTTTGATCGCAGCATGCAAGTGGCGCCCTCTATTGGGTGAAGGTCAGACTCATTGTACTAGGTTAGCAGTAGCTACGAAAGCAGGTTTCTGTAATTGATGATGTATCAGGACAGTTAAGCTACCGTCATCTAGATGGTGCTCCGAAATTATGTTATCACAAGGCTCACAAAATTTAACTAGGCTAAAAGAACCTTGGAGGGGCGGTCGGTCGGGGTTTGGGTGGCTGGGTGGCACAATCTTACAAATCAATAATGAATTCTACCAAGATCAAGAATCTTAAATGGTGGTGAGGGGGGCTAAAATACTCCCGTTTGTAACAGAATCTTTGTGGTTGGACTAGTTTATTAAATGATATTACGTATTATTTTCTCTTTGTTCGACGACCCCCCCCCCTTAACAAATACGAGATTTACTGAGCTTCCGCAGAAAGACCCACGGTAGTCTATGAAATCCATGGAGCGTTTGATCGCAGCATGCAAGTGGCGCCCTCTATTGGGTGAAGGTCAGACTCATTGTACTAGGTTAGCAGTAGCTACGAAAGCAGGTTTCTGTAATCGATGATGTATCAGGACAGTTTATCTAGTAGGTAAACGCTATTAAATTTATAAATTAAACAAAGAATTTTGGAAAGATAATTTTATTAGATGTATAAAAATAATAATATACTCAGTAATATGCATCCAAATGCAGTAGTACTGTTAGGTACAGTCCTTCCAATGACTGGCGAAAGCGACATTTGGAAGGTCTTGAGCCATGCTTACATTGTACAAATAAGGGAGGGCGATAGCGAGGAGATTCGAGGATTTCCCTCCCAGCAACGCGAATTCATCAGAAAAACGGAATTTGACATTCACAAATACCGCATACGTTAAACTTGACATCTGTATCGACCGATACCAATACGTAAATCGGCAGTATCGGCTAATTTTCTGACATATTAGTCGGTCGATAAAATCGCCGAAATTGCTCGCGCGACGCAAATCATGAGTTTAATAAAAGTACAAAATTATTGAATTGAGATGAAACAATATCTAAATATATTTTCCTTTTCTTTCTGCATATGTTACAAATTGTATTAACAACTTTGTCAGTTTTTGATTGGAAATATCACACGGCACTACTTTTTGGAATTTTCATACAGTAAAACAAATCAAGATGCGAGTCACATCGTCGAATCCAGTGTCATGAAACTAAAGCTGCAACAGATAGGAAATATGCTTTCCTGTAACTCTAGTTCCAAGTGAAAGGGAGGATTTTCTTTTAGGTTTGAAGGCAAAGGGAAATTCAGTAGATATTCTTAAACGATGTTGAACGGATGGACGCAAACTTTTGTTTCTCTTTTTCTCTTATTTCGCAGATACCTCCACACACAAACGCATCACAATATTATGGACAGAGAAAAATATCATACATAATATCCTGTTGATCTCTAATTCCTGGATACTATGAGATTGCCATCTGATCAGCTTACAACAATATCTATAGACTCAGAGCCACAGCATGGCAACGACTCCCGCGGCAGCTACTCGGCTACAGGTACTGACGTAAGTTGGTGGCATTACAAACGAAATCATTCTCGATGTTCTTCCCTACAATCTCCTGACGTGCGCTTACCCCAAGTCATCAGAAGGAATACACAATAACAAGTAGTGGCTAACGCATGCCGTAGTATTACTGCGAGTAGTATTATGATGTCAGTAAATAAGCTCATAAGCATATAAATATGTATGTGTTCTAAACAAATTGCTAACCTCTGAGATCAATAAAAATGGTGTTGAAATTTTCATCAGCGAAGAGACATTTAGATACAAAACTGCCAGCATTGAAAAATTATTCATAACCAATATAAAACTTATTTGCTATACAAGATATGTTTACTGTACTTTTCCTCAATTATAAAATGAATATGCACGATGCATAGGAATTTGCCAAAGCAGAGCAGCAAGGCTAATAAAATCAATGTTCACATAAAAAGTCAAATACAATGCCTATATAAAAATTAAAACTCCAGTAATTATAGCCTTATAGACTAAACACACAACAATCTCTTACAGACAGATGATGCTTGCATTCAGGACTCGAACCTGACTAACTGATGATGAATAATGGATTAACGTTATGTGTGTCAGGTTCTACGCTGGCATCAAAATTTTACAACCTCTTCCCAATGTTTCAGTCAGAAGTCCCGAGTATTTTATAGCTGCCAGTCTGTCACTGGAGTATGAGGTAAAAACATTGAGCACATGATATGAACCTCTTCTGCAATAACTGCATGAAACAGCTGCCTTACATTAAAATACATGCACAACCATAAGAATACATGTACAATAAATTTAAGAAGCGCCAAAAGTTGCGTATTAGTAAAAATATATGACTCGTAGATCAATATCAGTCGTTCACTTAAAAGTATAATATAATCTATGTACAAGGACGTTTTCATGTCATGGACTTAAAATTGACGATTCCGAATATCTCAAAAATCTACTACTAGCGGCTAGGGTACAAACAATCGAGCAGCTAAGAATAACTAATTTTTTCCCAGGCTTGACAAGATGAACAAAACTGCTGGACTGCTGCTCCCATTGAAGGTGAAGCAACGACTCCGCGTAGTTTCTTTTACAATGGAATCGAAGGCCATTGCTCCTCAGAACGGATTTTCGGATTGATAAGACAGCAAAGCAATCACAAGATAAGTACTTAACTGTCTTGTCTTCATGGATATGTCACTTTGTCTCACTATAATGATCATTCCAAGATGTAGAATGAAGATTTACTTACGTTTGAGGGCATTTTTCGAAATCCACCAATCATCATTAACATGGTGAAACATGGAGATTTGGCCAGTCTCAGTACCATTAGTAAACTGAATCTGTTGTCTGAACACGTAGTATTTCGCTACTATTTCTTTCTAGGGTGAGAGGACTGAGGAATTGTATAGTGAATAGGCAGCCAGACGATGCAACCAACATGTTTTTTTTTAAGATTTTGTAGATGTGCACTTTTAGTATAGTCATGGCTCCAATGGTCAGATGCACAGAGACTCTGAGCACAAGATTTCTAGTTTTAACAACCGTTTTCTGATAGCCAATAAGATGATTTAACAATGAAGATTCTAATATTTTGCAAGAGTGGATGTTGTTTATGCTAGATCGTCAAATCCATGCTTTTTTGTCAGTCAAGAGAAAAAAGACGCCATAGAGTTACTCTAACTAAAATCAACAATTTGTACTCCTAAACACAAATAGTAAATATACACTTATCCAATATGGCAACATTCAGAATTCAAAAGAAATCGACGGGCAAAACTCGTATACCCTAAAGATAATGGCACAATTCACAGCTATAATCTAAAAATTAGAGTTTCGAAGAACGTATAGCGCGTTTTAGGTATGATACCATTTGTCCTACAGTGTGGAGAAAATGCATAGCTAAAATACGCTACACTAAATATGTATAGGGTTTCCCAACATGGATGATATCGAAATGTTATGCCAGTCATTTTATAAAGAACTTCTGCCGTTATTTGTCAGTATCTGACAATTTATCATGTCGCAAATTAACGAACTTTGGCCAACCCCGTCACTCGATGCATGAGAATTTTGGTATGCATAATAGTCCAACTGTGGTTGCAATTCGACGATTAGTGGTAACGTGGAAGCTGATCACGATCAAAAACAATCACCAAAATTGAGTCTCGTAGTTGCTGCTGTAAGAGCAAGTGTAACAGAGATTGCAAAGGGTCAGAAAAACGTCGTTCTCAACGGAAAGCTTATTCTTGAACATAAACGCTCAATAACTAAGAGAAAGTAAGCGTTGTTTAATTGGTTTTAGAGGAATTGTAGTCTTTAACATTTCCTTGTTAGAAATGTCGCTCTCCAGGAGAAACAATGCGGGATCCTAAAGGTCTTTAGACAAATTAATTTTGTGATGAAATATTTAATGATATATCGTACAGAGGACCATTTAGTTATTTGCCAAAAATGTAGGCAATCACAAGGTTTACCAAAAGACAAAAGCTGCCAGAACAGTCTTCGAATGGGTTTATCGAATTTGCACTTCTTTAACTATCAAATTTTCAAAACTGCTTCAGAGGAAAGTTGTATGAATTCGCTGTAGCAGTTAATTTTTTATTAAAAAAATCAACAATTTTCTTTATTTTATTCTCTATCAAACAGGGCACAGCAGCAAATATGAAATAATAGTCAAAACTTATATCGTTTATGTTGATTAACATATGAAAAAAATGCTAAACATTTTCTGAAAACATAGTAGCCACTGAATCTTTTTGGTTAATGGTCATTTTACCAGCTGTCTAGAGTGTACGTAGCCGCTGCACCAAGTGTGATGTGTAGTTTTTCCATACTCTACGGTTCTTAGACCAATACTTCATAATTTTATTAATATACGCGAAAAGGTTTTTTCAACTTCGTCGTTTGAAAATTTACTTAGCAAATTTTTTTTAACTCTAAACGGAAGATGTTTCCATTTACTTTTAAAGTATAATTCCGTTGTAAAAATAAGACTATACAAGACTTTTTTTATTAGCCTGATCTATTGCACATGACTTTTAAATGGCATAGCTGAAACTCTAAATTTTTGGGGTTTGTTTTTAGATAATTATTCATATTAGGAAACCCTACACATTAACAGCGAGACTGACATCAGTTTCTCTTCTTTTTAGCTACCCAAAATTCAAGATCGTATGCGATACGATCGAACAAAAAAATTGTGATGAATTGTGATATGTAACTAAACCTCTTCAGTGATAGGCGGTGGAGTTTCATCAGTGCTGTGCTCCAATAGGACCGCTTTTTCATCTCTAACACTACCCGTTCCGCTATAAACGGACTCGTAGACGGGATTTGCGAAGTTTCCAGACTGAAAAGACACACAGGTTTAAACAGTTTAGTTTGAAGCAATATATTAGTAACCTACACCATTTTGAGATTTATAAGGGCCCCCAATATCCTGAAGTAGCTTTTGAACATTTGTTCTTAAATGTTTATGTCAAAGATTTGAATTTGAGAGAAAACCTATTTTTTAGATTATATCTTCTTCTAACTGAATAATATTGATCTGGGTAACGTGAGGCTTCAACAAGATGCTACATGAAATATTTCATGATTCTGTACCCAATCATTTTGGTTACTAGACTAGTCCTCTAGATCATACGATTTAGCACCACAGGATTTATTTTTATGGGATTATTTAAAGTAAACAAGCAGTTGTGCTATGAAGGAAAATATTCAACGCTGCCTGAACAAAATTCGGGACCACTGTGTAAAATGGATAACCCTATCTTACGTACTTCATGGATCATTAAGAAAATTTAAATCCAAAGAAAAGCTGCATTTAATATTTAATCCAAATGTTGGCAGAAAGCTGAATTTAGCTAAACGATTATTGGATTGTATTCAACGATACGAAATTCGTAATTTAACTGATTTTTGATCACAAATTAATGTTTTTGTTTTTTAGGATGACAGTTTCATTGTAGATGGCGTTTCAACTTTGTGAACTGTCTTCTGTTGAATATTATGCAAATTAGAGTTGATGTGGAAATCTGCATACAGTATATACTGGCAATAAGTTGAGTAGAGCACCAACAGATGTCGCTTCGGCAATATGATGCTCCATCTAACGAGGATAAACTTAATTAGGATTTCAATTTATTTAGAATTCTGCACAACGTAACAACTTCGGCAAACGATTAATGGACGTCAAACTCTTTAGCTGTTACTTTCGAAAACTTAACGAGTAAAAACATTTTTTTGATTGCCCTAGAAATCAATAAAATTCTCATTATGACCATAATTTAGAAACTAATAGATTTCACTGACTGCTGCAACAAATATGAGGGATAGATTTTTTTAAAATCAACTTATGTATTTTGGATCACAGTTTTTGAAACCATCATTATTACTAAAAATAAATATATATAGGGTGAATCAAAAAGCAATGGCAATATTTCTAGAAAAGAAAGAGAATCCAAAAAATCCATAGGAACATAATATGTCCTATAAAGGGTGTTGTAAATTTCTAAGCCACTGATAAGTCTAAATAAAGACTAAATATCAATATAGTTTGAATATCACTATGGCGAAAAAGGATGACATGTTTAGTACAGTACACTTTTCAATGTAAAACTTCACAAGCAGCATATTTTCAAGGCAGAACAAGCTTTTAAATCCCACCAATTTGTTTCCAAAAGGATTAGTCTGACATAAGGTGATGCTAGGACGTAAAATTTGTTCTTTCAACTCGCTAAAATTTTACCTTCTCGAAACTCGACATATTTTGTTTGAATCTTAGGATGATAGAGAAATATTTTCGATCCACGTACTCCTGCTATTTTAGCTCACCGCCCGGCGAACCGGTTCGGCTGACTCATCCATCCGTATTGCAGCGCAAAAAAATAAACGATAACTCGCTGCAGCGGCGCCCCGCTGGGCGCTGTCGCGTAGATGTGAAAAGAGATGACATTAAGAGATGAACAGCAAAACCAGAAAGGCAGGAAAAAATGTCTATGGACTAATTGTATTGGTCTGTTTGACTGACTCAATTCATTTGTCCATGTCACTAACTCTCATCGGTATGTCTGTCGATCTGTCCGCTAATACATGACTCCTCTTTATAAACTTGGAAAAGTCCCGTCCCATTAAGGATGAAATTCTTACACAAGGTTACTTCTATGCCAAGGACGAAAAAGCTTTGTAGTTTTTGAAAATTAGTTCAGTGGCGGTGGAGGAAAAGAGCTGAAACTAAAATCATAAATCGATCAAACTTCGTTTTTTGATGTTTCGGGGGATCCTGATCATTTTTGAAAAATATTTTAGGGGTAAAAAAATGGGGGTGGGGGGTTGTAAGTGGCGTAGGAGGATGTATCGCCATTTTTTCATGTTAGTATATTAATACTCTTCCAACCCCAGTAATTCTAAGCACCTATTAGACATATTTCACTCATCGTAGATTTGCGCCAAGACCTTAGAATGATAGAGAAATGCTTTCGAAACGACTCCGTCCGCCTGCTCTCTGGCTTCGTCAGCAAACATGCTGCTTTCGTCCGTCCTACCAAAGATAGACAGTCTTATTTCGAAAGGGCCTAACCTATGCTGAACATAATTCTTTAAGAACAGGTGCCCGCGTTGAGTGGGAAGTGCAGAGTCAACCTACTTGATGCCAATTTTCCTTCTGTCGAGAGTCAAAATTTGCCTATTTTTACGCTACTGCTGTAATTCTAGCAAACATACGTTTGTGTGTATTGGCCATGTTGTTCGTAGTGCATGTATAAAAATTTTCATCAATATTTTAATGTACTTGATATACGTACTTTTTTGTTTCGAAATTACAGCTTTAGTATCTTTTTTATATGAACTTTTAGTATATTTTTTTTAAATAATTTATGCCGAGATATTGCCGCTGTCTTCTGAATCACCCCGAATACGCCACAATTTTCTGCAAACTGCCGAACGAGAAATTATTTTCCTCACTGGTTGACACTCGGTAAAAAGTCAAAAATTTACAAAAAATAGATTACATCAAACTCACCTTATCAGCATTCAACGTGAACGGCTCTGCATCCCTCTCTTGATACATCGGATTGTTGAAATCATTTTCCTGGAGCCTTTCGTGCGAGAAAGACGTTCTGTTTCTGAAGAAGTGGTCGAAGATCAAAAATCCTGCTATGAACAGGATCACGACAACCGCCAAAGTTGTCAAGACAATTACGAGGACACTTTGAGATTTTTCTTTGCCGTCATTGGGTCGGTTAAGTTTTGCATCGATGGGTTGTAGTTCACATCTTCTCCCTGAAATCAGATATATTCGATGTTCATAAAGTAGAACAGTGTAACCTCAATATTAAAAATAGTATCTTAGCATCCGTATACAGGCCTCTTGAAGTTTTTTTTATAATTCAACTACCACGAAGGCCTAAGGCCTAAACACCCATGGGGTACTGTGGGGCTATAAGTTGAAGATTTTATACATTTTGAGCAACATACTAATTTAGTTTTTAGCTATTTTCACTTGCATATAATAGTATAACTGGTATCTTTCACAAATCCTAAAAAATTATTCCGATAACTAAAAATTTAAGGAAATCATGACATTTTCTGTGTTGGATGCTGTAGCCGAGAGTTGCAATTTGCAATGTATAATTTGTATCTTGGCATAGACTGCTGTGCGAAATTAAGTTATACCCAAAATGCATAGCAATGTAATTTTAATAGATCAGAATGTAAAATTACAGAAAATTGATTCGAAAAATGTGTAAAAGAATAATTAAAAAATAAACATGTAGAAATAATGCTAAATAAATATTCAACAAACATAGAATATCTCACCTGAATATCCATCAATGCAAGAGCAGTAAGGGAGATTGTCTATAACAGAACAGTGTCCCTGATTCTGGCAATAATTTTTACATTTGGCCGGTTTATCACAGAGGTCACCTGTCCAGGAAACAGTGCAGTAGCAAATGGGATCTGCCTCAAGTGAAGGTAGCACGCAAATTCCGTCATTGAGACACCTGTTGCTGCAGGGATTTGCATTGCCGACATATGTCTGAAAAAAAAACGGGAAACTATTAATCTACTTTCAATGAAACAACAAACATAATGAAACAATATGCCTACGAGGGTGGTCCCAGAAGTACCCGGTCTGACCTAGAGATGGCGACAGTTGTTTGAAAATTATCATTGTATTACAAAGTATGCAACCTATAAAGCATATGTGTCAAGTTTGAAGACGCCACGTTGTTTAGTATTTGTTTGGCAGCCGTCAATACTGAACGTGTTCAGTGAATTTGTGAAAATGGAGAAAATTGGTAATCGTTATGTGGTACAATACTTTTATTTCAAAGGCCTCAGCCCAACCAACATAAAAGCTGAACTGGATTCTACTCTTGGTGAGTCTGCTCCTTCGTTTACAACAGTAAAATATTGGGTAGCAGAGTTTAAACGAGGCCGTATGAGCTGACGAGAAATGGTGAAGAAAATTCACAAAGCGGTACTGAATGATCGTCGATTGAAAGTGCGCGAGCTAGCAGTCATAGTAGGCATTTCAAAAAGTGCGGTTCATCGCATATTATCTGAAAATTTGGACATGAGAAAGCCGTGCGCAAGATGGGTGCCGCGATTACTCACAATCAAGCAAAAACAGTGTTGTGAAGATGTTTCAATTGAGTGTTTAGCGAAGTTTCACAGCAACAAAGCAAAATTTTTACGTCGTTTCATAACCTTGGATGAAACATGGGTCCATCACTTCACACCCGAGACAAAAGAACAATCAAAACAATGAACTCAACCGGGACAACCGGCTCCAAAGATGATAATTTTCATTGACTATCTTGAAAAAGGTAAAACTAAATAAAAAATAAAATAAACGGCGAGTATTATGCGAACTTATTGCAACGTTTGAGCGATGAAATCAAGCAAAAACGGCCGCATTTGGTTAAGAAGAAAGTGTTGTTTCATCAAGACAATGGACCAGCTCACAAATCCGTTATTGCAATGGCCAATATTAACGAATTAAAGTTTGAGTTGCTACCTCATGCACCCTATTCACCAGATTTAGCCCCCTCGGATTATTTTCTGTTTCCAGACTTGAAAAAATGGTCAAAGTGGTCAAAGATTTTCCAACGATGAAGAGGTGATGTCGGCAGTTAATGGCTATTTTGAGAAGCAAGACAGTTCTTATTATAAAAAGGGTATCGAACTTATAGAACATCGCTGGGAAAAGTGTATAGAGCTCAAAGGAGATTATGTTGAAAAATAAATACCTTTTTTAAAATTTTTGTTTTCTTCGTTGGGTCGGGTACTTCTGGGACCACCCTCGTACATTGGAATAAAGAATGCCACACAAAACACACGGAAAAAGCCCATGAAAAGAATGATCTTTTAATTGTGCTAACGAGAATTCTAACAACACCTCAAATGTCAAAATCTATCAAGCCGTTTGAGATGTGGTTTGTGACATGGAAATTTCAGATTTGATATTTTCGATTGAAATCTCATTTTGATTTTATGTAATTTTGGTATACCCAGTGTCAGTCGCGAAGTCAATACAAATACAGACATCTATTACGTCATCACATCAGTCAGAATTTTTAACTAGATTATGAAAACAATTATCCGTAGAGTTAGTCCTCAAGTAGACTATCATGTATTTCCGAGTTTAACTCTGTACAGTAAGAAAATCATTATTGGTATGGGGTAAGTAAGCGCATATTAAAACAAGAAAGATTGATATTCAAATCAAGTTGGGTACTTTATTTTGAAGGTTCATCTATACCATTTATGTATGAAAAATAATATCGCTCAAATGTTCACCACGACTGGATTTACAGACGTCCACGCGATGGTCGAAATTTTCAATGACATTTTGCAACATGGTCGGTTCTATGGCATTTATCTCGGCAATGATGTTGTTTTTGAGTTCTTGGAGGGTGGCTGGTTTGTTGACGTAGACTTTGCTTTTCAAATATCCCCATAAAAAGAAGTCCAAGGGAGTCAAATCGCACGATCTTGGTCGCCATGGCACATTTCCTCTGCGCGAAATCACGCGATCACCGAAGAAGGACTGCAATCGATGGATATTGACGTTGGTTGTGTGGCATGTTGCACCGTCTTGTTGGAAATAAACATCGTCCATATCCATTCCTTCAAGTTGCTTTTGCGTCAATTGGATCTTGTAGGCGTGTACATTCAAATCCTTGTGGAGAATGCGGAGCAAACTGGTTCTCGAAATGCCCAATTCTTCGGATCGACGCGTTTTTGATTGTTTCGAAATGTTCACGAAGCGCGCGAAACGTGTTTTTTATTTTTGCATCATTTTTGTAGTGCTCTTGAATAACTTTAATGCGGTCTTCAATCGAATACGACTCTCTAACGATCAATGGTAAACATTCAAGTAACAAAATGACATGTCGGTGACAGAAAACAAAGATGGCGTCTATGTCAAATTGACGTTTACTTTCCTGCGTCCCTATTGGACAATCCTTTACAATTGCACTGCCAAATTTTTTGTATAGCAAAAATGTTTTATATCTGGCTAATGATAACGTTTTCCAAATGTATTAGAATAATTCCAACAAAAAATATACACCAATCAAACAAGTGCTCGGTACAGTAAAATGGCTTAACATTAAAAATTTCATTAAAAACCTAGACAAAGGTTTTTAATTATAAAATAATTTATTGCCATTATTCTGTCTGCACTAACTTATTTAAAAGCCGACTAGCATTTTTATGATACCAGACAAAAGCACGAATTCCATTTAAACGCATAAACGTAGTACATGTAGAAAAACGGTTTTCCATCAAGACCTAATGGATTTCAACAAACTAGATTTAGACATAAAACGACAAAATATCCTAAAAAAATCAAAACTGAAAACTCTGTTAGACTTGAAAAACGGCGATAAACCATATGATTTTTTGATAATAATAGTTATATTTATTCACATTAATTATAATAAACTGTGAATAAATTGATAAAATATCCTTTTACGTGGATATAATTCTAGCTCATAATAGTAGTTACAATAAATTGATTGAGAAGGGAGAGAAATAGATAATACGAGGGTGAATCAAATATGAACGGGACTTTTCTGTCTAACGCGCCATAGGTGAACGGAGTGGACGACGTCTTGGTATATGGTACTCGTATATGATGTTAGTAGCATCATGTCTGAGCAAGAAATGCACACGTCTGTTGAGCAACGCATTATCATCACATTTGGAGGAATATGATAAACGTTTGTTATGCATTGTTTTGATGATTAATTTTTGAATTATTTGCAAAGAATTTAGATGGTTGTTGTTATGTATTACTTCCGATTATTGATGAAGCCATTTGCGCTAAATAAATCATTTACTACTACTGTATATAACCACACGCGAAAAATGTAACCCTCCTTCTTAGGTAGTCAGGTAAAAAGGTTATAGCAGAATTTGCCAGAATTTCACATTATATCCTGATCAAATGTCCTCAAGGTTTGCTAATATATTGAAATATGGAGGGTTAATGTTCAGGTATGGAAGCTTGCTGTATCAAGAAGATTAACTCGATATTTGGCAGATATTTCAACTACGTATGTCAAGAATTGTGAAATAAGAAAATATGCCCTAAATGAGTTAAGAACAGTCTGATACTAACCTCACAGTGATATCCTCCATAATTATCAGGGCAACGACATATAGCTTTGTCATTCAAGATATTGCATGTACCTCCATTCTGGCAATTGCAGGATTCCTTGCAGCCATCTGGCGGCGATCTTGCCAAGCAGAGATTTATTTCGCAACGCCTACCTGCGAAATATTTAGGACAACTACATTCAGGTTGTTTCGCACCAACTTTACACGTTCCACCTAGAAAAAAGTAATGTTATATTTCTATAAATTTTTGAACTTGTATTTTGTGTTCTCTTCCCAAAGTTCATAAAAAATCATGCACTTACCATTCTGACAATGATTGAGACAAATGTCCTGATCACACCTTTCCCCACTGTACCCATTCGCACAAGTGCACACCACCTTTCCATTATGCGCAGTCATCGGCTTTCCATGTTTTCCGCATACAGGTATCTCGCAATTGCGACCATGATATTCCAAAGGACACGTACAGCTCTCTCTGCCGTTGGTAATGGTACACACGCCGCCATTTTCGCACGATAAGTTCAGACAGTTCTGGCATCTGGAACCGGTAAAGCCCGGTTTACATTTGCACATTGGCACTCCGGAGCTTGAGTTCGTGCACTCGCCCGAGTTGTGGCATCTGTAAAAGAAAATATGTTTATGTTTTTGTTTCCTGTAATTATGTTTTTCATTCATGTTCCTGTGATTGGGTGCAAACCTGTTGGAATAAAGATTATTAGTATTAAGATTATTATTTTCCATATATGGCAGGCTGCTAACCTAACCCTACAACCCTCCTCCTTTATCCGGGCTGGAACCCACCAAGCTACTCAATCCACCTGGTTTATAATGCAGGCGGAGTCAGAAACAAGTATGGCGCTTCATAAGACAACAAAGAAGTGAAATGAAATAACTAGTTGAAATAGAACATATAAAAGAGGATACATGGGTGGCCTTTCTGACAGAAATGTTTAAAAAAGAAAACGAATGAAAAGACCGAAATCTCCCGAGAAGATGTGAAACAAGGAATAAATAAATTAAAAAATAGAAAGTCACAAGGAGAAGATTAAATAGCAAATTAACACTTAAAATATGGAGGTGATTACCTTGTATAACAACTGCAACTCCTTATTCAAAAAATAATCACTACGAACAGAATACCAGATGAATGGAGGAGAGCGATCATGCTAATGTTCTTCAAGAAAGGATATAAGAAAGACCCCAATAATTATCGAGCAATAAATCTGTTAAATATAACACTCAAATTGACAACAAGAATAATAGCGACAAAAATAAACGAACGAATAACTCTGCAAGAGGAACAGCAAGGATTCCGGATAGGAAGATCATGCACGGATGCAGTTTTTGTAATAAGACAAATAAAAGAAAAGTCGCTGGAATACAACAAACCGGCATATATGTGCCTGATAGATTTGAAGAAAGCGTTTGATTGAGTGAGAATTCGGGACGCGATACATTTATTATATGATAGGGAAATACCACTGGATTTAGTAAAAACTATTGATAATATATATATAAAGATAACATAGCTATGGTGAGATGTAAAGGAAAACTCTCGCAACCTATCAAGTATGAAACTGGCATTAGACAAGGAGATTCGCTGAGCCCACTAATATTTAATCTGATAATGGATGAAATCATAAAGAACGTTAAAAGAAGAAGAGGTAGAATGGGAGAAAAGGAAATGCAGATAATATGCTAAGAATATTCATAATTTTTATAAATGGTTGAATATTTTTATGGAATTCTAGTATAGCGTTATACCAAAATAATGTTTTTATATTAATAAGTTTTGATTCAATATATGCTACGCCGACAACGACATAATAATAGCCGAAAATGAAGATGACCTACAAAGATTAATCAAAGAATTCGAAGATACGGCGTTCATATACGAGTACAACATGGTGATTTCAGAGAAAACTAAATCGATAGTGATATCAGCGGAACGGAGACGATGTAAACTGGTCGTAAATAACAAAATAATAGTGATGGAAATGGAATACTTGGGAATCAAACTGTCAAGTTATGGAAAAGTGGAAGAAGAAGTACAAAAACAAGTGAGCATGGCGAACAGAGCAGCAGGATGTCTCAACAATACAATCTGGAGAAACAAATACCTCATAACGCTAACGAAATCTGGGATATATATATAAATCAACAATAAGACCGATAATGATGTATACAGCCGAAACAAGAGCGAAAACTCAAAGATTATTGGAAACACCAGAAATGAAAGTCTTACGAAAAATAACAAACCAAACTCTAAGAGACAGAGTAAGAAGTGAGGAAATACGAGCTAGATGTGGTATAGAGGAAATAAAGCCAGTCTCCTTGAAATTACACCCTGATTTTTTGTTTTCCTCATCAATCTCTCTTATCTCTGAGCAGTAAATGCGCGTGGTCTTCCATGTTTTGGGAGATTCAGATATGGCATTCCCTGCTCGCACTCCGATATTGTTTGATACATGGTTCTGCGTGGAATGTTTTCATTCCGGAGTATTCGACAGATTTCAGCTTTGGTACCCACCCTACTGAAAAGTTCTCACAGTGCTGACCAAAACAAAATTCTCACCTATTCTGGCACAGATCCACAGGCGTTTCACACCTCTCTCCAGTCCACTGCGGAGGACACATGCACCTCAACGGTACCACTTCCGTCCCTCTGGTGGCCGCTTTGGTGTTAACGATGCACATTCCGTGATTCTTGCAGTACTGCGAGCACCGGTACAGTTCGCAGTACTGGCCGGCGAACGATGGTGGACACACGCAGGAAGGTCCGTAGCCCTCGATGATCTTGCAAGTACCTTTGTGGCAGTTCAGCGGGCAGGATGGTGTTCGGCTGTTGGTTACTTTGCATGTCTGAAAAGAAAATAAATCAAACTTTTAACCTTTACCTTTCTGATGTTTAAAAAAGTGAATTTTTAATGTAAGATTGGAGCTTTGTAACTAGATTCAATCGCGGAATCTCTACTAATAGAATTTATCAATGGAAAATAAATATACGCAGAGATTGCAGAAGTTGACATGGTTATAAATCTGTCATAAATTAGTTTCAATTGTTGTCATAAATTAGTGTAACAGTAATAAATTAGACTTTAAGCAGCAAAAAGGGTATTTTTATTACAATAAATAACGAAGGCACTGCCACAAGTGAGTATAAAAAATGTCCTACAAGATTCCCGTCTGAAGATAAAGACTCCAAATGGTGCCACCGGAAATCGGTGTATGTACTTTAAACAATATTTTATGGACAGTTTGACGAAATTTTGATAGCATCATAATAATCAACTGCGGCGTCATGTTATGGTACCCATATGGAACAATTAACTTGTTTAGGTTGTCAAGGTAGGACTAGTCTCAATGCAATACTGCTTCCTCATAAGCTATATAATAATGGACCAACTTTGTCATTTTTGTAGTAGTTAGTAGTAGTAGTAGTAGAAAGATTTATTTAGCACATTTGGCTACATAAACAGAATAATTGTAAACAACTTAGAACTAGTAAATTCAAGCCATATGGTGTATGATGGAAATGCTGGGCAACCTATAATTGTAGATTTAACAAGTGATTTCTCAATTTTACTTTAAATTTTGTCAAAGTTTTCTGGTCTTTTATCTCTGAGTATAATTTATTATATTCAATCAACCCTTGATGCAATACAGATATGTAGCATATATATTTTGGGTCATTAAATGGAAGTCATCTTTATTTCTGGTATTATGTAAATGATGGTCGACATTTGATGATGTTAAATTAGTTAGACTTGATGGAAATATATTATTTTTTACTTTATAAATGAATATCATTACAAGATATTTGATAAAAATTTTTACATTGAGCCATTTTAATTTGCTAAGCATTTGCCTAATTGGAGTATATTTATCTTTATTTAGTATTATTCTCATGCATTTATTTTGTAAAATTTGCAGTCTTTCCAAAATGGAATTATTTGCTAAATATAGAATAGTCGAACAGTACAAGAAGTTTGGAAGGATGATGGTATTATAGATAATTTTTCTGCTATATGAACTCAGACAATAATTTCTAAACCAATCTAAAATACTTCCTGTTATACCATATGCCTTCAATTTACCTAACAAAATATCTCTATCAATCGTTTCAAATGCCCTCTTCAAATCCAAAAATACTGCTATGACAACTTCTTCTGAGTCTATGGCTCTTCTCCAATTCTCAGTTACCAACTGGAAAGCCGTTTCTGTGGAATATTTTTTTCGAAAGCCTGCTTGCGCCTCCACAAAAATTTTGTTTTCTTCTATAAACTGCATTAATTGGTCATGTACTATGGACTTTAATAATTTTTCAATGTCTGGTAACACATTTACTGGTCTCATATCGCTGCATCTTTTAGAATTTTTTATTTTGGGAACTGGTGTTATTGTAGAGCATTTCAAATCTTCAGGAAAATAATTGCTTCTCAGTGAACAATTGATCCAATTTAATACAGGATATCCCAAAATTTCGAAACAGTTTTTCAGCACGTTTTTAGTAGTGATTTCGGCACAGTTGTTATTTGATTTTAAACTGTTTACTTTTTTTCTGTGAAATTTTGAAAGTGTATGCAACATTTCCCCCTGGAAACTGATTTTTTTTCATATAGTCAGGTGCAGTATTGGCAGTACCCACAATATCAACAATACTTTCCACAAAATATTCATTTAGTTTGTCTGCAATCACCAAAGAATTTGTTTCGGTACCGTTTTCGAATTGAACTTGATTTACACAATCATGCGGCTTCGAATTGATCAGTCTTTTTAAAGTCTTCCACATCTTTACACTGTTGCACTTGTTATTATCGATTTGTTTATCGTAGAATTTCCATTTTTCTTATCTAATTACATACACACATTTATTCCTAAGTGTTTTATATACCTCCCAATCATCATTTGATTTTGTGAATATACATTTATTGTATCTCTCAAATTTTGAGCTGCCTTAATATTTTTGTTATACCAGGGTGTATTTTTTGTCGAGCAAATCACTTTTTTATCAGTTGCAAGATCTAAACAAGTTTTTATATTTCCTATTATGTTGTCATATATTTTTTCCATATTCTCAGCAAAATTCCAATAGCAGCCAGCAAGTTCTCGTTCAAGTTTTTCGTACTTAATAGTATTTACGATTTTCTTAATTTTTGTATCAGAAAAATCCCCTACCAAGGGCAGCATTGTCCAACTGTGATCACTAACTTTAGGTGTATGTACAGCTTTAATCCCTGCACATTCGAAATTTACAATAACAAGATCTAACAAAGTCGTTTATGGTTTCTTTCAATTTTCTTGTTTTCATGCTTTTACCATAATAATTTAAATTAAAATCACCTAAAAGTATTATATTGTTTCTAAAATTCCACATTTCTTCGCATTTTTCTTCAAAAAACGTTAAAAATGTATCCGCATCACTGTTTGGTGAACGGTAAAAAGTACAAAGATCATAACGTTTCCCAAATAATTTGAACTGTATATGTGTATACCAGTATGCATAGTCTAAAGTGGTACAATCGAATAATGGGATCTGTATTTTGTGGTAAACATAAATCACTACACCTCCAGAATGTCTGGAGTTGGAGTTGCATCTGTAGGTTTTATAATTAGTAATTTATCACCATCAGTGATGTCTTCTGTAGCATGTGTTTCGGTAAGACATAATACAAGTGGTTTTCTCCATCTTAAAAACTGTTGAACTTCATCTATATTATTCATCACTGTGTGGTACCTTTACCACGCTGCTGGGGTTGACTTCCAACCCTTCATTTCGAATTAAATTAAGTTGCTCTCTAGCTCCATTTTGTACACGAACGAACGTGCACAATCCCATAAGTCGATTTCCTTCGAAAATAAAATTTGTGCAATTATCCACAAAAAATCATGAAAAAGCTTACTGATAGGGACACAAGCGATAGTATGTTCAGCCCCGAGAAACTAACCCCACAGATCACAATCGTGACAATATACTGAACAAAACTTACCAAATTATCTTTGGTGTATCCATCTGCACATATGCAAGTGGCATCCTTAGGCGTCAATAAACAAAACTCATTATTATTACAGAAATCGTCGCAAGCATTTGGTATCTTCATTTGCTTCTGTTCCTGTAATATCAGAATATCGGATATCCTTGTCGATCCTTGCAGCAGATAGAACATGTCACCTTGCCCAAACTTGTTCATTCGGATGATGTCATGTTCATGGTATGTTGAGAAAAACATGGAATCTTCAAATATTTCCAGTTTGAATGGTTTGATACCAGCTTCAAAGTGCTTCACTGTATGCCTGTCAGTGCCGTCGAATAGGATCGATTCTATGGTCATTGTCTTTGGATCAGCCCAATACAGTCGACTGGTCGGGTGGTCTATAGCCAGACCTAGAAAAGAACATAGTTTAAATCACATTGAATAATCTGGTTTTGAGGAATGTAAGGTGAAATATCTAAAACAGGCAAGCTTGTTTATAAGAACTTTGTTAGTATTTCAATACGTTGAATCTACCAGTCAATATTCTGTAACGCCCTGTATGCAATGAACCATTCAGAAGAAACATACACAATTTAGGATTGATTCAGAATTTTATAGCTATACGCATTTTCAAAAACATACCTGTGGGCCAAAGAATTCCAGTGTTGATCAAGACCTTTCTCTTATAACCGTCCATGAATGCTGTCTCTATTCTAGGGCTAGGGCCAAGATCTGTCCAGAACATTACGCCTTGAGTGGGTGCCACTACTATGTCTCTAGGTTGCTGAACATTTCCGCTAACCAAGGTGCAAACGTAGTCACCATCCAAAGAGGCTGCTATTATTCTGTTTCCGTCAGTTACATACATTCTCTTAGCAATCTGTAAATGAAAAAATATTTTTACAAATGTGAAGTATCTCGATAACCATAACTTGTCGTGCCTGAGGACAAGGTTGATTCTAGCGAAATTTTTGACACAGATCTTAAATAAAAACCTTTAGTTGAAGAACATGCAGAAAAAATGAGTGATCTTTAAGCACTTAAAATGAAAAGAATCATACCCAATCCAAGCTGATACCCCTTGGATCTTGCAAATTGGACAATACAGTTTTTGCTATTTCAGAATCTCTATTAGATCTTCCATCCTTGTCAACGTGTATAATCATAGACTGAACTCTCTTGTTTTGGTGATCTGTCCAAAACGCTAAGTGTTGTTGATCGTTCGATATTAGTATGTCTACTGCATCCACTTTGTATCCTGGGGCTGTTGCAAGGGTCCTCCGTAGTTCGTTGTCGTCACGAGATTTATATGGAGATATTAGCCTGAGCTCTGCTTCTGAAGCAATAACTAATTCTGCCATTTTTCCTTTCGCTTGGCAATGTCCGTCTTCTACGTGTCTGAAAAAATGTAAAAAGTTCCTTGTTTATTTAATTTGGAATAAGCATTAAATTAATTCAATATGTAGGCGTATCCATATTCTAAGACCGCGGATATACTCTGACGAGGAAGGTGGAATTCGACAGGCTACAGGTCATGGGTGACAACATTCCAGTGGCTCCTCAGCCTCCTTATTCGCCTAACTTGAGTCCTTGTGACTTTTTTCTCTTCGCGAAGTTCAAAAATCACCTCAAGGGAACTCATTTTGGGACAGTCGGAAACACTCAAACGGCTGAAGGCTGCCTCAGTATCGGAGTGCCAGCACTGCTATGCGGAGTGGAAGAACCGTCTCCAGCACTGTGTGGCTCCAGAAGGACGTTATTTCGAGGGTGGCAATATAAAATTGTAATTACATTTGAATAAAAAAATCAGTTTCATCACTTAATTTACAAACTGCTTATTTATCTATCATTGTATACTCACTCGTATCCCTCTATGCACTTGCACGACGTCCTATTCCAGGCGACCAGCACGCAAAGCTGCGAGCACGCGTCCCACGGACACATCGACTCCGTAGCGCACCTCGCTTCGTCCGATCCGTCCGAGCAGTCTACGCGTCCGTCGCACTCGAGAATGGCATCTATGCACCGGCCGTCCGAATTACACCGAATCTGCATGCGCGGACACAGGCCGTGCCGTTTGCACACGTGACGTTCCTCGTCGCTGCCGTCACCGCAGTTGTCGCGACCGTCGCAGAGGACTGTTACGGGAACGCAACGGTGGTTCTTGCATCTAGAAAAGGTCAAAACAGATGATCATGAATATCTTACTGAAAAAATCACATTGAAGTATAAGTACATTAATAATAATCCTCTTTATGAGTGGCGAAATTTAGCATAGTGCTATTCTGCCACTTAACCCCCTAAAAAGTACAACGAAAAAACAAAACAGAATATTTCAATGTTAACAAAAGTAATACTCGTAATATATAAATATATATATATATATATATATATATATATATATACCGGGTGTCCGCAAAGTTGGGGTTTTCCTTTTCAGAAACAACTACCCTTGAAATAACAAAGGTAATATGTAGTGAAACGAGGGCGACCAAGTAAAAAAAAATAAAGGAAAAAGTACTCACTCTCCAGTTGACGAGAAGGGCTAAGTACGTCTCTGCCCGAAATCATACCGCTCCAACAGAAAATGAAATCAGCTGATGCGCTACCGAGCAGACGCCGGCCGTGTTGCAGACCTCGAACAGAGGTAACAAATAAGAAGGCGTTGGCGCGTTTTCAGTTTTTAGGTAAACGTACTTTATGTATTGTTCGAAGTTATCGCCGTTTGATTCAAAAACACAGATGCGTGCACGACGTAGCCAAGCATCGGTGCAGGCTTTGAGAATGGAGTCCCTCCCCCGAATGGAAGCACCAGCTTGTTCAATTCTGAGACGAAGTTCGTCAACCGTATGCACTTCAGTACACTAAGCGTTTCATTTCTCCCCAAAGAAAAAAATCACATGGTGTTAAGTCTGGAGATCGCGGAGGCCACGCTACGGGTCCATTACGTCCGATCCACCTATTCGAAAATAATTCATTCAAAAACTCACGCACTTCGCGTCTAAAATGGGGCGGTGCACCATCGTGCAGAAACCACATTGATTGTCTTACACTTAATGGCACATCTTCTAACAAGGAAGGCAAAATGTTGCATAAAAAGTCTAGGTATTGCATCCCGTCTAATCGATTTGGGAGAATAAATGGTCCAATGAGCATACCGTTCACCATGCCAGCCCAAACATTCACCGAAAATGTTTTTTGAAAATGTGCCCGACGGACAGCGTGCGGATTTTCTACTGACCAAGCATGAGTGTTGCGAAAGTTATTCACCCCATTACGCGTGAACGTAGATTCGTCTGTCACCAATATGCACTTCAAAAAGTCCGGATTATTGTCATGTTGATGCAACAACCACTCACAAAACCGCACTCTTGCTGGAAAATCGTCAGGTTGAAGGGCTTGTACACGTTGGACGTGAAACGGATACAGCCCCTCTTCACGCAGCGTTTGCCACACTTTAGTTTTTGATACTTGTACTTCTCTAGCCACGTCTCTAGTGCTTGTTGTTTTTTGAAACGCAATCGATTATACGGGTTCGTTTACCTCTACACGCGTGACCGTAACCGTCAGTTGAAGGTTGCATACTGACCTGACACACTGACCCCGACCCAGTTCTGTCGTCGGGTTGAGCTAGTGTCCTAGTACCACTCGGGGATGTCGCGGGTCGCGGCTACAGGACGGTATTCAGATATTTTTGATGTTGCAGAGCCCTTTATCCCGGTTCCCTTAAGACATTGGTGTATATGGTACTAAGAAAAATTGCTTATGTTTTCAAGATCTATACGTCGTGTAAAGGAAAACCCCAACTTTGCGGACACCCTGTATATACATATAAATATAAATAAGTTGTGTATAAAATATAAATTATAACAGTTTTACAGTTCAAAGAATTAAATTGTACATTTTACAGCAAATGACAAGGCGCCAATTTTTTCCCACACTAATTGGTGAGGAAGACGGTGTATATGAATTATTTCGAAATCGAATCTATCGTCTTTCGGTAATGCTTCGCCCTTCTAAGAGACATACAGTTCTGCTCGGGTTTTGGTGAACTTTTGGCACAACGATGAAGTTTTGTAGGCTTTGACAGTCTGTCCAGTGGACTTGTTTCGACTTTTAACGTTCACTATTAAGGCAGAGTAACTCATATCTCACTTATCACTTATTCTCTCTCAACTATACCTAATTTTTTACATTTGCTTTAGCAGTGTGGCGAGGGCAAATTTTTCTAAGAGACATTGTAAAAGAAGAAACATTTACCTAAATCTACCCGTAGGACACGCAGCCGAAAAGCAATTCTGCTCATCAGAACCATCTTCACAATCATCCTGTCCATCGCATCTCCATTGTTCATTGATACAAAAGCCGTTTTGACATTTGAAACCGTTATGCAGACAAGTTTTCGTACAGTTTGCTTCGTCTGATCCATCTGCACAGTCTGGCTCGCCATCACACCTCCAAGATCTATAAAAAAAAAATTTATCTCAACTAGCAAAGCTTTCTTTTACTATAAGAACAATTAGTTACCAGGTAGGGAAAAACTGAGCCTTGGCAGTTAATTTGCTTTATTTATATGTATGTTCCCCAAATTGTTTTGAAAAACTGCTTATTTTACAAAGACGAGCTGTTAGAATATAAGTCTGTACATGCTTTTAATTCTAAATCTTAATGGATGTCGTATCATTGTTTATTTTAGATACAGTAACTCTTAATTTTTAAATAAATCTAAAATTGAAACGTTAAATATAAGTTACGATATTACACGAAAACAAGATCTTAAATTAGTAGTAACTAAATCAACGCTTGTGAAAGATTCAATAATTTATAATGGTCTGAACATTTAGAAGTGCCTCCATGATGCTACCAAAAGAATCAACAATTTAAAAATATTCTACCATGAACTTGAAAAACCTCTAACTTGTATCACATTATACCATTTGTGAGCTCCACAATTAATTTACTCAAGATTTACATATGTAATTTTCTTATACTTCAAAGTTAGCATTTAGCCCGGTGAGTAAACACAAAATTTTCCCACAACCTTGCCAGTAGTAGACTCTTCGGTCTCCTGATCTGTCGCCGTGCGCTGTTCGGGTTCGAATCCCGTCCCAAGACAAATTTTTCTGTTGGCTATGTACATATATGTTGTGATTTTGTCCGTAGGTGGTAGACGGTCTCTGACTGCCGAACGGAGAGGTACCACCCGGCGGATCTCGTAGGCAGGGCCAGAATGTGTACATGTTGCATGTACACGTGTTCCCTCGCCAGAGTCCGTGTGGCTTTTTCCTGTATCCCCCTATTGCCCCACGGTACCCCATGGGTGTTTAGGCCTTAGACCTTCGTGGTAGTTGGAGTATAAAAAAAAGAAAAAATCTACAGGGTGTCTCAAAAGGTACGAAATCTTTTGTAAATAAACAGCACGCCACTGAGTAGATTTAATTGGTGGGGGAGCATCGTGCTGAAGAGTCAAGTGTCGGGAAATTTAGTAACCATGCCGAACTTCACCTGAGAACAACGTGCGTTTTGCGTGCGGGCGTACTATCAATCCAATAATTCGTTAATAGCTGCGCACCGTCATTATCGAAATCATTACGGTTTACATGGTCTCCAACAAGCTCTCAGTGCGACTAGCATTTTGCGATGGGTAAGAACGCTAGAGGCTACTCGCAGCACAACAGTAGTTTCTCACACGGGTCGTCCGAGAACTGCTAGGACCCTTGAAAACATCGAGCGTGTTCGTCAATCTGTGCGACAAAATGCAGAAATGAGTGTGCAGAAACGGGCTACGCCGTTACGAATCCATCGATCAACAGTGCACCGAATTCTTAGGAAGGATTTAAAGCTAAATGCTTATAAGATTCAATTGGTCCAACAATTAAAAAGATAGATTTGGTCTCAAGGTTAAATTTTGCTAATGAGATGTTGCAAAGGTTTCATAATTTCGACAACATGTTCTCTAGTGACGAGGCCCATTTTTATTTAAATGGGCATGTCAACAAGCACAATAGCAGGATTTGGGGAGAGGAAAGTCCGCATAATACTCACGAACGACCGTTTCATTGCCCGAAAGTCACGGTATGGGCCATACTTCTTTGAGGACGCGAGAGGCAGGGCCGTAACTGTGAATTCAGACCATTATATCGCTATGTTACAGCAGTTTTTTGGACAGAACTACGTCAGCGACCAGATTACAATATTGACAGTTGGTTTCAACAAGGTGGCGCAACTTGTCATACAACTAACGCATCCATTGCTGCGGTTCATGAGCTGTTTACTGGACGTGTAATTTCTAAACGGGGTGACATCAATTGGCCCCCACGAAGCCCAGATTTAACTCCTCTAGACATTTTCCTGTGGGGCTACCTTAAGGAAAGGGTATACCAAAATGCTCCAGCTAATATAGAACAGTTGAAGCGGAATATCGAGGAGGAAATTGCCCTTATCACCCCTGATCTACTCCGTCGAGTATTAGTCCATATGCGCTCAGTATTTCAAGAATGCCAGCGACGCAACGGACGACATCTGATAAATGTTATTTTCAAAAAGTAATTTCCAAAATGTCTCGCTTTGTATTTTATAAATAAATAAGTTGTGAGTAAAGTTGTTCGGATATTATTACATTTTCAAATATTTCGTACCTTTTGAGCATAATATATAAAATTTTGGATATAGGTAACTGACGTAGTCTTCTTTATCATAACGAAAATTTCCAAATCCTGCAGTAAGCAGGTACTGAAAACAAATTTGAAAAACTTTTTGATTGATCTGTTTGTTACGGACCTATAAATTATTATATATTATTAAAATTTATCAAACACTTCTGCCTACCACAGGCGAGCAACGTCAAGCAATTAATCGTTACATGTTATAACCTGTTCAACTAACATTTGCGCCGCGCCACAATTCCTGAGCTTATTGGCTTATTGTTGCGTGGCTAATAGCACGAAAGCATGGAAATAGAGGACCTCTTTTTTCTTGATATGGTGTAAATGTCATTTGAATACGGTATTAGAGGAATTGCTGCACGTCAGATGACATATATCCTCTAAATCCATGGCCTCCATTCATCTCTACTATTATATTAATTGGGAGAGATACTTACAAATAAATGCAAGCTTTTGGATTGGTGCATTGGAATTCGTTCTTTTTGCATGGAATGTTGCAGTTTTCTTCATCAGATCTATCGTCGCATTGATACTCTCCATCACATCTCATTATACCTCTAATGCACTTGCCATTTTTGCATCTGAACTCAGATTCTGAACAGTTTCTGTAGACACAGTCTGGAAAAACATTATTCTCAGTTATCACTTTTAGTAAGAGATTCTCAAACTTATTTCATCTACTGCCCACTTCAATTACTTTCTAGCACCCACTTAAATTACTCTAATCTAAATATACCTCGTGGTTCACACAAAAATCAGCTTTTTTCTTCCTACGCCATTCGGCCAAAACATTATACAAACGGTAGGGCAATGAAAGAATGTCTAAGGACTAATCGCACGGGCCTATTTGACTGACTTAATCCGTTTAATTTCTCTGTTACATATGTTCATAGCTGTGTTCTTAGAGGATTTAACTTGAACTCAATCCTTTCTGAACTGATGACAACGTTGCGTAGGAAGTGCATAGTCAACCTACTCGACGGCATTTTTTTCGCGGCTGCTATAAAGAGCCTCGAGAAAAGCTACTTTATCTGCTTATGAGAAAACGATTTATTTTCTAAACATTAAAACTGTAAATCTTTCTGATATCTATCACTTTGTTGGTCATTCAAAAATTAATATCGCGTTAATACCATTTTCAAGTCAAAATTTAATAATTCTCATATTCTACAATCTTAGAAGAATTAAATTCAATAGATTCACAAATGCTAAAAAAGACTGTTTAAATTATCTACTTACTTTCTTCGTCTGAACCGTCACCACAATCACTGTCAAAGTCACATCGCCATCTTCCTGGAATGCACTTGTTGTTCTTGCATTTGAAATACGTAGGTTCGCAAGTATGGTAAATAGGATTATTGCAACTGCTAGGTTCATCCTCTCCCTCTGCGCAGTCTGCCTCACCGTCGCATTGCCACGATTGGGGAATACATCTGCAATAAGGTATAGCAAAAAATCCCATTAAAAAATATGAAGAAAATCAACTGCTCGAAAATAAGGAGGTTTTCTGAAAGTCTAGTTTGCAGAATGCCTTGTGTAGCTTGTGATAGTATATGCTTGCAATTATCAATCTTAGCAATTCTATCGTAAAATATATTTCAAACAAGAATTCCTGTTGAACCTGTTTAAATGACTATTTTTAAAGGTTAACACAATGTTGTTAGGAAAATTTAAAACCAAATTCAGTCGTTGAACAAATGGATCCGGAAATTCTCCATTTCCGAGGAGGTTAAATTTTTAAATCTTTGTATTTAACGAGAAATTATACACCACTGGTTTTTGAAAATCAAGTAAAAACTCATATTAGTTCAGCTTGGAAAGTGTGTCTTGAAGTTTGTCGTTATGTCCGTTAAAAAAACGACGCTATTGTTTAATAACGATAAACTGAAGTACTGGTTAATAGAACAATCGATCTAGCTTTAAGATATTGCGGATACTAATTAATTATTTGCAAAAATCAATGAAGTGATGTGATTCCGAGAAATGTAGGTGAGGTAATGGAAACGAAGCACTTCTGGACCTTTGTCTGGACCTTTTTACAAGTTTATAATTATCACAGCATAATGTTCATTATTTTTGTCTCAATTGGGTCAGCACTTGGATCAGTTTTTCTGTACGTTGGCCCTTTTCGAAATTACATTTATTGTTTAAATGAGTAACTTTAATTTCTGGTTGTAATTGTGAATAAATTTGTTTATTATTACTTTAAACCCAATATGGCCAGCGCCGGAAAAAGACGATTTATAATTTGCATGGTTACCCCTATACTATTGTTATCAAATGAAAGGACTTGATTACGGAAACATAATAGACAAAGTGGCGTCATTCTAAATCCAATATGGCGGCCGCCGTTAAATGGTGAATTATAATTTCAATGTTCACCGTTATGATATAGGTATCAAATGAAAGGACTTAATGGGAGAAACACAATAAGCAAATAAGGTCACTCTAAATTTATCGTTATATCGTTGTATGATTCATATCTATTGACATTTCAGAATACAAACAAAGTAAGAAGTTTTATGGGGTCCTTTTAATAAAATATATGAAAATCATAAAAAAATTACCAAACCAGTTATTTGGCACCTTATATACTAAAAAGTAAAAAATAAATTAAATGCAAAAATGCATTTTTAAAAATAAATTTCTATTTAGTTGTTATTGAAATGAACTAAAAACGTAAAAACATGTTTTCTGATTGGAAATATTTGAACCTCATCTCAAGTTTGACAGTAGAACAGAAAAAGGATGTAAGACGCTTTTCTTTGGAAACATGGCATGACGGAGGTTCATTATCGTTTAAATATTTCCAATCGAAAAATGTTTTTTTAAACTTTTAGGACATTTCATTAACAACTAAATAAAAGCTTGTTTTTAAAAACGCATTTTGTATTTTATTTCTTCATATTTTAATGCGTTGAATCTTGCACCCTGTATACATAACCTGTATAATTGCACAAATATGAATCTCACCTTCCAGAATTGCACCTAATATGGTTCGGCCCACACGTCCTAGTCTGACAATCCTGTTCTTCGTCCGAGTTGTCGGTGCAATCGTTGTCTTTGTCACAGACCCAAACAGCTGGAATGCACTTATCGTTGGCGCACTTGAACTGGTTCGGAGGACACGACGCTGGAGGGCAATTCTCTTCGTCTTCGCCCAAAGGACAGTCAACATGTTTGTTGCAACGCATCTTTGATGGGATACACATTGGAGGTTGGGAGGAGTTACCCTCACATCTGTAATTGCGAGAATTTTCGAAAATGAGATTATGTTATTTTGGAAGTTATATGATATAACATGTCTGTTTGTCTGTCGGTCTGTCCACTAATCTTATAAGAAGAGAAGACCGCTCGGATTTTAACTGAATTTTTACACAATGTTACTAGTATGCCAAGGACGCAAAAGCATTATAGTTCTTGAAAATCGGTCCGGTGGTGGCAGAAGAAAAGGTCAAAAATGAAAAATAATAAGTCACTCATACTTCCTTTTTTTTACGTTTCAGAGGATCCTGATCATTTTTGGAAAAAAATGAGAGGTGTAAAAAGTTTGTGGGGGTTGCGGGGTGGTGAGGGTTTATCTCAATTTTTGTGATGTTAGTAAATTTATACGCTCCCAACCTTAGTAATTCTATGCCCCTGTTAGATATACAGGGTGTAAACGTTATGGTAGTCATTATTGAAATGGGTAATAGGGGGGGGGGTCAAAACAAGTCAAAAAGTTCATATGACCCATGATCTAAAAGTCAATAGATCTTTGTCTAAATGGCTTTATAGTTTACAACTTTAAGTGCTTTACATCACCACAATCTTACTAATTTTTATAATCTAAGCTAAAACATTTTTAAATTGGGTGATTAACAAATAAATTGCATTAAGTTTTCCTAAGTTAAGCCAAAATTTGTAGTCAGTAAGTAAGTAAGTTTCATTAAATTAAATATTTAAAACACACATGACAACAGCGCGTCGGTCATTCATCACTCTTATCGAACCGGCAATCGATCGCAAACGGTAACAGTGGTTAGGTATTGTTCGCGTACGTCGTTGTGTTTATTTACAATGTTCTCGAATCAAGAGTTCGCCGACATGTTGTTAGTTTACGGTGAAGCTCGTCAGAATTCAACTCTTGCAGCTCAAATTTATCGCGACAGTTTTCGCCAACGGGTCCACCCAGACAGCAGGACATTTGTGCAAGTGTACCAAAGACTTCGAGATAAAGGAAGTGTTCAGCCCAATAATATTCGCACTCGTGAAAGACAGGTTACTGTAGAGCAGGAGGAACAAATTTTAAATATCGTGGAAGTCAATGCAGATATCAGCACTCGGGAATTAGGTTGTCGCGTAGGACTATCGCATACCATAATCCATAGAATCCTACGAGAAAATTTGCTTTATCCCTACCATTTACAACGAGTGCAGGCCTTGTTAACAGAAGACTATCCTCGCAGACTAACATTCTGTCAGTGGTTTTTGCACAAAAACATTGAATTTTTTAAAAACATTCCAGCGACGGACGAATGTACTTTTACGCGAGACGGGATATTAAATTTCCATAATACTGCTCACACGTGGTCCCAAGAAAATCCTCATACCATTCGTGAAGGTCATTTCCAACGTTTTAAAATAAATATTTGGGCGGGTATTCTTGACGATCAGGTAATTGGCCCTTTCGAGTTACCCCCAAAGTTGGCAGGAGAAGGATATCTTAGTTTTCTAACCAATAACCTACCAGAACTTTTGGAACAGACCTTAGACAACATGCCATTACAACGGAGACAGAATTTGTGGTTTCTTCATGACGGGGCACCACCACACATTTTTAGAGGCGTCATTCAGTATTTGAATGATGATTATCCAAATCGCTGGAGCAGTCGAAATGTTCCTGATCCTCGAAAATGGCCAGCAAGATCTCCTGACCTCAATCCGATGGATTTCTGGTATTGGGGAGAACTTAAAGGGATGGTTTCTGGGGCCGGTCCAATAACAACTGAAGCACAACTTCGCGAAAAAGTCGTTTTTCTCTAAAAAAATGCCGTTTTGACCCCCATGTTATATGAAACTTTTTGCTTCTTTTAACCCCCTCTATCACCCATTTAAATAATGACTATCATAACGTTTACACCCTGTATTTCACACAGCAAAATATTCCTAGCGGACAGATCGCGTACCTACCGGCCGCGGCTGCTGCTTCCGGCGACCTGCCGCCGGCCTTGATTAGCGTTTTGTTGTTCTTGTATTGCACATATTTGTGCCGCGACACAGCATAGGATTTTTCATACGTGACGGCAGGAAAAGATTGTCTATGGACCGATTTTTTGCATAGAAGTTTTACGTATCAATCTATCACTAATTTCAACTTACTTCCTTTAGATCTTAAACAATTACCGGCACGAAAATTTAAGGTAGCGCTTAAACAATATTTGAACGCTAGACAAAAGTATTTGTATATCATAACATCCTAACAAGTACTATAAAGATAGGTTTGCTTACTTCATATGGGGTGTGAGCAACTCAAAGTAAGCGAATATGTCTGAATATGGTAACAGGTGTAAGGGTTTAATTTGTTGATTATTAAATCGACCTTTTAATGACAATCGATAGTCATTCCAAAGTTTCTGTATGACTTCTAATATAATTGCTAACAAAAAGTATCAACACGAGATTCACTTGAAGGTCGAGGTAGCGTTGCGCTAGGTTTTTATACTGAAGACATTAGTCATCTATTATCTATCGTATACATACATACTTTTATACCTAAGAACAAGTACAATCGAGCAAATTATGCCGAGTAAGTTACGGTAGAACAAAAATAGACCAAGTAACCTATAGTAGATTTCTATTTTGCTCGATTGTAGCAAATAACTTGTTGAACGAAGATCTTACCTGAACTGGCTGTTAAGGCAGGTGTAATGTTGACAGTCGCTCTCGTCCGACTTATCCCCGCAGTCATCGTTTCCATTGCACAGCTCGGACGGATGAATGCACTTGGTGTTGTTGCACTGGTACTGACCCGGTTTGCACACGAATTTTCTGCAATCTGCCGGTTCATCGCTACCATCTCCACAGTCGTCTTGGGTATCGCACTTCCACCAGAACGGAATACATTTCAGGGTTGTTGTGCATTCGAAGTGCGCTGAAGTGCAGTTCGCTTCGCAGCTAGAAAGGAAAAAAAACGGCTTCAAGTATGTTGACTCTGCATTCCCGCGCAGCTCTGGAGTTAAGTTCTTAGAGAAAGTTGACTACGAACATGTATAATAAAGGACTAAATTTTACATATTTTTCTGATAACTATTATGACTTATCCCCCGTTTCCGGCATGACGTCGACTGCTGGGACTTCCTGTATGTATAAAATATGATTTTCTGTAAGCATGAGATCTAAATAAATCCATCCTACTGGTTAATTTGCTATTTGTTAGTTCAAAGTGTTGGTGACCGGCAAGAGTCAATGGTAGCCTAGTTTTACCTTCCCAACAATGCTACTATGTTATAATATTTGGGAATCCTCTTACCTGCGACCATCTTTACCCAGGACGTAGTTCTCGGGACAAGCACATGTGTAGTTGGGCTCCTTGGGGCTCAGTAAGCACAACGCTGAACAATTCGCCGTCAGGCAAGGGTTCTTCTTCACAGACGGTTGTCGATACGGGTGCACCACTCTGATGTCCATCGGTCTGTGCAGAGTTGAAAACACGTTCTTACAATCCTCGCCAGTGTATTTGTTGCACCTTTCTACTGATTTCGTCTCCCAATCTGTCCAATAGATGTAGTCTTCCCAGATGTCTATTGCGAACACGTGGTGTAACTGTAGTTTCGGATTTTTCTCTCTACTTGCGACAACCTTGAAATATTAAATTTAATATATTTTACTAGATACCTTAGTACGAAAAATATCGAGTGCTGCAGATATGCATAAGCATAAAACAGATGTATTTAAGATCTGCCAGCAACGGAAGTTTGACTTTTTTATGTTTCCAACCATCAAGTTCAGACTATTATTAATGCGTAAATTTTGTCATTATCCAGATATTTGCGTTATTTTCTAGAGTAAAACATAGAAATACTATATTTTAAATAAAATGTCTTTTTCTTAACTTGAATGCAATTCGATGGGACTATTAATCTTATTTATTAATACCTTGATATTATTTCCGTCCAGATCTGACACAGCTATGTAATCCTCCCTAGCATCTGCCCAGAATAGTTCGTTGGTTTCGTAAGAAATCGTTAAGGCGTTAGGCCACCCTAGGTTGTTCTTGACGATAACTTTTGCATCGCTACCATCCATACCAATTTTACCGATGTGAACTTTCGTACCCCAGTCTGACCAGTACATGTATCTGTTTATCGGGTCTACCGCAAGCGCTCTAGGCTCTTCCAAGCCTTTAGAGTAAAGCATCCGGCGGTACTTTCCGTCTAAGGTGACTACTTCAATGGTATCCAGGCCCTGAAATTATTTTTTCTATAATGTAGTAATTCTTGAAGCTTCTAGGATCGTATTCAAAGAAGTGTCTCTTAAACTACATTTATGATTCATTTTACATCGATTGACTGACGTACATGGAACTAACACTGCAATACCGTGTAATGAATGTTGTTAACATTAGACAGAGTAATTATGAGTAAATGTTCCATCTTAAGCTTTATTACATACTGAGATAATATTATTTCTGAAGGAACATAATCGTTCAACAGATTTGAAGAATCAAACATAGAAGAGTGAATGCCCCCAACTTTTGACACGTACGTTCTTATGCAAAGCCGCAAAGCAAGTGACAATAAGTGACACACGGAACTGCCAAAACTCGGAAATGTGTTCACAGGATCAGTGTCGAGAATAAATACGGACATTGGAATCATATAACTATGTTGTTTTTAACACTAGCCTTACCTTATCCACCCAATATAGATTTCTCCCCACCCAATCTACAGCTAATCCATCGGGATTTTGTAAAGTAGACGAATGTAGCATCTCTACTTCGGTTGAATTTTTCTTGTAATCGCACAGCCTCTTTATAGATGATCCATAGGAAGTGACGTCCGACCAGTAGAGGCATTGCGTGGACCAATCGTAATCTAGAGCTACTGCGTTGGTTAAGTTATGCGCCAAAATAGTGCTGTGGCCCAGTAAATCTACTTCTCGAATGTAGTATCTAATAAATAAGTAAATGATTATAGAAAAATATAACCAGATATCGTCATCTACTAAAATATGGAAAATTCGATTTGCATATCAATTTATCTAATAAGTTTAAATACGTATTTAAAAAATAAAAAATGATCTACTGATATTCCCATAAATAAGAATTAATATAAATTCTCAGGCGAATGTATCTGTATTTCATACCATCAGAGGTATTTCCGATAATTCCATCAATGTCAGTTCGTTTAATCTATGTGATCATAAAATCATCAATAATTACTGACTGTCAGGCTACAAGCTCAATAAACATATTCCAGGGTGAATGCTGATGAATCACAGTATATACTGATCTTACGACATTCGCCTTAAAATCATGGGAAGCAGTTAGACCTGTTGCAACATTTGGGGGTATAAAGTCCGGAAATCGTCGGTCACAGAACGGCAATACAACAAAGAAATCAGACTTTCAATACTAAGTGAATAAAACACAAACTATAAGGCAGCTTTTCAGTTAAATATTTCACTGACTAATTAGATGATTGGCTTCCAATGTTGCAAAAACATTTCAATATCCCTCAGGTTTTTCAAACATCTTGTTTTTTTTTCTATATAATATGGGAAAATGACAAAATCGCCGTCGAAAACAGAATTTTTGAATTTGTTATTTAAAAAACGAACTGATCAAATTGTGAGGTAACTGTCGAACGTCCTTTTTTTAAAGATGTCCATGAGTCTTATGAAAATTGAAATAATATAGGATCTCTTGCAAATGTCAGGAAGAATGCGGTCGATTTCGTTCAAATGTCGGGAAAATAATACAAAACTTTCACCACATAAAAATGCAGGCATTTCTATAAACTGTGACCAGTGTTAACATACCTGTTTGCCAAAATTAAAGAAACTTTGACTGTAGAATTCGCCCGGCATGACTTCTTATCATAATGCAGAATGTAATTCTTGTCGCAGCTGCAGTGGTAGGATCCCCTGGTGTTCCTACAAATCTGGCTACACGGCCTGTCTGCGCACTCGTTCACATCGTCGCACTGATGTGGATCCTTCGGGTTCCTCTGGTATCCCTCCTTGCACTTACATTCGTACCCGACCGGCTTGTCGACGCATATTTGAGCGCATGGGGATGGTATGGCTGAGCACTCATCGATGCCTGTAACGTTCCAGTCTAGAGATAATTCATTTTGCGGTTGGTAGACCTTTAAGGTGGCTTTAAGCCATGTATTGAATGAAGGATGAAAATACAGATGAATAATCTACAATCAATATCTTATTCATACACTTCCAGCCCCGGTCATTCTACACGCATCATACATTTCAATGTACATTAGCCCTTAAAACAGTAAAATTATTTTCAGTCAACGGATCGTGTACCTATTGGTCGAACTTGATATGAGCCACGGGGTTGTAAATATTGCAACTTTGGTAGTGGATCTGAAAGACTTATGAAAGCAGGTAGTAGACGGCGCGGTGATGCGATATGCAGATACGAGGTGGGCGAGATCTGGACATATAGACGATGCTTGTAATGTAATTTAATAAGGTAACTTGATTTCGTGTGGTATCACACATTTAACAGTGTTATAACAGAACTTCAAATGACATAAGGCTACCGTGTACGGACACGCTTATTGCGGCAATCTGAAGGTTTTTTTCCATAAAAAAATACAAATAGTGCACTAATGGTTCTGACAAAACCTAAGTCTTTTTAATGCCATTGCACTACATGGAAAATTGCACTAGAAGTTGTTTCGAAGGCGTGGGAAGTATATCAATTTTGTATTGTTTATTTTGTCTAGACTCTTAACCTTAGGGGCAGTAAAATCTCTTTTCGGAGGGGAGGACTTTGTTGTGCTACATAATTTGTCAATGATGTGTATAAAATGCTATAAAATCCACAGAACGTGCACACTTACGACATGTTTTCTCATCAGAAAAGTCCCCGCAATCGTTCTCCCCATTGCACAGCAGCGTCTCGTTGATGCAAACTCCATTCTCGCATGCGAACTTCCCTTTGCCCGTGCACTGATCCGCCTCTTTCTTGCACTGATTCTCATCGCTGCCGTCGCCGCAGTCGTCTTTGCCGTCGCACTTGAATAGGTCAAGGATGCAGTTGCCGTTTTTACATTGGAATTCAGCGGGAGTGCAGGTTTTGTAGCAGTCGGAGGGTTCGTCGGAGCCGTCCACGCAATCCCTAAACATCACCATAAATTCTCTTTTCAACGTGATCAACAGTACTTGACATTAATATTTGTATTCAGAAAACAATATTTTTATATTAGGAAGTGTGAAAATCAGATAAAATGTTCCTATTGTCTTATGACATTTAAATGCTCCCTCAATCTTATAAATTTAAATAATGAATTGATACACTGAACAGACACCATCAAATTTTTGGGGACTGACCATTAATCATACATTAGATTTTACCAATCATGTAGAAAAATTGTTTACTCAGCTAGCAAATATTTCTTTCATTATAGGCACAATTAGTTACAACGTAGTGAAAATCACTGCATTTAGCAGTTACACTGCCTTATTTGGAAGTAGATTGAGATATAGCATTCCTTTTGCAGTGTCTGTTCCCAAAGTTGTTTAAAAATGTGCTTATTCTACCAAAACGAACTATTAGATGTATAACTAAAAGCAATCCTAGAGCTACATGCAGGTCTTTATTTGTAAATCTTAAAACAATGACTGTCGTATCGTTACTCATTCTATAAACAGCAATCCTTATTTTGAAAAATAATTCCAAATTTGAAATATTAAATATAAGTTACAATATTAGAGATTATTATTATTAAGATTTAAAATTAGTGGTACCTGAAACAACACTGGTGAAAGACTCAATTCAAAATTTACACTAATGACGTCGTTGATTAGGAATGGAACATGAAAATACCGCTCTTATCAATCAAAGATCCTAAGTAAAACGCAATTTATTCAATACGGATTTTTTACTTAATAATCATACCTTTTTGCTCCAGAAGAAATAGTCTGACAAAAATGTTCTTAACATAAGTCATATGAAATAATGTTATGTTATTAAAAAATGAGATAGATGTAGGTTTTTCGACATGAATCAAGATATCTCAGTTTTTGTATGTATTGGTTAGGCTATTTACACTAAATCTACAACCTTTTAAGCCTTTGCATATTTATATATATATATATATATATATATATATATATAAATTTTTCTCGACTTCAAAATTATAACTTGTCTATCTCGGTAAATCAGTATTTTGGAAGCCATGTTTAGGAATGTTCTATAATCAAAAAGATTGTCATTGTTTTTTTAATCAACCTGTAGTGGTCAACAGTTTTAGTTACAATTAAATACGAATATTAAAATTGTTGGTGGCTTAATTATTATTTTTGTAGTTTATGGGATATTAAATTTTTTCATCATTAGCTAGAATGTATACATAAAAGTCAGCTATAGCAGTTACACAGTTAATATCTAACAACAAATTAAAAATAACTGTAGCTGAAAATTTGTTACACATATAATTCGACCTCTTATAGATTTATGTTTTACCTGTCGCCATCACAGTAGTAAATCTGGCCTATACATTGACCATCAGAGCATCTAAATTGGTTATCATTGCAAGAGTCAAAAAGGCAACCTTGCCTCACATGCTCATCCGCCTTATCTTGACAATCGGCTTCGCCATCACAAACCCAGTTGAGAGGTATGCAACGTCCTGTACTGTTGCACCTGAATTCCCATTTTCCTGTAAAGCAAAGTTAAAATGCACTGATACTTCGCTCAAGACCCGGTGGTTATCACTGCTCGGGGACGCAACAATCTTGTACAGTTTAATGCTTCTAAAACACAGAACTGTACCTTGACTAACAAAAACCGTCCTAGCGCTTATCCCGTTTTGATGGATGGCCGAGTTCTGCCAAAGAGCCGTTCACTTCGGATTGTCGGAGTCCAGATCACCGAGGGCTTGATCTGGCACGAACACATTTCGTCAATAGCGGCAGCTGCTGGGAACAAGCTAGGCATTTGTTTAGGGCTAAGAAGTACTTTTCTCCGCATGACCTTCTAACTTTATATTAGGCCCAGATAAGGCCTAGCCTCGAGTATTGCTCACACGTTTGGCGTGCTGCCACCCCGACTACATTATTTATGCTCGATGTATGTATTACTTGAGAAGACATCATAATATCTCTCCATTCATCACGTTTTTCAAACTGAGGTGAGAGCTCAACAGTGGTGTTATTGAAACAGGTCACTTACCACACACTGTATGCTGACAATGTTCAGTTTCGTCGGACTGATCCATGCAATCTGGGTTACCATCGCACTGCCAGGATTTTGGAATACACTCTTTGTTCTGGCACTGGAACTGATCTGTGCGACACTGTTGCTCTGAAAAAAACATATAATGAAATTGTGGTAACGAAATGTTCTTTACTCTTTGGCACCGATATCATTTGACATCAGTCAAGTGCAGTGATACATATCTTGAAAACGTCCGACAATATTTTTGTAAAGTTCTTTTGCATACACGATTTTATTCTAGTTTGGTGAAGAAAAAACGTTATAGATGAAATTAAAAAATGCTTACTGCAATTCAATTCGTCGCTTTGGTCTGGACAATCGGGGACACCGTTGCAATGCCAAGACATGGGGATGCAGGAGAGATCGCTCTCGCACAAAAACTGATTGTAGCGGCAATGGTGACTGATCCGACAATGCAATTCGTCTGAACTGATGCTACCGTGTATGTGGCTGTCCTTGCAGTCATCAACGCCATCGCACTGGGCTGTTACGTTGATGCAACTGCCGTCTGAGCATCTGAACTGGTCCTTCCTGAAAATAAATCATTTTCATATATAAGCAGTACCACCAGAGACATCTAGAAACGGAAAATCAAAACAAAAATCTGATCTTCATAGTAATCATGAAGAACGTATAGAGGCAAGAAATGTAACACACAGCCATCAAAAACCAACAAAAAGTGGTATCGACGAGGCAACTCCGGTTATCAGTACCATCAGCGTCAATCAGCGAAAAAATGATAACAAACATTGGGAGAATCAAAATAATGCAATACATGATCAAGATGATTTCCAAACAGTACAGCGAAAAACTCGTAAGGAAAACAAACAAACTGTCATTGGCAGTGCTGAGATCTCTGACATAGCTGCCGTAGAAGGAAGGACATCAATTCATATCTCGACTGTCAACAGAAGTAACTGACGAACAGATAAAAAAACACTTAGCAACACAACAAATCAACACTTTGGAAATAATAAAACTACCAATCAAGTCCGAGAACATTGCGGCTTTCAGGGTAGTTGTTCCTAGATCTGAAACTGCAAGTTTCACTACCTCCAGTGTTTGGCCTAAAAACACAGTAATCAGGCCTATGAGAAAAATCGAATCATACATTTTCGAAGACGCACCCATGCAACTTCAACTCAATAGAGAATAAACCAAGGAAGACAGTCTTAGGGATCCATCACTACAACCTTCAATCATTGGGAAATTGCGTAAGCGAGCTGGAACATAGCATAAATAACCACGATCCGTGCCATTTTCTATGTATCACAGAGCACTGGCAAGATCAACAGCAAATTCAAGCTGTCAAGATTACAAATTTTGAGCTCATCTCATTCTTCTGCCGTGAACGAGGTCATCATGCAGGGTGTGCTATCTACTGCAACCAGGATATACTTCAAGGAAGAGCGAAAGTGCGTGAAGATCTCAACAACATTTCGCAGTGCGGTGTGTTTGAATGTGCAGCTCTTGAAATAACCTTGAAAGAGCTCGTATTAGTCGCTGTTTCTATATATCGTCCATGTGACGGTCAAATCGACACGTTTTTTGAGAAACTTCAAATAACTCGAGATAAGATTAGTAATGAAAAAAAGAAATGTGTCATAGCCAGCCATTTTAATATAAATCTGTTGGTGACAAATAGGAAATCATCAGATTTTATTGACATAATTCATTCCTACGGTTTGACATCAACTATTACCGATTTCACTAGAGTAAAGAATGACTCCAAATCATGTTTGGACAATATTTTCATTAACACTTACACTTTTTTCTGACCATAAAGGGCAACATACCCTCTTTTCACTCAATACCAATATCGATCATGAATCCCAATTGATTAGAGTGTTTTCTAACTCACAAATAAATAGTTTTCTACAAGATCTAAAATATGCATCATGGAACGAAATTTATAGTAGTGTCAACGTAACCAAAAAGTGGGACATATTTTCTCAGATAATACAAAGCAGTTTCAATTACTATTTTCCTCTGAGGATAAAAAAGTGAGCTGCGGGAAGTAAGAAACCTCCTGGGATTACTCTAGAATTGGATCGACTCAGGAACAGGGTGAGTGCTCTTCAAATGATTTCCCAAAACGATATAAAATATAAAGATGTTTTTAAAAGTGATAATCAGACATATGAGAAACTCTTAAAAGATTCAAAATCGCAATACTATTTAAACAAAGTAAATAATCGTGGCAATAGAAGTAAAGGAATTTGGAATACAGTGCGAGAATTAACTAACACATCCAAAACGTCGTCAGATCAGTTTGTTTTACCGGTTCATAATGATGATAAATGCTTTAGCCCACCTTTTCAATAAAAGCTTTGTCGAAGCAGCTCCAAAACTACTCTCAAAACTACCAACCTTGAACTAAAAAGTAAAACGTAATTTTTAACTCCAATAGATCATGACGAATTGCTCAGAATTGTATGCAACCTAAAAAACACAAAAAGTTGTGGTGACGACAACGTTCCAATTTTCATCATTAAAAAAATGATAACCATAATATCTGACCCTCTTCTTAATATCCAAAATACATCTCTTAGTGAAGGAGAATTCCCAGAAGCATTAAAAATGGCACTTGTATTACCAATCTATAAAAAAGGCGATCCTGATGATATGGACAACTACCGTGCTATTAACTTGCTGATAAATTTTTCAAAAATCTTTGAAATTGCTTATAACAACCGTCTTATTCATTTTTTCCACACAAATAAATACTTCACCAATAACCAACATGGCTTCATGAAAGGTACAAGTGTGTTCGATTTCACCATAGCAATCCATGAATATCGAGAAAATCAAGGAGCAGCATGTGGTTTATTTGTGGACCTGTCAAAAGCATTTGATTGCATTGATCACGAAATATTGCTAAACAAATTATATAAATATGGTATACGCGGGAATGCGTACTACTGGCTTAAATCTTATCTGTGTAATAGAAGACAGAAAGTAATTTTGAACAAAACCGGGAAACGAATAACAACTAGTGCTCGGACATATAGTACTGGTGTTCCTCAAGGCACGCAAAATCTATGCAGATGATATAACTATTCTGATACCATATAAAGGAACGTCCGATATCCGAATCTTGATAGAGACCCAAATAAACTATATTCAAAACTGGCTGCAGATGAATAAGTTAGCATTCAACGTACAAAAACGTGTTGTGTCCTATTTAAGTCAAGCCATGCCACCAAAGAACTAACCTTAATTAATGAACCTCTATGTATCAAAAGCGATACAATCCTCCTGGGTGTCACATACGATAGCTGTCTTAAGTTTGATAAGCACATTAAGAGTATGGCTTCAAAACTCAATCAAGCATGCTATGTACTACGAGTACTCACTTGTCACCTGCCCTTGCAAGCTGCCTACTATGGGCTTGCGTATTCTATTATGTCTTATCAAATAACAATTTGGGGTAATAGTCCCGCAGCAAATAGAATTTTTATCATACAAAAGAGGATAATAAGAACAATGTTCAAAATGGAACCTAGAGAGTCATGTAGAAGTATATTTAAAGTCAACCGCTTACTAACATTACCGGGAATTTATATCTATAACACTATACTATTTATCTTTAGCCATAAAGAAAAGTTTGGAAAAAACGTCTTCAACCATAGTTACAATACTCGCAAAAGTCAGAAATACTTCTACCCATCACATAAGCTAAATTCTACCGAAAAATGTCCACATTACTCTGCACTGAAACTTCACAATGCTTTACCTCAACATCTTCAATCCATTTCAGCATTCACTATATTCAAAAAAAGCATTCATATTGCTGTTGTTATATGTTGTCTATGTATGTTTGTTTTTGTATGTACTTTAAAAAAAATTGTGTTATTTACACCGTATCACAATGACATGTTATAAATTTCTTTGTTTTTTGTTTATAACTTAGAAACCAATAAATTTCTATTCTATTGTATTCTATAAGGGTTGTGAATCCTTCCAATACGACGAAAATTCAAAATCACTTCAGACATACAGGGCAGCGCTTCCTCGGATTGAAACAAGACTTACGTTCATAATGTGGACAATAATGTACTAGAATATATCAAAATGAAACATTTGGGAGTGTATGTTTTAATTCTCACCTACAAATGTCGCGCACATGCGTACAATTCATCTCATCAGAATTGTCCCAGCAATCGTCGTCTCCATCACATATCCACTGCCAGTGGATGCAGCTTGTCGTATACTTACAATTGACGAAGAATTCGCCTTGCTTCTGGGTGCAATTCGGCATCTCTGTAAATAATACCATTCTTTGAAATATATTTAACAAGTTACACTCAATCCTCAGCATTAACATTATTTGTTGATAGCAGAAATTTGTAGTGAGCTCTTATGGTCTCCCAATGACATTTTTACTTACCACATCCAATTTCGTCAGATTTATCATGGCAATCCGGGCTGTAGTTACATCTATAAGATATATCCAGACATTCTCCGCTTTTACATTTGAAGTGGGTTCCCTCTGGGCATGAGCAGTTGTGTTCATCGGTAGCATCACCACAGTTGTCAATGCCGTTGCAGGTCAAATTCAGCGGAATGCACAATTTGTTTTGACAGGGGAACCAACCAACAGGACACGAGCGGTACCTGTTAAAAAAAATACGTCAATGGCTAAAGTTGGTTGTCAGCCCGTGAATTGTCGACTACCTTATCACCAAGAAACCAATTTTTTGTAGTCAAGATAGGACTACTAAATATCGTAAGCTACTAGTTAACAACAGCAAGGTGAAAACAATGTTATTTTGGGAAGTCTAGTGACTAGTATTATCTACCAAATGTTTTAGTCTAATATTCGTTGTGTCCAATTGAAAATGCAATTTATACCAAAATTGCAAAAATGACATTTTCATGCTTGCATATAATTGGACTTGCAAGTGCGATATTTATTTAAAGGTGACCACTTACCCACAGTATCCAGGTTCTTCATCAGACTTATCAGCACAATGTGGAATTCCATCACATGTGAGATGGAAAGGAACACAACCTCCATCTGAGCAACGGAATGAATCACCATTGTTGCTACAATTTGTGGCAATCTTCGAATGACATCTGCCTTCTTCCGACAATACTCTACCTGCAACAATTAAATCATCCTCAAGTGATCTTTGTTCCTAGTTATAGTATTGTTAGTTAGATGATACGTCAGTTATGGTTGCGTAGATACCAGACAAAGTCAGATAGAGAAAATGGAAGAGCAAAAGAGAACAAAAATGTCAAATGAACTGTCTTGACCCTGTCGACTTATGATTCTGGAATTTTGAATTGTCCTAGAAAATCTATTTTAAGTTTTACTATACAATTTCGCTCAATCGTGCGACTGTTGATCAATGTAGTTCCTTGGGTAAATCTCCATGAAACTCACCTTCTTCACACGAGCATTCCACGGCACCAGCAGCCGACAACCCACATATCTCTTCACAGAACCCATTCTGAATCAAACATGGATTCGTGAAACAATCTTCCGTATCATTGGCCACAGTAACAATTCCCATCGGTCTCGCAACGTCGCGTCTCAGCAGTACCACGTACTGTCCGGTAAACTTATCTGCTCTGATGACTGCATGTAACATCCAGTCAGTCCAATAGATGAAGTCTCCGTATACTGCCAGCGCAAATGGATGTTGTGGGGTTACTTTGGCTAGAACCACTCTTTTTGTTCCGTCGTATTCGCAACGTTCGATTTTGTCCAGCCTGGCATCTCCCCAGTACAGCTTTTGGGCTTTATGGTCGAGCGTGATCGCGTTCGGCATCCGAATGTCAGTTTTTATGATGGCTTCCACCCTGTATCCTGTATAAATAAGTTAAGTTAAAACTGGCCTATAGAATAGAATAGAATATATATTACGTGCCAATTAACAAAACATTTGTTTTTACACTTGTCATAAAAATTGTTGGTATGCATAACACATAAAAATAGCTTCTTGAAAACTACTGATGACGTATACAATACTTATAAAACTATAATTGGTAAAAATATAATAAAATATAATATAAAGGTGTAGTAGGCCAGATCACACACATAGGGGGGTCGCGATAAACTCATTCAAGGAATAAAAAGGATGTTTAACTAATTCTTGCCAAAGTGTATTTTTAAAATGTTTTAAAGTATACAGGGTGTTTCAGTTTATTGTTGCATAACTTTAAGATTCGATAGAACTTTTAAAATTAATGCATAAAGTCTATATAAACATGGGTCGAAAAATGCGTGGCTTCCGAAATACAGGGTGTTTAAATTTACTTTCTAAAAGTTTTTTTTAAATATTTCGAACAATATTTGATGTATAGTATAATAGTGAAAATTGGTATACAAGGGTTTTTTGGTACGACAAAACGAACCATGGGCATAGTTTTACTGTAGCCACTAGAGGGCGCTCTCTACTGTACCTGTAGTGTATTAAACTGAGCGAAAAAAATTTCTTAGTGCAATTTTTTGCTTTTTGAATAAAAAAACTGATTATTCGCACTTTTCAACATAAAAAAGCTCTCCTGTGAGTTTTCATTATAGTTAGCCATTTTGAGATATTTCGATTTTTAAGGTTCGATGCATTTTTAATCATTTATGGGAAACTAATATTTTTTTTACATTTTCGATTTGGGCATTTCAAGTAATTAAGATGATCGTTTAGATTGTGTTTTTAAACACAGCAATAATTCCTAACTCCAAATAAACACAAAAAAACAATATTAATTTGTTTAATTTTCCAATATTATTTTTAACAAATTAAATTAATTATTTACAACTAAAATGCTATTGGATAGTTAGGACAAACATACAAAATCTAAAGTAGTTGCTCGAAATGTAAACCCAATTGTTCAATACACAATTCACATCTACGAATGATCGAACGTGGTATAGCATTATTCAAATAAGGCCTTATTTCATCACATGCATTCCTGATTCTGTCTATTAGCATATCTCTTGTGGTTACGGGAGTCTGGTACACTTTTTCTTTTAGAAATCCCCACACAAAGAAATCTAATGGATTTAGGTCAGGGGATCGTAGAGGCCAGGCGACTGGTCCTCCACGGCCGATCCATCTTTCTGGATAATTTTCGTCCAGTCAGTTTCTAACTATTCTCGAATAATGAGCTGGACAACCATCAAGCTGGAACCAGGCCAATCTTCTTAAATCTAACATAACATCATTCCACATATTTGCATGTTCAGCCTTTAAAAATTCCAAGAAGGTCGCAGCATTTACTTAAAAACTCCCTATTATTATCAGTTCTATCAAGAATCCACTGACAAAATGTGATTCTTCGTTCTCCGTCCCCTGGCTGTAGTCCTTGCACAGGTTGCAAATGGTAAGGACGACTATGGTCATTTCAAGAACACGGTGAACATGGCTTGCTGAAATTCCCAAGGCACCAGAAACTCTCCTAACACTTGTGGTCGGATCTCTATCAAACTCACGCAGAATCATACGGGTAAATCTGCGCTGACGAACATTTATGTTTTGATCCCTTTGGAGATTTCCAAAACCATTTTCAATTATTTGGCGATGCACTCTTACAAATACTGAGCGAGTTGGATGTCGTCTGTTTGGAAATCTTCGTGCGTATTCTCTGGCTGCTTCTGCTGCGCTTCCATTTACAAAGCCATACACAAAATGAATATCCGCTAACTCTTGATTGGAGAATAAAAATGGCATTTTTATAAAACTTACAAAAAAAAGTAAAAGAAACTAAATTTCGTGCATTCAAAATTGCAAAAAAACGTTTCAGGTTTCAATAGACAACAAAACTAACTGTCAACTAATTGACGTTTAACCTTATTCTGCTTTCAATTTCAAAAATATTTGCAGGCACAGCCTACTTCTAAAAATTATCGAGATACTGACTTTTTAACGTTATTTTATCATAAATAATCAAAAATGCGTCGAACCTTAAAAATCGAAATATCTCAAAAACGGCCAACTATAACGAAAATTCACAAGAGAGCATTTTTATGTTGAAAAGTACGAAGAATCAGTTTCTTTATTCAAAAAGCAAAAAATTGCACTAAGAAAAAAATTTAGGTCATTTTAATACACTACAGGTACAGTAGAGAGCGCCCTCTAGCGGCTACAGTAAAACTATGCCCATGGTTCGTTTTGTCGTATCAAAAAACCCTTGTATACCTATTTACACTGTTATACATCAAATATTGTTCGAAATATTTAAAAAAAAAACTATTTTAGAAAGTAAATTTAAACACCCTGTATTTCGGAAGATACGCATTTTTCGACCCATGTTTATATAGACTTTATGCATTAATTTTAAAAGTTCTATCGAATCTTAAAGTTATGCAACAATAAACTGAAACACCCTGTATATTCCCGATATACACATGTGTATCAGTGGATCCCTGAATACATCCACATCACATTGAAAAAAAGCATTACCAAAATGACATATATCCAGCTACAGAGCAAACAATTCTGCAACTGACTTTGTACATGGCTGCTTGAAGCCCTAGTATTACACTTCAATACGTACGAAAATGCATCTAACAAAGTAGAAAAACCAATCAATATTCTTACCAGTTAGAAAAGCCCTTTGTATGCTGGGCGAGTGAGCATTCCAATTCGTCCAGTAGACTCTGCTACCACAGCTGTCAATCGCGATGCCACGTGGTTTGTCCTGCAAACGTAGCCTGACAATCGTCTCCACTGCACTAGCATTTGTCAACTGGTCGGTAAGATTCACTCTACTTATCGTTGCGTCATTGTTACATGTCCAGTAGAGGGCGTTATGAATTAGCTCATAAGCTAGTCCTTCCACCGATCCTTGTTCTACAAAAAATATGGAATATTATTGTAGAAGATAATATATTCTAACCCATTTTTTATACTGAAATGAATGTTGAAAACTGACTAAATAAACTGAAAATATCCTAGTCTCAATATGACTTTGAGGGGAAAACCCATATCGCTTTTACTCAAAGTACAGGGTGGCCAATATACAGAAAAATCCAAATATCATTGACGAGGCAACGTGAACAAGAGAGAAGCGCGAAAAGCGTGCAATACGTATGTTAGAAAGAGTGCATCGATGGCAATACTCCAAGCCGCAGCTGCGTCCGTTGCCTCGTCACTCGGGTTGCCAGTCAACGTGTTGCTTCTATCTCTCTCAGCATACGTACTGCAGGCTTCTCGCGGTTCTCTCTCGTACACATTACAATGCTAGTGATTTATGAATTTCTCTGTATAGGTGAACGATTAAATAGATATTACCTTAATCAATGATATGAGTTATACATGGATTGTATCAAATAAATGTCTGCCGCTGGAAGCCCATACATCTGAGCTAGGTTACGTTTTCTGTTACTTCCTCACAAAACATTCACCGTTTCTCCAGCTAGGAGACACATTGCTCCGTCCTGTTGGACTCGTCTTTCTTGCAGTTTTTGTACTTTGCAATAAATGGGCACATCACCCGCCAGTGACATTAAAGAAATTACCTGTAGCGTCTTTAAAAAAGTAAATTCTAATAACACGCTGCAAGTAGAGATTTGTGAAAAACAAAGATCGTGATGACAAACCAAGCACCATAGAGCAGCTGAAAAGCAACATTTCGGAAGCTATTCCAAATATTCCTTCTAAAACCTTACAAAAACTGATTTAAAACGTCATCAAGAGAACTTAGATTTTTGGGGCTTCCACAGGCGATTAAGATAAAAATTCATCTATTTTTATATCATTTCAAATACACAGAAGAAACAAGTCAGTCAGTTATACGCGGTCCCCCATTTTAGTCTCCCAACCTAACCGACTTTGATGTGAAGGTCGTGTGTAGGACCTCAAAATTTCCTGTTTTTTTCATTTCCAGTTTAAAATGAGAGGTTTCCTTTGGAAGTTTTAGTCGTGGACAAATTCCAACGTCCAATAGTCAAGGTTATGTCATAGTGATGGTCATATTTGGATGTAAACTTTCCTCCCCATTTCAATTCCGATGTAAAACGGGGGGTTTCATTTGAACATCTTCAAATGACCTTGAAATGACCTTAAATGTCGTGTTTAGGGTCATTGTTCACCATCATTATGCCCCCTCGAAACCGTAAAAGTTTTGTTTGCAACTTTTTTCTAGGATGAGTAGTTTTTGAAATATTGAGGTGGGGAGATTAATCAAATTAAATACTTACTGTCTACAACAACTCTATGCTCAGATCCATTGAAATATACAGTGTTAATAGATCCTCTTGAAATATCGGAGTAAAACAGCCGTTGGTGCTTGTAACTGAAAGATAGGCCGATGGCATTTTTCAACATAGTGCTATTCTTGATACTAGGATGCGGCGAACTTTGCAGATTCTTATCGCCCATCATCTGAATAGAATCTATGCTAACCACTCTCGAAAACATCACGAAACTCTCAAACGGTTCGCAAGTTTTTCCGTTACTAGCCAATCTACCGTGGGAGCAGATACAGACAGGATGCGTTCCATTGAACAGGCAAAGTTGTTCACAGTTTACGTTGTTTTTGGCGCATGCGTTAGTGCCGCTCTGCCTGCGTTTAGAAAATACGTGGATATCTTTTAGTGAATCGCCCAACCCTTGTTTGAGCACTTCAAAATTGGAGGTGTTTGAGATGGGAGCTGCCAAAAGGCTTCCGCTGAGGAAAGAGCTGAAATAAAATATTTTTAGATCTTTTAATCATGGCTGGTAACGTATATAATTTGAATAGAGATATTAATTTTTGCATGCATAATTGCGTTCGGGCTAGTAAGTCCCTGGCGATCTAAATGAGTTAATTGTTTTCCATGGATTCCATCATGTGAGGCCTAATTACCATGCTGTCAAATCTGTTAATTTACACAGGTCGATAAAAGTGACCCAACCCTCTTACATGGAAACTAGAGTATACTTTCCAAAATCCCTGGTACAACTTTATCAGTTGGCTCTAGTTTCTCAGATATCTTTACCTAAAGTTGCAAAAATAGCGATAGTTGAGCGTAAGTAAGCAAATCATTCTTTTCTTAAAAAAACTATAGACATCATCTCAGCGTGCAAGCCTTGCATTTTCAAATGCTGTTGCGTCTACTTGAATATCTTTTCCTTTCGTTGAGATATAGCACTTAAAATTCTTCAATTCTCTGAATTTGCTATATTTGGTACTCTACGCGTTATGATTACGTGTGCACATCAAAGTTGTGATTTGGATAATAATACACCAATAATTTAATAACATAATAATAATATTTATTGAAATAAGACCTGCATTCTAAAAAATCCATTAATCGTCAACACAAAATCCATAAAATATCTAAAACTCACCCAAACCACAAACCCACAACCCACCCTATCCTATCACGACCGACGTGCATTTGCATACATTTTTTCAAATAAAAACTACTCTCTTCTGATAAAAATTAAACCCATCAAACATGTAATATCCAAATTTTACCTAAACCTCCAGATCCATAACTTGCCACTAATGACAATACAGTGTATTATAAAAATTTTTCTACTGTAAATTTGAAAATCCAAATTTTTGCTGCTGATACTTATATTTATGTAAATACTCAAACTTTTCAATCAGGTATCTCTCTCATTAATAGTTATTTAAAGACCCGGATCGGAATGGCTAATGTCTAACAAATTAAAATTGAACACAGACAAAATAAAAGCTATGATTATTAGAAAAAATGATTTAACAAATTTATAGGTAAATATTAGTGGCAAAAACCTTGATTTTGCAAATTCTTTCAAATACCTTGGCATAATTGTTGACGGTGGGTAGAATTTTGAAGTACATTATGAAAACATTATCAGTAGAGTTTGTAGTAAAGTATCTATCACGTAATTCCGAGATGAACTCCATACAGCAAGAAAATCATTTACACTGCAATTGCAAATGTTTTATATATGCCTAATGATTCCGTTTTGCAAAGATTACAGATTTTACAAAATACATCGAACAAATGATCAGTACGTTAAAACGACTTCACATTGAATATTTCATTTAATACCTAGTCCTGATTTTTATTCATACAATGAAAACTAATGTGTTGCCATAATGGCTGTCTGCACCAATTTCTGTAAAGTCCGACTATCATTTTTATGATACCTGACACAAGCATGATCTCCATTTAAACGAAAAAACGCAGTATATGGACGAACTAGGTTTTTCATCAATGACTAATTAGATTCAGATATAGACCGACAAAATAATCTAAAAAAATTAACTGAGAAACTATCTTACAATTGCAAATATGACGATGCATCATAGGGTTTGAATTTATTATATTATTGTTATGCAATGCTTCTAATTGTTTATGTAGCCAGTTGTGCTAAATAAATCTTTCTACTACTCCTACAAAGTATGTGTCATCTAAGCGAAAAAAAAAGGTATTTAAGCAAACTAGATGGCATTTGAATGGCCAAGGCTTGTACTTCGAGATAAAGTCTAAGGTTTTTTGAAAAAAAAAATCGCTATGCTACATAACCTCAAATATAGAGCCATTTAGGAGATTTGGACCACACATTCCCTGAGGGAAAGTATACTCTGGGTAAAAATCTTGTGGGCTTGTGTTATTCGATCCGAAAGTAAGAAAAAATAAGTTCCAGGGGCATAGTACCATGACATTTTTGATGTAAACTAATATTTTCTGAGAGACTGGCCACTTATTGTGGGATATCTGAATGATGAGGACATTGGTTAAAACCGATTTCGCGAAGTTGCGTTTCGTGTTCACAGTCCTGTGTTTTCTACTAAGTGTTTTATTTATTGTAAGCAACTTCTGGTCACATTTCACTTGATTTGTTTTAAAGGCAATAAGTTTGATACTTTATGAAAATGTTGAAAATCCAGAAAAATAGCGCCAAGCGGAAATATGTCGATATCATTTCTATTAAAAAATCAGACAAATCGTTAGTATAAGATAAAGGTTACAATGATGCAACTGAGGAAAGCATACGTTTGTATAACATTTTTTCAATCCCATAATCTTGAACTCAATGAATTTTGTGATTTGTATCGGTCGGCCTATATCGGCATATGGCATATGGGCAGTCATATCCTCCGATTCATATACCATATTAGGTGCATTTTCTTGAAAAAAAAATGGCTGATCTAATTAGACTGATTAGATTCAGATATAAACTGACAAAATAAAATAAAACTAAATCAAATCAAAACTGACAAACTATCTTGCAAATATGACGATGCATCATACGGTTTGAATTTATTATTATTGTTATGCAATGCTACTAATTACTTATGTAGACATTTGTGCTAAATAAATACTTCTACTACCACTACAATGTGCGTCATCTCAGCGAAAAAAAAAAAGATATTTAAGCAAGCTCGATGGCAATTGAAAGGGCAAGGCTTTTTACTTTTAGATGATGGTTTTTTGCCAAAAAAATCACCATGCTACATAACCTAGAGCCAATTAAGAGGCATTCCCTGAGGGAAAGTATACTCTGGTTTGTGGGTAAAAATCTTGTCGGCTTGTGTTATTCACTGTTAGGCGATTCGAAAGTGAGAAAAACTAAGTTCCAGTGGCATACTTTAGGAGCCTGTAGCTCCGAAGGACAGTTCCAAGACGTTTTTGATATGAACTAATATTTTCTGAGAGACTGACCACTTATTTTGGTTTATCTGTATAATGAGCAGCTTTCATTTCACTCACCTGTCCATCCAATATATCATATTCTCAAACACTGTCAGTGCTGTGGGTTTTTGTAAATGTCGCGCGTGTTCCAACAAAAGGGTTTGTTCCGTTCCATCATATTTGATCCTCTCTATAGAATGGTGGCTAGAATCGCAATAGTATATGAATTCATTGTCAAAGTCCAAGGCCACGTCAGTGATTGATCCTCGGTTATCCAGCAAAATTTTCCTGTTTTGACCGTCCGTAGTAGCCATCTCCACTTTTGGCCCACCGGCCCATACCATGACACCTAGAATTTGAAGAAATTTAAATGCATGTAACATATTTAACTTTGAAAAGATAATAAAACAATCTGTCAGTATATGCTTAGAAAAAAGGAGTAATTGTTACCTTTTACGGGATCCAGAGCGATTGCATTAGGTTTCCCAATCTCATAGGACAAGAGCACATGCTCTTTGGTTCCATCTATTCTAGAAACCGATATAGTACCACGCTTGGAATCACACCAGTACATATTGCCAGCTATCCAATCTACAGCAAAACCAGTTAACCAGTCTACTAGGGTGTTATCGAAAATTTCGGCTTGCTCCAAAATGTATTTTCTTTCAGTACCATCTCTTTTTATTCTGGTGATGGTGCCATGATCGCTGTCCGCCCAAAATATCAAATCCTCATCTGCGATGAAATCTAATGCAGTGGCGCTGGGTATTTTCGAAATTGGACCTAAGACACGGTTAGACTCGTTTCTGTCCAAAGGAAAACCTTGGATCTCCCAGTACATTGAATATAACAGAAAGTCTCCTTTCGGGATACATTTGTAGGGGTTATTGGGATCTTTGTAATAACCTAAAACAAATGAAACAATATAGTGACACAAGATCAGAATAAATAGACGGACTAGAAGTGGTAGAGAGCTATGAATAATTAACGATACTTCTGAGAATCGTATACAATTGATAGTTTTTGTATACTATCGACGGTAATTGATAGTTGCTCAAAGTTCTTTTTTTGTAGAATCTTGGGCAAAAGAGGAAGTATTATATTTTGAGACCATTGTGACAAACCATGGACAGATCTTTCGTGCTATTTGGTTGTCCGTCTGTGGTCGGATATATGAAAGCTATAGTCCTAGTTTGTTCAATTACGAGTAGATGGTATCTACTATAGCGCCAGAATCGGCGGCATCTAGCGGCCACAGTGGTGACCCAGCTGGTAATGTGAATTGGCATACAGTTCCAAATGACAGCTTGCTGCTTTCACTTTCGTAGTGGTAGATTATGGCCCTTCCCACTTCAGTTGTCCCACTTCAAGATTTGTACCAAAATATGCCTTTATAAACTAAAAATGATGAAACTGTTTACTTCTAAAACAATTTATTTTCTCAAAAACATTTTAGATACACTCTAGTCGTAAAAAATACATATTTGAAATCACTTAGACCTATAACTAATAGAACATCTGAACAAATAAAAAATGTGCGAATAAATGCGCGAAGTTAACAAAGCAACAATTGAAAGATTACCATTGGGTAACATCACCTTTATTTTTTATTACGGCTGAAATTCTTTGGGGCATAGTGTTAACCAAGTTTTTCCAAAAATTTGATGTAAAACAATCCCATATTTCTTGAAGCTTTTGTCTCAGTTCGGTGATTGTACGAGCAGGATGTTGTCGTAGAACCTTTTTCATCTCGTGCCACAAAGTTTCAATAGGTGACAGATCTGGACTGCTAGAAACCCATTTCAAAAGTGGCACATTATTTTCTTCCATCTATTTTATAGCCTTTTTTTAAGTATGGCACGCTGCACCATCTTGCTGAAACACAAAATCTTGGCCGGATGCCAAACATTCTTCCATCACTGGTAAAAGCGATTCTTCTAAAGTTTCCAAATATTTGTTTCCATCAATAAAATCAAGTTTTCCTACTCCTTTTGATGACATACTGCCCCAGACCATAATGGATGCTGGAAATTTCACATTTCTCTTCAGACAGTCAACATGGAATGCTTAATTTTTTTGTGAATAACTCTACTGCGACTGTCACCAACACAAACTTCGAATCGGGCCTCATCACTCCATTGTATTGCACACCATTGTTGAGGTGTCCATTTTGCCTATGTTCTTTAGCCCATCTAAGCCGATTTTTCTTTTGCAGTGGAGTTAATAGTGGCTTTTCTTTGGCCTATAAACAATTTGTGCAACTTTAGGGTTCTTACTCACTTTTTTTTATTTGAAAACTTATTTTGCAAGTGCTAAATCCCAGTTTGTGGGCCTCTCTATGAGTTGTGGACCTCGAAATTCTCCTTCCAACAGCGTCACTCCACAGAGCCCTTAATTGTTTCACGATTATTCTTCTTAATGCTCTTCGGTCGGCATTTCTGATATTACCTTTTTTCACATATCGTGGCTTAATATTAACTGAACCGGTTACGTTATATCTTCTAACAATATTTCTCCCCACTGTACCGCGATAAGTCTAACAAAGTTGCAATTTCTGAATTTGATTTCCCAGAATTAAAAAATTTAATTAACAGTAACCGAATTTTCTCACTAATAACCTTTTCTCTACCCATTTTGAAAACCTTAACTACCCAAAACTATTTTAAACGTATTCTGACAGCTGTGATTAATAAAAACAATTGTCATGGCTTTTATTTTTCACAGCCACCTATGCGTTATAGACTTATTTTGTATTGAAATGAAAATAGGTTGATATGCTGTAATTGCAACATGTGTTATTTTTATGCTGCAAATTTGATTAGGGAGTGATAAAGTTGGTATTTTCTACTATATATTATCAAAATATTCATTGTTAATATTTTGAACCTATAACACCCTGCTACATTTTTATTATTTGTGTTTGATAAGAAAAAAAATAAGATTTCAATAGTTAGGCCAACTGAAGTGGGAAGGGGCTCGCAGATCGCACTTTGTGCTGTCTTATTTCAATACAAAGAGACCGGTTTTAAATATCGCGTTAATTATTGCAAATTTTGGCGTCGAGTGTGCTATAAAAAAATAAAATGTATGAGAATTTTCAGTTTTGGAGAGCCTCCAAGTTAGGAGAAGTTGCAAAGACATCTGAAACCACCTAACAATAGTACATATCTAAAGAAATACTGAAATATTAAACCCTATCATGATGTGATGCTTCGATTAAAGTAGTGTCAATTAAAAAAATGAAATTTTGGTATATGGCAATTTTGAAATTATATAGATCGACATTTGAAGCAGTAATAAAAGCAGGAGTATTGTTTATATCCATGGATTTTGTGCAATTTTTGAGCATGGTTAAAATGGTTAAATATGAAAAATTGTATAACCTACTTGGTTTTCATTTTCATATTCAAGTTAAAAAATCATCTTCCACCAAATCACTTTGGAGATTTTATTGTATTGAACAATGAATACCATAGTTTATTCATATGTCAGCTGTCACTTACCTATAGCGCAAGCGCAAGTGAAATTTCTTTTGGAGCGAGGAAGACACAAATGCTGGCATCCCCCTTTACCTAAACTGCACGGGTGGTCGCCTTGTTGTTCAGATCTGTCATAAATCCTCAACGCTAGCACACCTCCCCCTGTTCTATTTTTCAAGATCGTGTCATTCGCACCCGTAGATTTGTCGGCTATGTGAATGTGTTCTTCATCTGCATAATACAACTGTCCATTATAAACGGTCATCGCTGATATGGCTGTTTGCTCGGGTAAACTAATCCTGGTTACTTTACCTGTGGAAGATGACAATAAGTCTGATAAGACATTTACTGTAGAATGTATTCCAGAATTCCAGAGTAGTTTAATTAAGTACTACAATTATGCCGGGTGTTTCCTAAACATGGGGCAAGAATAATACGAAAAAGAATTCTTTAAATTATTATAAGACTGCTGTGATTTGAATGTATAGGGCGAACAAGATTTCTGAAAATACAATAACTTAGTCTACTATGATCATTAAATTGCTCGGTGAAACTCACTAAGAAATAACCCTCTCAGCCTATGAAGACAGTTGTAGTAGATTAAATAGCTGTACCTGTAATTTCTGCTAAAAATGTATTTTTTTTATTTGTAGGAAACACCCTAAACCCATATTTTCTAATTTCTACTATTTCAGAATTACGATAATTAATCATTACCATCAAGTGTCCCATAAAATATTTCATTTCCGCTTATCCAATACAACCTAGATGACTGCAAGTCAAAGAACAAGCCCTTGGATTGGAGCTTCAATCCAGCAACGATGGTTTTTCTCCCACTTCCGTCCATCAAGCTCATCTCAATATTTGCACTATCATTGAAACCATTTATCCAAAATATCTGGCCTTCTGGAGGATTGGCAGCAATCGATAGGATGTTCAGGTTTTCATACAGTACTGAGGTGAACTCGCCGTTCAGGTTACATACCTTCAAAAATACAAACAATAGTTTAGTGTAAGGCAGCCGTAGGATTATTGTCAACGAATGACCATGCTATATCATGATTATGATGATTTCAACAATTTTAGAGTGAACTAACAACAAAGTGTCTGCCAGTGTTGCAAAAAAATCCAGGTTTTTTAAAACCAAAGAATCTGATTTTTTCGATTAAATCGTGATTTTTTTCGATTTCTATAAATTGGTACTGATTTCCTTAAATATGGCAATAATGAAGTTTTAAATAACTTCCATTATTTTTCTCTATTCGCCCAAAAACATTAGTTGTCTAGACTTATAGTAAGAAAATTCGATAACAGTAATGTTACTAAAGAGAAGTAGATTAAAGATTTGAGAGTAATAAAGAAACGAAAAGTTGTAAGGTGGTAGGCTTAACATCAAAAAGTAAGCTAGAGGCTAGGATAATATATTCAAAATAGCAAAATCCATCTATGTAAATGTCCACATCGCGCACCAGAGGCACATTATAGGCGCTTTGGTTGTCACAATACATGTATTGCAGTAAACCGTGTCTGTTCTCTCGAGTGCCAATCCTGAATACATTCTAGGAAAATACTAGATAGACTGTAATTAGAGCATAATAAAAAGTAATTGGACGAAATAATGATGGTAGCTGCTTTCACAAGTGTTCTATAGTTCAAATCTCATAAAGAAATGTATGGAAAATACGGAAGACCAGTAATAAATTCAAACTGAAGCTCCACAATTAAAACTCTTGACATTGATGCAAAATGAGGAGAAAATATACGTTAGAAAACTTTTAGATAAGACTTTTCTAAATAACATATTTTCCAAGACAACAGCAAAAGTTGTGTTGTTTCAATCTCACCACCTAGAATCATATGTGGCTCTTGATATCCTGGCACCTCCCCTCAGCATCTAACTTGTTATCCTGTCACTAAACTTGTCACCTATCATGTAACTTCAGCCTAATAATGAATAATGAATAATAAAACTACAAACCAGAATTCCAGTTTCTGAAGATATGAAGAGCAAGTTTGATATCCAGTCTACAGCTAGACCGGAAGGTTTCTGAAGACCAGCATCCAAAATTATCTCTGTAGGTCCTTTCGTTAGACCGCTTCGTTTAATTTCATTGATATGAGCATCTGCCCAATACAGTGTTAAATTTTTCGCCACGTATTCGATCTGGATGGGACTGCCAACCAAAATTGTAGGGATGGTATGGTAGAATGGTTGATGAATGTCGACTCCGCGTATTTCTCCATTCCTTGAAATAAGCAGCACTTTTTCGTTCACTGAAACAAAAATAAAACTGTTCAGGGGGCGCGATTTGAATCAAGAACTACGTTATTTTCACACCACTTCAAAAACAAATTTTGTAACAAAACGAGGAAAAGTAGTGTAACCGTGAAAAATATTAAGGTGTGTTTCCGTGTGTATTAACAGAAGATACCGATCGAAGACGTCGTTTACTAACTACAAGAAATTACTGAAATATCTTGTTAGAAAAATACCGACGCGAACTGACAGCAAATCTTAAAAAGGTATGGTATTCCACTAACTTATTAGCAAAAAGTGTGGCAACCAAAATATTACGGTTTTCGCAAAGTTTGAATGTCAACAGTTTTGTCCCTAAGACAATCCCTATTATTTTTTATCCAATTTACATGAAAAACAGATTTATAAAAATGTTTTAAAAACTGTCGCTTCGAAATGTAAAGGAAATCCACCGTCGAATTTTTGGCTCAAAATTTCAGAAATTCGTATTTTCCATTTTGATGATGTTTTCCCATATGGCTTCATTCAGTAAAGAAGAACAATTATAAAAATGATAAAAACTGTAACTTAAGCTATAAGACAACGACAACAAACTAGAAATTAATGCCTTGTTTAGTTTTTGAAATATCTAACAAGAAAGCTCATAAATATATAGTTACTCTATGGTACATGAAATTTAAAACGGAGTACAGGTCACGTATAAAAAGATATGGTTTCTGCTAGGCGTGTTGTATGCGGGGGGTGGAAAGATTTCATCTCCGTCAAAAATAGGACAGAGCAATATATTGACAGATCGTGTCGGTTTTCTAGTCATATTATTATTATTATTATTATTATTGTGCATAATTTAATGAGTCGTTGGACTACCGTTCTTGACAATTATAAGTGAAATATCGGATGCCACTAGCAAAGTATGGGTTGTGCTGGAAAGGTTATTATCAGTAAAATACTGCAAATAGATTGATCATATAAAAAAGAAATTCAGAATTAACACTTACCCCGACAGGTTTTGTTATCAGTATCCAGCCTCATAACATGCGGACAGTCACACCTGTACGTTTGGTTGAAATGAATCAGACAAAGATGTGAACAACCGCCGTTGTTCTTCGCACACGGATTCACACCATCCGGTTGTCTGCTGGGATGCATCACTTTGATGTCGAAGGGTTGATGCAGAGTCCTGTGGATCACTTTCACGTCACCCCCTGTCCATTTATTCGCTCGTACAACGCTATTGGTCCTCCAGTCGGTCCAGTACACGTAGTTTTCGAAGAGGGTGATAGCGAAGGGATGTGAGAGCATCTCGTGGTTGCGCATCACCTGTTAAAATGTCTAATATTAGGCTGATTATCTATAAAATAGGCCGTTCTCTTCAGGTAATAATTATGTCACATTTATCTGTTGAATCGGGTGAACCTCACCTTGGCTCTAGACTATTCCTTGTTTTTATTAATGATATTGGCCGCCTTTCCAAATCAAATTATTTCCTTTATGCTGATGATTTAAAACTTTTTAGATGTGTTAGATCCAGTCAGGACTGTAAGATGCACCAGGAAGATATATATAAAGACTGGGGCTGATCTCACGACCGTCTAGGGATCTTAGGGATTTGAATTGTATAGTTAAGCTTTTTGCCTCATTAGCAAGATCGTTACTGAAATATGCGTCAACGATCTGGAGCCCATATTATGAGATTCACAACGATTCACAAAAAACGCATCAAAGCCATACAAGACAGGATTTTAAGGTGACTACGTTATAGAATGAGGCAGGGAAATTAACATCCATGAGGATTACTGGATTGTTTTTGGTTGAAGATAGAATAATGTTTTTGGACATGTGCTTTATATTTAAATTATTAAATAATATAATTGAGATGGTTTACCGTCGAAATCAATAAATAAGATGTTCTACTTATTTTCGTCAATCGTTTAAAAAGGCTGGGGCTGCACCAGCAGTAAGAAGTAGAGAACAGTAAAAAGCAAATAAAACCTACCGTTAAGCGGTATGCTAGGCGCTTCAATTGTCGCCATGCACATATCTCAGTAAATTAACGTGTCTGCTTTTTTGAGTGGCAATCCTCGACATCCAATTGAAATCTATTCAGCTGAGAATCTTCTAAATAGCATATTCCCCAAGGACAACATCGAAATATACACAATGTTTTGAGCCCAACAATTTGGTTGGTAACAAATGAGGAACTCACCAGCTGACTATTAAATCTAGGGTGACAGTATTTATAGTATAGACATACCAGGAGCAGATTAATTCAAATGACCTATCCCCTAATAATTTTACGAATAACTAAAATATAAACTATAAAACATAACGTCACCTCACGAATGTCCTCCCCGTTATAGTTTGAAGTATGAATCGAGTCAGTTCTGGCGTCTATCCAGTATATTCTTCTAATGGTATAGTCGAGAGTAAGACCATTCGGCCAGCGGTTATTGCCTAATCTCACTAAGATCTGTCTATCAAGACCTGCTAAAGAACATCTTTCAAGACGTGGGAGTTCGCTATCCCAATCGGTCCAAAATAGGTAGCCATCTCTGGGATCTACTGCGATGGCCCTAGGACTCTCCATGTCACCAGCAACTGGAAAAATAATTTAGAATTCGGACGTGGAATAATAAAATAGTTGTGTTAAAGTACAAGAAAAACTCTATTTGTAAGATTGTATAAACATAAAGCGGATGATCTACATCTATCAAATTGACCCTTTCACTGAATTGCAAAGGATATCATTCATGGTATCACCACCTACCTAAAGTTCTTCTGAAACTGCCGTTCAATTTCGAGACTTCAATTTGATCCAGGTTACTTTCTACCCAGTATAGATTTTTACCAATCCAATCAACGGCTACTCCTTCAGCTGTAGACAAACCAGTTTGTACTACAGCTTCGATGTTGCCTAACGTACCGCCCGCGGTAGTTCCTCTATAAATTTTATCGTCTGATACGTCCGTCCAAAATACCTACGAGAAAAATGGAAAGAAATACAGAAAACATTATAAGAAAAGGTATCAAGAAAAATATGTCCAAAAGCAAATATGGAGTAAGAAACATGATTAAAAACGCATTGTATATCGGGTTGTTTATTATTCCATAAACATATACAAAATGGAAAAAATGGCGTAAAATAGATTGAGACTATAGTCCCCAGCCCACGCCTTCAGAACATCTAATTCAATTTTCCATGTAGTGCAATGATATCAAAAAGGCGTAGATTTTGCCAAAATCAGTAATGCACTATTTGAGCTTTTCATGAACAAAAAAATCCTTAAGATTACAGCAATGAACGTGATAACGTAGTAAATACTAATATACTTTTATATGTCACTCGGGTCGAATATCAAAGATGCAATATTTATAAATAGCACCGTGGCGCACGGCATGTGCGACCGATAGGCGATCTGCTTGCTATTTGTATTATATTTTTTATATATGTCTAATAGGTGTGCAGAATTACCGGACATTTTTTCAAAAATAATCAGGAGCTGCTGAAAAGTCAAAAAGTGATTTCTATTTTTTTTCGTTTTTTTTTTGCCTTCAGCGCTCATTTTCATTTATAGTAAATCATCAATAATTATTATTACTTACGATATCAGTTTCATTTGTATGATAAAAATCCAAAGTAATGGTATTCTTCAAATCGGATATGAAAGATTTCAATCCGAAAGTATGCAGGTCAACAGCCTTTATTTCATGCCTGCTACTGAAAATTAGATAGGGCCTTCCGCTATCTACACTTTTGCAGGTGAAACCGTCTTCTTGGAGCACATATCCTTCTTGGCAGGTACATTTATACCTTCAAATAATAAAAAAAATATCAGCTATAATGGAAAATATTGCCAAGCTCTTTTATTTGTGACAGTATGACAATTGCAATAAAGTAGGATGACAGTTGAAAGCATAAAGGCATCAAATCAAAAAAATGACGTCACAACTCCAGTAAATAGTTTCCTAGTTATACAATCCTCGGCCTGATTTTTTTGTGCTTTAACATGACATAAAGATTTTAAAAATCCTCTAAACAGGAAAGTATACCTAGAGCCTCTAGGTACGCAATTCTGTGAACAAACTCCCCAAGCTTCACACGGATGAGTCTCTAGGCAATGCGTTCTATCTGCTTGGAGATGGAGGTGAGCTGGACATGTGCAGATAAGTCCTTCGGGAGCATTATGACAGTCATGCGAACAGATAAAACTGTGATCGCACAATCTATCTGGACACCTGGACCCCTCGTCACTGCCATCTGCGCAGTCGTTGTAATCGTTGCATAATTTGTCTATTGTGATGCATTTGGTTCCGTTATCACATAGCCTAGAAACAAAAAAAGGCATCACCAACGCGTTGATGTAATTTTGGGGACCGCATATACAAGAGAGCGGGAAGTTTTAAATACTTTATAACTCTAAAGACAATTTAATTTAAATAAAATACAGTACAACATTAACAAATTAGTAATATGCCATTTTTATTTCTTAGAAATAATATCGCGTAAATGTCCCGCCGCTTCTCTGTATCCACTCTTGAATTCTTCGCTATAACACGATGCAACATAACCACAGGAATCTTAGCAATTTCTTCAATAATGTTTCTTTTAAGCTCCTGAATGATTATTGGTTTATTAATGGACACCTTTTGCTTTTGGTAGCCCCAAAAAAGTAATCACTAGATTTTGACAATTATTTATCAGCAATCTAAAGAAAGAAATTTTAATAAGTTATGTAACGATGAGCAGACAACTAAAATCTAGAGAAGGTTTAGGCGCAATTACTGGCAAAATGTTCCGATAGATGATACAACGTATGTATATGAACCTTGAAATAAATTTAATCACTAATCACTCAAAATCACTAATTTTAAATTATCTGTGTATATCCACTTGATTCGTGGCATGAACAAAGCAAAGGTCAAACAGTAACTGGCTAATATTATTTTTTTGGCCTCCTTCAGTCGGACGACCCTTTTTTCCTTTCCTGTGAATAGGCTTTATGAACTATCAAAAATAAATGAATATTAATGAAACTACATGAAATACATAAATTGTTTTTGGAAATTGGTTCAGTAACGACAGAGAAAAAAAGCCAAAATTGAAATAAAATATAAATCGCTCAAGCTTCGTTTTTTTGACGTTTCAGAGGCTCTTGATCCTTTTCGAAAAAATGTAAATACGGTAGACGTACTTGTATCTAATAAGTACTCTTACCCAATTGATTGATCCTAACATTTTAGCGAACTATCTAATGTTAAAAAGTTTAAATTTGATAGTTATAAACTGGTTAATGCTTTCGCGGCCAGTTGATAAACTGCTGTCTTGATCCGGATCTAAAGGCCGTCGTCGGTTGGAATTTCTTAATAACGTCTCGCTAGAGGCAAGAGAAAATGAAAACGGTTCAGGGTAAATTCGTATGTTCTCTCTAAAGATACTCTGAATTGCCAACTATTTAAGTAACATTTTATTAGTTACTCGAATGCGTAACTTTGCCGATTTTGCATTACCGTTTCTGAATTTAAAATCCATAGTGCATATACACTAATGGACAACAGTATATAGACAAATATGAATATTTACATAAATACCTTTAGAAAACGAATTCATACTTCATTGCTCCATAAACAAATGCGTTATTAGTAGAAAAACTAAATTCCTCATTTTTACATTATCTGTTCATCAAGTATTGTGGAATAAGTTGAGTGATTTTAAGATCATGCCGCGTGGTCCAGAAATTTCTTTCGATGTGAAAACTAAGATCATTGAGTTATACAAAGATGGTCAACGTCAAGTCGACATTGCTAAAAATTTGAAGCTGATGCGTAAAGCAGTTTGGGCAATATTGAACAAATATAAACAAAAAGGTATCTTGGAAGCCTCTAAGAGAAGTGGTCGACCTAGAAAACTAAATGCTAGATCAGTTAGATTAATAAAAGTAATTTCGTCCAAAGATCCGTTTAAAACACCAAGACAAATAAAAGCCGAAATCGAGACAACAGGAATTGTCAGTGTTTCTACGAAAACTATAAGTAGAAGATTATAGTAAATGATTCGAAGTTATTTGCACGTCGCCCGAGTAAGAAGTCGCTAATCTCGAGGAAAAACCGTAAGGACCGATTACAATTTGCACGGTTCCATCTTGATTGGAGCATCTGTGACTGGAAGAGGGTTTGTTTCAGTGACGAATCCAAATTCAATATGTTTGGATCAGATGGTGTTCTTTACGTTAGACGTCCTAGTGGACAAAGATTGAACCCCAAGTACACTTTGCCCACTGTCAAACATGGAGGCGGGTCTGTTATGGTTTGGGGGTGCTTTTCGGGGTTTGGGATGGGACCTTTACAAAGAATAGATGGCTTTATGGATAAGTTTGTATACACAAACATACTAAAGCATGTCACGTTACCCTACATGCAAGACAATATGCTCTTAAGATCAATCTTCTAGCAAGATAAGGACCCGATATAAACCCCATTGAAAATCTATGGGAATACTTAGATAAGCAAAAACGAGATAAAAATTATTCAAACAAGGATGAACATTTTGCCGCTTTAGAGCAAAAGTGGAGACAGATTGATGAATCTTATATCAAGAAACTTCTACAATCTATACCGAGACGATGCCAGGCGGTGATTGATAATAATGGTTATACTACAAAATATTAACACAAACATGGTTGGTTTTCTATAATTCAATAAACTTTGCTTCCTTTTTCTATAATTGTTTTGCTTTGCCTATATATTTTTGTCCTTCATAGTTCCAGTTTTTTTCAATTAATTTTCTAATGAATTTATTTATGTATAAGTCAGTATTATGCTATAACGAATTATGTGTCCAGGTTATCGTATTAATAAAACAAGTTAAAAAATAAATATAGCACAATATTAATTTGTATATATACTTTTGTCCATTACTGTATATAGAGTGCTTTTGGCAAAGCCGAATTAAAATTCAACGTACATTTCGACTAATCCTAGTCATTTCTCATGTAATCCACAACGTTCATAAACTACAATATGTACAGCGAGAGCGGAAATAGTGAGAAAAGTGAATGTTTAATGAAAAGTGAGTAAAAGCGAGTTGACTTATCTATCACTCACCTGCTAGGATATTCACATGACCCAGCAACGACACTCTTAGACTCCGTCGCATTCGCCACCGAGTCCGTACACTTGATCCCACTTTCGTCGCTGCCATCCGCGCAATCCTGACGATTATCGCACAGCTGCTTCGGCGAAATGCACCTGGTGTTGTTGTCGCAGAACCTGCTGGGCAGATCGCATCGCATGACGGTCTTCGCATCGGTTGCGTTCTTTATTTTCATCGGGTCGCAGTTGATCTCGTCCGAGCCGTCTACGCAGTCCAGGTCAGCATCGCAAACGAACCGTTTGCGGATGCATTCGAAGTTGGCGCAGGCGAATTCGTCCGGCTCGCAATCGACCTACAAATAAACATAAGATGACTTTAGATCAAATAACAAGAGTACTTACGGCCGTATTCACCAATTCGGCGTTTGCCAGACTGTTACTTATCAGTTGTACAAAATATAACAGTGTGTTAAACAATAGTGGTAGTCACCAATGTCGACTGTCATACAAAAATATTAAATTTCTTCAAGTTGGTGCCTCTTGACAAAAAACGAGAGAACCACATCTAACCTAACTTTACAGGGTTTGGTAGAGGGCGTTCCTAGCTAACGAATGAGTGGCTGGTCAGTTGTCTCCGAGCACTTGGAGAGTCAGGACAGGCATTTTCGCGCGACGTGTTTCTATGAGTGGTGCAAGCCGAAAATGCAGCGTTCGTTGGAGCAGAGGTACGCGATTAAATTCTGTGTGAAACTCGGTAAATCTGCGACAGAGACGTTTGATATGATCAAGCAGGCTTACCCAGGTGTTGCTTTAGCAAGAAGTGGTGGCACCAGGCCTTTTTGGAGGGCCGGGAAGAGGTCGCTGATGAAGGCCGTGCTGGAAGACCTTCGACTTCGATAAACACCGATAATGTGACTCGTGAGCGCAAAGTTTTGAACTCAGACCGTCGACTAAGTATTCGTTTAATTGCCCAGATGTTAAATTTACCAAAATCTGGGTCCGAAAAGACATCACAGCCGACTGGAAGTTGCACCACGACAACGCCGCGGCTCACACCGCCTTTCTTGTGAACAGCTACCTGACCAAGGCCGGCATCCCAACGCTTACGCAGCCGCCCTACAGCCCATATGTGGCCCTCCGGAATTTTTTTTGTTTCCTCGCCTGAGAAGGCCGATGAAAGGCAAGCATTTTGAGACGTCAGAGTGGATCCAAGCAGCATGCACCGCGGCTCTCAAGGCTATTCCGGAGTATGCCTTCCGTGACGCCTTCAATGCTTGGAAATCGCGCAGGCAGCGCTGCATCGACGCAGAAGGAGCCTATTTTGAAAGTTTTTAAACAACTGTAACGATTGGCTAAATATTTTTTTTTTAAATCGACTCAGTCCTATTACTTTCCGGACAAACCCTGTATAGCTGCTGAGTGTTGTCATGTGCAGTGTCAGTTTTGTAATAGTTTTGCATCATTTAAAAGTCTTAAAAAGAGATCAGCTAAATATACACCAAGAGACAATAATTTCCTTGGTTGAAAAATATCGAAGTATAATTGAAAACAAAAAGACTAACTTTGTATTTAACAGGCAGAAAAATGAGTGTTGGGAGAAGCTTGCCTGGGTATTCCATTCAAACAACTGTCAGAACTAGCCAACAACTAAAAAGCAAAACAACCTAAATCTGAAGACAAGGTATCATTATTTTCACAGGATTTGGACAACGAAATTAACTTGTTCTCTTTTTTCAAGAGAATTTGTTAAAAAAGGATAGTGGGGTATCATCTATTCCTCGTACTACTACATCTGATGAAAAAGTTTTAATCCCTTTAGTTATATTAAATAAGAGTATATGAAGTATTTGGATTACTATTTCTGTTCCCATGAAGATGCAAGTGCCGATGATAACTTATAGGCAAAGTTATCCGTATTGAATGTAATATACATAAAATAATTTACATAAGAATTTTATTTTAAACGGGTAGACACTTTGCAGACATAAATCTTTACAAGATAATTAATTTTTTCATGACAATATAAAAATTGATGAAATTATTGAGTCTCTTGTTGCAGTATTTTGAGATCCAATTCGGACCTGGAAAATTTGTTCCATTTCAGGGCTATTCTCAAAAAAATCGATAGTGTCATTTTGTTCTAAGGACATGTTGCACAGCACAGCAGTTGCCACAATAACCTCACACATAGTTTTAAGTTTTAGCCCCCACATCAGGATTTTGGTTTTCTTTTGAGATTGGCTGGTTCCTTTCATTTATCAGTTCTGTAACATTTTGCAATATAGTCTCCAGTCGCCTAAATGTATTTTTATTTATTCTAAATCTTCTTACAATTCTTTCTCTCTGGATATCTTCAATGTCACTCGTGTCTGTTTCCGAAGATTCTAATATGTCGATAATATCAATTCTACTGAGGCTATCCATTTTGATACTTATACAAAACAAGCCCTTACTCGCTGTTTGCTGACTGTATTTGGTAAATCACTTCTACGAAATCTCCAGGCTAAATAAAGTCGAGATGACACTTTTGACTTTTTAGTATTAGTCAGTTAGTGGTTTACCAGTCCAACATCGCGCTGTGAACTTATCCATGACTTTAACAGACTGATTGCTATGATGTGTTGATGGTGAATACGGCCGTTAATAGTATATTTTTTTACACAGAAGCTGCCGCGCAGTCAGAAGCCCAAATGTCAGTGCAACGCGGCTGCTATGAGAAGTTCAAAGAAACTTTGTTAATTCGACTTTTGAAGTGCCTAAGGTTAGTATAACTGGCAAAAGCATCCTCATGTAGATAGTTCCACAGTCTGGATACCCTAAGGAACATTCGTATCGGCCAATTTTGGAAGTACGAAGTTTGATACTGTTAGGATGGGACACCGAAGTGAGGCGGGTCTGTCTGGCAGACACATAGCGATGGAGGGGAGCTCTGAGGAGCAAAACCCATTGGCGTAGCGGTAGAACAGAGCTAAATCGCCGACAGCCCGCCGGTACGAAAGAGTTCTGAGACTGCCCGTTAGAAAGTAGTAGTAATCGATTAGTCAGTAGTTGGGGCGGTCAGCACCGTAATATTTGTATGACCGGTTTGTTTGAACGTCTGTTAGACGACAAATATTGATATCATTGACATTAAATTATAGAAAATTATATACTTTTCAGCTTACCTTATGTCCACAATCCCGTTCATCACTTCCATCTGGACAATCATTATTCCCGTCGCACAGCACTGAGCGCGGCAGACATTCCTCCAGTGGCTGACAGGGTATATGTGAGCTAGGGTCGCAGTTCACGCAGTCCGCCTCGTCGGAACTGTCATCGCAGTCTGGTATCAGGTCGCAGTAAAAGTCGGACGGTACGCACTGGCCGTTTCGACATCGAAATTCGTTAACGTCGCACACCGCTGCTTCTGAAATTGATATAGATAAATATTTCAAATACAGAGTAATAGGTATAACAGAATTTGTTGGGGATATTTATGATGTCTTAGCTATTTCGATAGACCTTATTCCTGGATAGTTGCTCAGATTTCGTTTATTGTTCTACCTACGACCAAGCCTAGACCATGCTCTTGAGTTGCCCTCTGTGGTCGGACGGATATAGTTTCTTCGTCTATGTATTTCGATTTTTTTTATACGAACTTTTATTCGTTAACGTCAAAGCCATCCGTAGAACTTTCGATCGGGGTTAAAGAAGATAGGGAGAAATGAAAAATGGCATCAAGTATACCGAATTTATACTGCCAACGCCTAAGCAAAAGATTAAAATGGAATCGAGACTGCTATGTATTATACGAGGGATGTCTTTAAGTTTTGCATATAGAAGCATAGTAGGCCGCGCGGATCGAACGTCAGTACTGAATCTTAACCTCACTCTTTAGTAAACTTAAATTCAAAGTTTCACAACAATACGTGCAGTGTTCTCACTACAGTGAATTTTTAAGTGTCACCAAGTCATTAGAGAAATGGAACTCAACCGAGAACATTTTCGCGCCATAATTTATTACAACCTTCAGAGACAATTATCGCAACAAGAATGCCTTGCTGAGTTACTGTCTGTTTTTGGCAACGAAACGCCGCATCAGTCGACAATTTCCCGTTGGTATGGAGAATTCAAACGTGAACGGGTGAGTCTTAGCGACGATCCCAGAATGGGTGTACCAAAAACGGCAGTTCACCCAGGAAAACGTCGATGCTGTGCGCAAACTCATCATTGATGATAGACATGTGATATATCGCGAGATTGAGGCGTCCTTAAAAATCTCAAAGACCTCAATTCAAAAAATTTTACATGAAGAATTAGGAGTAAGAAAATTAGTTTCTCGTTGGATAGCCCACATGTTGAATGAAGAGCAGAAAGCAGCCAGGGTTAATTGGTGTCAAAAAAAACGCTTGACCGTTTCAATTCCGGAAACTCAAAAAATGTGTACAGCTTTGTTAGTGGTGATGAATCGTGGATTTACTGTTATGAACCAGAAATTAACCGACCGTCGGCTGTTTGGGTGTTTCAAGGTGAACAAAAGCCAACAAAACTCATCCGTTCTCGAGTGTTTCGAAAAAGATGGTCGCGACATTTGTGTCAAAAGCGGGTCAGATTGCAATTCCTCTTAATGAGCAAAGAACTGTTACTGCGGATTGGTATACCACCATTTGTTTGCCAAAAATCATCACCGAGCTTCGAAAAATCAACCCCGAAAGAAGAATCATCCTCCACCAAAACAATGCAAGCTCGCACACAGCCCAAAAAACAAAGCAGTATTAACGGAAGAAAACGTGGAATTATTGAACCATCCTCCATATAGTCACTATCTAAGTTCTAACGATATCTTTACTTTTCCGAAAATTAAAAACAGACTGCGTGGTCAAAGGTTCCAGTCTCCAAAAGAAGCAGTTGACGCATTCAAAAATGCCGTTTTGGACATGCCAGCAAACGAGTGGAATAAGTGCTTCGAAAATTGGTTCGAGCGCATGCAGATGTGTATTAATCTTCAGTAAAATAATTTAAAACTACCTACCGTGTTGTTTTATTTCCATATGCAAAACTTAAAAGACATCCCTCGTATTCTATGCAATCATACCATATTTCTTTTTCGCATGGTTATTACGTAAAAAACCTGTATAATGTTAAAAAAAAAACGATAAGATGTCAACTTGTTGACTAGGTTGGCTACTGTGCAAATAGTTCATTCCACGCTTGCTACAAGTGGGGATGAAGTGAACTACAGCTGTGAAAATATGTGTAACCATTATATATAATAGATGCGCATTATTACCAGAATCAGAAGCTTCTTAATAATAAAACATCTTTGACTGATACCAAAGAAGCAGCATTTCCGCCCCCTACGACTCCCAACTTTCAATTCCTCCAATAATACTGTTAAAATAAGGATATCTGGAATTATGACAACAAAGTTTAGTCCTTGGAATATCAGTAACTTCCTGTCAAAATCTCATCCAAAATCGGACAATACTTTCAAACCAACATCAAAAAAAAACATAACATCTTGATTTCGATATTTTTCTCAATTACAATAATACACTACTTGTTGGCGTATGAAGTAAAAATTATCAATCAATTACAAGTGCAATTTTGAAAACTGATTTTCCCTAACGAGTTCTACAGAACTGTGTTCCCGAACGTATTTGTAATAGAAATACAATCTTAATACTTACGACAATCCGTCTCGTCGCTATCATCATCCGGCCCACAATCCTTTACATTATCACATCTCCACACCATGGGTATACACCGACGAGTGTTTTTGCACTTGAACTGATCCGATGGACACAGCTGGTTGCACACTTCAGGATCCTCGTCGCTCCCATCGTAGCAATCTTTGTCTCCATCGCACACCCAGTGCTTGAAAATGCAGGTCGTGTCGCATTTTACCTGGTTTTCGGCTAACAAAAAAGGCATACGTTACGAACTGATTGTAGAAAGTGGCAAGAAATTCTAATTACTATTATAGTCCTCTTAAAAGGCAATGTCTATAGGAAAATTTGGCTACGAAAATGTATAACAAAGGAATTAAATGGATCATGTCAGTCAAATAGGCTCAATCTATGACGTACGAAATATGTCTGATAGATACGTATAATTAGCGTTGGGAATGTATAAATAGCTAGTCCCAAAAAACTGGCATATACTCAACTACATCCCTTACAACCCCAAAGATCCAATCTAAAATTAAAACTATAACAAAATTACATGATATGTGGATCTTAAGTAATTATATGATCTAATTTGTTTTAATTTTATGTTTACGAAAACAGTGCACTCTAGAAAAAAAACAAGAGTAATTATTTGTAGCAAATTGAAGGTAAAATTCGAAACAACAGGGGCGTACTATTTTTATTTGGAAAGATGATGCCACTAATCCCCTGTATCTCCGCCACTGGTGCACGTAAATTTTAAGTAAAGACTTTTGTATGTGGACAATACTTAGGTAAATCCACAAACTAAATTTCAGTTCATTCCATTTGACGATTTTGAAGATTGTTTTTTATTTTTAAGCTTGAACCCCGTATCTTTTTGATGAAGCCCTTGAAGAAAAAATGTTACATAGAAGACTCCCCTTGAAATGCGGTCTTGTGTATGATGTTACGTTTTTGGTCACAACTTGTGAATCACCCTGTATATCGCTGCCATTTTTTGTCTTAATTAGATTTGCATCTGTGCGAAAGTATGATCAGCAAAAACTATGAATTTACCATTTAAATTATTTATTTATATTCAAGTATTGATGGTACCTGCTTTCAACACGGATCGACTGTAGAATCTGCCTAACAGCATGTACGAAATGTGGAAATCCAGAAAAAAAAAGATAATTATCACTCTCGATATTAAACCGACATCGGCATGGACAAAAAATACATTAGAATTTCAGTTGAGAGTTTTCTAAATGACATCGTTTCCAAGACATCACAAGTTGCGTTGCTTTTGTAGTAGCATCTCTAACCACTTAGTATCTTCCACCTCAACATCTATCTTATCTTGTCACCGATATACCTCATACGGAGTAGTCGCAGCGTCGCGTATTCTTATAACATATTATAAAAAATTGTCCACAAGGAAAAATATGCCGTCACTGGAATTTGAAGGTATGGTCATCATGAATCTAGAAACTCCATTTCAACTTTTGATTGGTGGTTGCGTTAAAAACTATAGAGACTATGAAGTAGACTATCTGTAAACACGTATGTACTTCTTTTGTCATTGGAATACTTACTACAAGAAACATTCTCGCAAGGTCCCCCCGGTTCAGCCGATTCGTCTGACAGATCCCCGCAATTGTCGATGCCATCGCAAAGGTAGGTGTGTGGGACGCAATGTTTTTTGTGCAGACACTGGAAATTGTCAGGTGGACAGAAAGAGGGCGCTGTGAAGTCCTCCTGTTTAACACAGACGTCATCTTTCAGTTGATAACCATCGGAACATGAGCACGTAAATTGTTGGGACGGTGTCGGAAGACATATTTCTGAGCATGTGGAATGACTACAACCATTTTCACCTGCAAACCATAAAAATAATGTTTTATGGTATGATCGAAAAACAAAACAGATTGCTGTCCTTTTATTATTCATTAAATCATATAAACGATACAAAAATGTATTTGTTTCACATTTGGTTGAAACAATCAATGACAAACATGCATTGAAAAACAGCCCTTGTAGGTTTCATTCTCATGACTCCTGCGTGTTTAAGGTTTTTCGGGCTATCTCGCAGTATTTTCCAATATACTTGGGACGTGAATGGCTGACATTTATTGGTAAGTCATAACACCATAATCTGACAGCATGTAGTGAGGATTGAAGTGCATTTGATATATGTCAATTTTTTGACAATTGCCATTAAATTCGTATATTTAGAGTTACTTTTTAAAAGTGCAAGTGTCTGCAGATAGTTGTGGTGTTCGACAATTTCAAGACGTGGTACTTCTTACATAATTTGCTAACAGTGGCACAAACCTAATAAAGGAAGATGTTTCCACCGGTAAGTATTATGTTGATACAACACTGCCACTTTCGCACTAAAACTCCGCAATTTTGGTGACAAATAATGCAAGGTAAACATATAGGACTGGCTCCTAACCTATTCGAATTCTTTGGGTTCAGCCAACGAATTCAGACTAGTTAGAAAGAGAAAGGCTGCGATTTGTTTGCCTCCAAAATCTCAGTCTATAGTCGGGATAAAGTGCACACTAAAAGTGGACCTGTTGCATAATTTGCAGAGAGCAGCACAAACTAAATGAAGGTAGATCTTTCCACCAGTAAGTGTTATGATTATGTTGAACAACGTGGTCACTTTGGATTTTGTTGGGTAAAACCTGTCAAAATTTTCACTCCAGTGGTGAAAAATGTCATGGTGTATGAATTTTAAATTATTGTACTAGTTAATGCTCTGGTACACCTAACTCGAGACGTGAGTTTCGGATTGGTGATTATAACTTACCTTTCTGAGACCCTGCATCATACAACTTAACGTCGTAAATGTGCAAATTGCTGCTATCATACACTTTCTTCAATCCTGTAGAATTACTGTAGGCCATAATAGCTCCTTTGGACATTTCGATGAAATAAATAAGCTTATGTGACCCCACACCGACTGCCAGACCCGCTGGAGATTCCAATGCCATGACAGTTTCCACTCTCCGATTTGTGCCATCAAAATCAATACTTTGAATGTTTTTCAGGTGCTTATCTGTCCAGTATAATCGCTTTGCTTCTTGGTCAATCGCCAAGCCGCTCGGCCAGTGGATGTTATGGTCCAAAAATACTTTCCTGGGATAACAAAATGGCGTAAAATAGATTGACTCTGCAGTTCCCATCCAACGCTGTCATCATAAAGGATTATGTGCGGCAAAGCTAGTTCCTCTGATAAAAAAATAGCTACGAAAATGTATAACAAGAAAAAATTGAATAAGCCACTTCAGTAAAGCAGACCTTTATAATTAGATCATAGTACCCACCCATTTGATAATTTTTTGCGCTAGAAACTTCTAATCTGCCTTGACGTTGCTATGATTAGCATCGCCACTCGCCACCCACCCTTTGGTCAGACCCCGACGCATATCTTAAATTGTCCGAGAAAATCTATGATGTGTGAAATATGCCTATTTACCGAGACTGGAAGCGCATAAATGTAGTAACGTCAAAAGATTGAGATATACACACCCCCACCCACTACAGCCTCTAACCCCCAACTTTTAGCCCGTACAGAATTTTTTTTAAAATGTTGAGGAGCTTCTGAAACGCCAAAAAACGAAGTTTTAGCAATTTGTTTTTGTTTTTTGTCTGTAGGTCTGCCCCCACTGAATTATTTTTACAAAACTAAAAAACTTTTGCGTCCTTGGCATAGTCGTAAGCTTGTGTCAAAATGAGTGACATGATGATGTATATATCATGTGACATCTAAAAAAACTCATCTATCAATCTCATTTTAGAATTTTTTCGCGATTACAATACTTCATCGCCAGTGGCGTGGGAAGTATAAAGATTGATATAGGTATAGAGGATAAAGTTCATCATGACTATTAGGTGACAAATAGCGAGATGTACATATGCGAATACCTATTACGTTTTGATGACAACTGAGGTGAACAGCTGATCAGCAAGTGACATCTTTGTGTTAAAATATGTATGTAATTTTAGCAATGGTGTGAATTGATCAAAACTCAGAATCGTATTCAGAACTGTTTATACCAAACATAGTCAAAAACTATAGTGAGTAACTTGTCTAAATAAAAAAGTTGTTAGGAAGTATAAATCCGTAGCGTACCAAAGACCACAACAAAATACGACTTTGAATTGTGTGTCACTTGCCGATATGGGGTATTTTGGAATTTCACTAGATTATCAGCTGTTATTTGCTGCCACATTTGTCGTAATGGATTCTCGTAAAAAATACTGTACTGACATAGTATCATTTTTCACATCTTAGTTGTAATGTATTTGTTACCTATTTTTGCCGTCCATCTGCGCCATATCTATTCTTCCATTCTCAGGGGTTGTACTAGACCAATGTGCCCAATACATATAACCACTTATCGGGTCAACAGCTATTGAGCCTGGGTTGTAAGTCGTATTCCAAATTAGTGTTTTCACCAATGAAGTATTGGCGAGTTTTACCACCTTGATGCTGCCCTTTTCCAAACTTGTCCAATAGAGATTCCTGAAAAGAATATCATATAGTAATAAAAAAAAACACTGTGCATATATATTACTTGATATCATTATCACAGGGTGTGCTGAAAGTTGGGACTTTCCATATGAGAAACAACAAAGGGGTGCGTTTTACCGTAAACAGTAATAGAATGTAGATTTGGCCGTTAAAATTTCACTCTGGAGTAGTAACGATGTCACCATGACTAATTCCTAAACACGTTTTCTGAAACTATTGTATGTATCAGGTAACCAAATAAGTTCGTGCGGTTGCTGTATATTGCACATTTCCATGGATGTTGTTGATCGATAGGATCTTCGATAGTTTGTGGACGCAAATTCCAGGACAACGTGTCAAGAACTTGCAGAAATGTTCAGAGTGAGGTCTGAATCTATTCGTTTGCATCTTCATCAGCTAGGAAATACGTGGAAGTTAAGCAAATGGGTCACACATGAACTGACAAATGATAACAAATTAAGTCGTTTTACCATTTGCTCAGCAAACATTTCACGCAACGCTAATGAACCATTTCTTAATCGGTTATTAATCTGCGACGAAAAATGGATCTTGTATTCGAATTCTAAGCCCTCGTATCATTGGTTATCACCTACTGATTCGGTACCACACACGCCCAAGGCTTCCATTCACCCCTTTTTGAGAAGTGGTCAAACCATCACTGCTAACTTGTATTGTGAGCAGCTTCAACGAGTACAAGCAGCACTCATCCAGAAACAGCCTTCTTTGATCAATCGGAAGAAAGTTATATTCTTGTATGATAAAGCCAAGCCTCATACCGCAAAAGTGACCTGCGAAAAAATTTCTGAACTCGGCTGGGATTATCACCTTTTTTTGTCTCTTGACCACTGTATGAGGCATCGACAGTTCGCAACTCGAGATGGTGTAATAAATGCAGTCTGCCAGTTTTTTTACTCCAAATCCAGGGAGTTAGTTCTACAATTCCGGCATACAAAAATTGGCTCCACATTGACAAAAGCTCATTGAATGTGATAAAAAATTATGTTTTTCTACTAAAAACCGCACGAACCTATTTGGTTACCTGATATTATAATAAAAGCTATATATACAGGGTTATCCAAATTAAGTGTCCACCATTAGTAACTTTGTTATTAGTGAAAATACAAAGTTGTTTGAATTAGCAAACTAGTAGCATTTTTAACGCTGGTAAAAATGAGAAATAAAAAAAAACAATTGAGAGTCGTTATTTTGATTTTTTTCAGTAAAATAACATTTTTTTAAATGGAAACCCCTGTATATTATATTTTTTTCTGTTAAAGCATCAAATTTTAAACAAAAAAGTTCATAATGACTTTTCCGCTAAAGTCAAAAATAAAGTCAAAATAACGATAAATATTTTTAATTATTTGCAGTATTATAATATTAAGACGGCTATGAAAACAACATGGCGTTCGCGATTTGACAGCATTAAGATAAGTGACAAATTGTTAAACTGGACATACTCGCAACTAGAAGGCTTTGGAAAACAATGATAAAATCAAATAATGTCAAACATTAGTGTAAATACTTGTTTATAAGCTTTATTGTGTCATTAATTTAAAGAAAAATGTTCTCCCATGAAGAAAAGTGTGATATGTTAGAATGCTATTTAGTGTGCTGAAAATCCTCCTTGAGAGCAAGAGAATACTACAGTGAATTATATCCCGCTCGCATTCAACCGTATGAACGATATTTTCTGAGACTTTATCGAAAATTTAGGGGCAACGAAAATGTTTTTGCTAAAACAAGGGCAAAAAAAGAATTCATAATAAGCGAGGCCACGGAAATTGCAGTTATTGGATATTTTGAAGCTTATCGTGAGAATTCAATAGCAGATATTCTCAAGGACTCTAATTTCAGTTATGGTACTGTTCAAAGGATTTTAAAAAAATACAAATTTATTCCGTATAAGTACCGACCAGTTCAAACGCTTTTGGCAGGGGATCCAGAGAGAAGACTTGTTTTTTGCCATTGGTATCTTAGCTTCTGTCGCCAAAATGTAAATAACTTTCGTTACCTTTTATGGACAGATGAATCAAATTTTTCAAATTCTGGAATGTTTAATAGAAAAAACCACCATTATTGGTCAAGAGAAAATCTTTTGTTAGTACATCCAAGAGGCCCACAAGTCCGTTTCAGTTTCAACGTTTGGTGCGGTATAATTGGTTCAAAAATTGTTGGCCCGTTCTTTTATGAGGGAACCCTAACTCTTGAAAGATATGTGGAATTTATGTCAGAAATTCTGACTAATTTCTTAGACGAATTGGATCTTATAAGTAGACATCATCTGCATTTTCAGCAAGATGGCGCAGCTTGCCCACAACTCCAGAGGTACTTATCATTTTCTAAGTACTACTTTTAATGATCAGTGGATAGGAACAAATGGCCCAATACAGTGGCCTCCCAGATCACCAGATCTAAACCCACTTGATTACTTCTTGTGGGGTTACTTAAAGAACCAAATTTACAAGCGAAGGTACGATAACCTTGACGCGTTAAAGACTGCAGTTAGGGAAAAGATAACCCAGATAGATGGTAGGACCATACTTAAGACAGTTCGAGCAGTTGAAAAACGTGCCCAAAAATGTATTGAAGAAGGTGGTGTTTTCGAGCATCTTCTTTAAAAAAAATTGTTATTGTATTTTGTAAGATTATAAGTTGATGTTGAAAATAAAGTTTGTCGATACAATTTAATTGTTTCAGATTGGAGGCCATAACTTCAACAATTTGTAACCTAGGAGAAAAGTTATTGTAAGCTTTTTTGTTTAAAATTTGATGCTTTAACAGAAAAAAATATAATATACAGGGGTTTCCATTTAAAAAAATGTTATTTTACTGAAAAAAATCAAAATAACGACTCTCAATTGTTTTTTTTTATTTCTCATTTTTACCAGCGTTAAAAATGCTACTAGTTTGCTAATTCAAACAACTTTGTATTTTCACTAATAACAAAGTTACTAATGGTGGACACTTAATTTGGATAACCCTGTATATACGTACGAGATAGCCCAATTATTGTGAAAAATATATATTCAATCACTTTTGAGTACTTTTTGATAATCAAATAAAGTAAACAAAAAATGATCCATGAGAATGACAAGTGACAACTATGCCCAAGGTTTTGAGCACGGAAGAGAAGCGCACTTTTGACGTTCTAGAGGGATTACTTTGTTCTATTTCCGAACGCAAGTCAACAATTACGAGCGCTAAAATTGTTACAGGGTAGTACAAAGTGCAATCCGTAACAATTTACGAACGTAACCCTGTTTGAAAAAACAAACTAATGTGGTAAAACAGCAGCGAAAAAGTTGAATATCCGAAATTCACACAGTTCATTTGAAGTGAAATTCACACAGTTCATTTGAAGTAATTTCAAGTACCGTCCTGTCACATTTTGGTTAAGCACTGTTTTAACTTGTTGCTGTTCGATCAAAAAAAGTTTGCTAACATCTGTAATATCCAACATTTAGAGTTATCCAGATCTCTCAACCTTAACTATCCAACATTTAGAGTTATCCAGATCTCTCAACCTTAACATCATTACAAATGATCTTTGTACGAGATAAACAAACCTTAGCGGCACAGGATGGAAACGTCCAAGAAAACAATCCGAATAAACTCGCAAAGCATCAGCAGCTTCTTGATGACACTCACCATAAACTAACATCAAATCGACAAGTTCGTTATTGCTATAGAGATATGTTAAATCATTTTCGATTTTTCAAAATCCGATTCATAAGTAAACAGCTTGGATAGACTGCACGGCGCGTGGTGCCTGGGCTAGATACTGATGCACGTCGTATCTATTTACCTATTATTTGCTAAAGGCAGGGATTGAATGTTGTTGCTAACTGTTACAACTATTACAACTATATGCTGTGTAAAGCCTCAATATAAATAAGACTCTATAAACACAAAAACACCATGGCAAGAAAGGTATATTTCCTATTTGTTGACGCGACGAGATAAGCAGTGAGAAACACTATAGATTTTGTACCCATGGGCAGCACCTACAGGGACTGTAAATTGATGAGACTGTTTTATAAACAAAATTATCCAAATATAATAACAATTTTATGTTGTCATCCTTCTGAAGCCAAACAGCGCTGGAGGCGGTTCTTCCACTCCTCATAGCAGTGCTGGATTTCCGATACTGGAATAGGCACCAGCTAGTCGGTTAAAGCTGTTTTCTTGAGGTGATTTTTCAACTTCGGGAAGAGAAAAAAAGTCGTAACGACTCATTTTAGGCAAATAAGGAGGCTGAGGAGCAATCAGGAATGTTTTTACTGGCCAAAAACTGTTTTACTGACATTGCTATGTGACAAGGAGTATTATCGTGATGCAACACCCAGTTGTTCTTGATCTAATGGACGGTGGTGTAAATCAAATGCAACTCTTCTCCGATCAACCTGACTGTTAACCGACGATCTGAACGCACAAGATCCCGGATTCTGTCGATATTTTCATCGGTTCTTGAAGATGAAGGCCTTCCACTTCGTGGTGCATCTTCAATCGACTCTTTCCCTCCTGAAAGTGCTTTAAACCACCGAAAAAACTGGGCTCTGCACAAAACACTACCTCGGTAGGTCTGTTTAGCAAGAGTTTCCGTTGCACTGTGCCCAAGTCTGAAGTAAAACCTGATAGCACACCGTTTCTCGAAGTTGATGTCACTCATTATTAGAACACAATGTTATAAACTGTTTCACAAAAAAAATCGCTACCGACAACCAAGTGACTCGAGCGAGCTCAAACTTGTACTGAAGGCGGATCACATGTTCCCCTGTCTCCCCGTCAAGCTCGGCGCCTTCAGTGTCGCCAGATCGAACGCTACGTTGCCAATCTTATTACTTAATTTACAGACTTGTATTGTATGCATATCCCTTAAAATTACATCAAACACAAAACTACTCCAATCTTACCTTGATATCCAATCAAACGCCAACCCGTCACAAGCCACGTTGTTCACCAAGACCGTATGATTTGACGTATTCAAAATAGGCACCATCTCTATGGTCATACTATAGGCATCCGCGTAAAATATGGAACCAGTCTTTGCGTCGAAGTCCAGACCCCTAGGTTGGCTCATTTTGGTAATGGGCACCATTGTCTCGTTGCTTGTCTCTAAATCTATGCCTCTGATAGAGAACGGATCGCTTCTTGATATGAGAAGAAACTTCGAAGGCGTTTTAACAACGCATTTATTGTTAGCATCCAAGACATAACCAGAGGCGCAGGCGCATTTTGGTATGGCCCTGTTACCGTTCCACATAGGGATGCATAGATGATCACAGATTTTTGCATTCTTGCAAGGGTGAGCAGCTAAAAATGGAGATATACAAAGTTATTCTTTGGTAGTTCATAATAAAAAACCCATCAGTAGTTTTATAAATTAATTTTGTAAAACTAGTGTCAGATTGCCGTAAATATCTTCAACTGTAGTTTTTCTCTCAGTCGCTATGGACATGATTTTACACAAAACAAACTCAATCTCACTCACAACCGAAATAGCAAAAATATCATTTTTGAAAAAAGCCATAACTCAAATACCTTGAAAAAAAAATATCCTTAATGTTTGGCCTTCACGGATTACTTATAGCGTTCTAAAGGGCAAATGTGTTTCGACTTTTGGGAAAGGCATATACTTACCATCAGGTTGACGTTGCCTGTGGAAGACGTACACATTGTATGGCCTGCTGATGTTTGACACAATCGTCCTTTCGTCATGCTCATACTTATCCAACTGCAGAATACTATTATTCCTCCATGAGGACACAAAAATATTATTCTCAAACACTGTTATCCCGTACAAATTTCGTACTTTGAACCCCCTTAAAACCGTTTTTCTGTTTTTACCATCATAGTCAATCTTCTCTATGTAATCAAGGTAGGTATCCACCCAGTATACTTGCTTCTTTGGATAGTCCACAGCAACACCGTATGGGTATATGATGGTATGTGACACTAATGGCGTCCGGTCAGAACCATCTAACTTGCACCTTTCTAACATGGGGGACGAATGGCCCCATTTCGTGAAGAACATATATCCATTCGTGGGGTCCAAGGCTAATGCTCTGGGTTTCCATAGATCTGTGTCTATCAGCATGTTACACCATTCCAAGTTATGCGTGCAGACCAAGATTACGTCTCTTTGATCGTCTAGGAAATACCTGAAAATAAACCAGGAATAATAGTTTGGGATCCCATGTACCGCGAAATATGTATGTTAACTGGAGCAAATTCTGTAGGAATACAATTTTGAACATTTTCATACCGAAGCAGCGACGGATGCAAAAGTCTAAATACCGAGGTACAACAACTGCTAAAAGTAAGACAGAGATATTTGGTTGATCCCATAATACTATAACTCGAGAAAATATGCACACCTCGCGATCTAATTTCGTACCCCTTGCGTATGGTGTCACTCGGTGACAAATGTTCCGCTCGTCGGTATGAAATGCATTGTATACAAAAGGTACTATAAAAGTTTTGCAATATAACTTGACAATCGGACGCAAGAAGCTGCATGTTACTGAATGTTGAGACATGTCCATGAGTGCATAGTAGCCGCCAGCAGCATGTCTGTTGATTTAGTTGTTAGTATTGAAAGTGAATAGTGCGGACTATGACATCGTGGTCACGTGGTGAGATAAAGGGCAGTTTTACGGTATAACTTTACGCATGGTTTAAGCATAGACCAGTGCTTAGAAGAAATGATGCTTGCATTAAAGAATGATTGTCCTCATCGTACGACTATATTCAGGTGGTACAGAGAATGCCAAAGGGGCATTTTCACTTTGGAGGACGCGGAGAGAGAAGGAAGGCCGCGAACGTCAGTAACAGAGAAAAACATTACTGATGTGAGGAAAATGCTTGTCGAAGACCGGAGAATGACATACCAACAGATAGAGGAGACCTTACACCTTCATTCAGGAAACTTTGTTCTCACTGGGTACCGCATAGTCTGACAGAAGAGAAGAAGATTCGTCGTTCGACTTGATGCCGAAAGATGCTGAAAATGTTTGATAAGGGACAATCTCGGTATGTGAACATCATCGTGACAGGTGACGAGATTTGGCTCTATTATTACGATGTGCCGACCAAGGCTCAAAACAAGGTTTGGGTCTTTGATGATGAGGACACACCCGTAGTTGTCAGAAAATACCGATCTGTTAAGAAAAAAATGATAGCTGTATTTTTCAAATCGAGCGGAATTGTGGAGCTTGTCGACCCACAGAAGACAGTCACAGCTAAGTGGTACGTGGAATAGAGCCTGGCTAAAGTCGTAGAGTCTCTGAAAAACCTGCGGCCAAAATGGACACTTGGTACCTCCACCATGACAATGCTCCTCCTGCACCACTACTAGACTGAAACTTATTGGGCACCCTCCTTACAGTCCAGATCTTGCACCCTGGGCCTTGCACTGTTTCACCATGTGAAAATGAAGCTAAAATGAAAACGGTTTTCTAGCGATAAGAAACTTGGTAAAGCTGGTTTAAGGACTGGTTTTTGCGGATGGGGAATGCGAATGTGGTGCAAATCACTTAGAACGAAGTCAATAAATAAAGCTGTATTGCAAAACTTTTATAGTACTCTTTGTATTAGAGTTTTCTCTTGAATACGTGGAATATTTGCCTAGCATTTTTTGTGTTATCGACAACGTTTCACATAGATACTGATTTGAAACCACCGGATTCGGAATTATTGGTAGCGATTTTTTCGAAATGATCGGAATCAGCTCTACTCAGGAAAGCATCTCCAGGCATACTTGAATAAACTGGGCCAAAATTCTTCTTCTGATACTACGGTTAGCATCAGACCAATTTTCATGATTAAAGTCAAAACGTGGACAAAATATCGAGATTCTAGATTTATGGGAAGAATAACAATTACAAAATTTATATCCACACATGATGCGTTAACGCTCGGCATTCACAGCAGAAATTCGTAACTTCTGCCTTCTAATATTGGTATTTGGGGACACTATTATACGGTCGAAACGTCAATTTTCAAAATTTTGGACTTTTATGGTTGAAGATGTATCACAGAAAAACTTTGGAGCAACGTCTAGACGCACTGGCGCCACCTTAGGAAATCAAATGAAGTTGAATGTCAAATCTGCATCATTTACAAGGAATTACAGACAAGTGGTTATCATATACATACTTCTACCTAAAGGTTATGGTTAATTTTTTGGTGGTGCCTCAATTTCCTTGAGAAGTGTATTATGCAAAAAATTGTCAATATTCATGTTCGATCAAACCACTTACCAGTTCTCCGAAATCCAATCTAGCGCGATCTGTTGAATAGAATCGACTACTAGAACGGCGGACTTGGCTTGCAGCTGCCATCTTTGGTTCAGATCGTTGATGTTAGCGCACATCATCGAGGCTTTTGTAACATTGTGATGAATATAGCAGATAGTGTGGTTGCGATGGATAAACTCCAGGGCATTGCTGTTCAACAGACGCAGTGTCGAATTGCCGGGAAACGGCTTTCCGTCTAAGGTTACCCGCTTGATCTCGGACTGCGTGGAGAATATCAGTGATGGGGGTTCTGATGCCGGAACTGCAGAAAATGATGTGTTTCAGAAAGGACTATCTGTATTTCCAGCAATATCTTTATAAACAATATAGATTATAGACCTTTGGAATTTGGTATAGAAATCGTGCAAAATGAAAAAATCAAAACTTCTCCATCTAAATCATTTTACGTGGCATCTTTTCTAAAGTGAATTCACACAGCTCTGTGAAAATTTCCAACTTTTGTCACCGCAATATGCATTTTTAACACTACTAAATCCACCGCCTATAACCAGGTACATAACCTTCCAAGTTGGAAATTTTCCACAGTCATATTATTTCTCCCGCCTACACAATAGATAGTATAGTGTGCACCCACAAACTTCAGTAATTCATTACTATCAACAGGTTTTCATTCACATGGTTCAATAAGTCGCTAACCTTCATGTGAGACCTTTGAAATTTTCGCGACAATCACACCCAAAACAGCAAAGATACTGCAGTGAAAGGGAGGTTACTTTTGCATTTGTTTCCAAAGTGGACAAAAACGAATTTCGTGTGTTGATAAAACATTGTTATTTAATGGGAAAGAATACCGTGCAAGCTCAGCAATGGCTTAAAAAATGTTATCCGAACTCTGCTCCGTCGAAAACAACGATTTGATGGTGGTATGCTGATTTTAAACGCGGTCGTACTGATACAAAGGATGCGGATCGCTCGGCTAGGCCAAATGAAGCAGTAACCTCGGAAAATGTTAAGGAGGTTTAAAAAATCGTGATGAATGACCGTAAACTGAAAGTTCTTGACATTGCTGAGATAGTACACATATCAACCGAAAGTTCATTTACCATCTTACACGAATATTTGAGTATGAAAAAAGTCTTTTCCAAAAGGGTGCCGCGTTTTCTCACAATGGAACAAAAGCAACAACGAGTTGACAACTTGGAGGAGGATTTCTTGCATCGGTATGTGACAGTAGACAAAAAATGGATTTTACTCCGGAATCAAATCGGCAGTTAGCTGAGTGGCGTGCAGCTGGTGAAAGCCGTCCGAAGCGTCCAAAAACGCAGCAGTCAGCTGGCAAAGTCATGGCGTCATTTTTTTGGGACGCACAAGGTATAATTTAAATAGACTACGTTAAAAAAGGAAAAAGTATCAACAGCGATTATTACATTGAGTTACTGATGCGACCGCACATGAAGAAGAAAAAAATCATCTTTCATCAGGACAACGCACCGAGTCACAAGTCAATAAAAACAATGGCCAAATTGAATGAGTTCGGCTTCAGTCTGCTTCCCCATCCACCGTACTATCTAGATCTAGCTCCCAGCGACTAGTGGCTCTTTGCTGATCTCAAAAAGATGCTCCAGGGAAAACGATTTGGCTCTAACGAGGAAGTTATCGCTGCAACAGAAGCTTATTTTGACACCAAGGACAAATCTTTCTTCAAGCATGGTATCGAAAAACGTTGGAATGATTGCATTGTACTTAATGGCGATTACGATGATGAATAAAAATGAATTTTGCGAAACAAATGCTGTTTTCATGGTTAGTCCCGAGACTTATCGAACCATGTGTTAGCCCATCTTATTCAAAGAGGACCCTTTTATAGAATCTGTTATCAGGCCCAAATTTGCGTCAAAAGTGGTTTAAACAAGATATCTCTAAAGTAGATAGTTTTCGATATATAAGCGAGTTCATATCTGAAAAAGGGTAAAATATGCCATTTACGATTCCAAAAACAATTTGAAAAATATATTGTTACCAAAGTTCCTGAGTATTCTTCAAACATCCATTAATAAAATCACAAAGCATTTTAGAGGGTATTGTTATCGTGAAGCTTTGTTTTTTATTGTTAATCAGGTGCACGCTGAATGTATATTCTGAATAAAATTATAAAAAAGCCGAATCAGAATATGTTTCTTAGCGGATTTGAAGATACTTCCTGGACTGGGAAATAAAAATGTATTGATCAGTATCTACTAGGAGAATGTGTACTTTTTGACTCGACACTGTTTTGAGAAATGTTTGTTTAGATAATTCATGATCGAGTATTTACTTGAGACACGAGTATTTACTCTCGATTATTCACCTCACAACGAGTATTGGCTTGATTTTTCGCAAGTAAAAACAATTACTTCTTTTTATTCAGCCGACTTACCATTTATTGCATTACATTGTGTTCCATTGGCTTGATAACCGGAAACGCAGGAGCACTTGTAAGAACCTATCGTATTTGTACAAAGTTGCGCGCAAGTTTCATCTAGCTCACATTCGTCTGCATCAACACACTTGTTTCCATCTGATTTATTCCCTTCTGGGCAGTAACATTGAGCTCCTTTTGGTGTTGGTTTGCATCCGTATATACACTGTAACCTGAAATGTAATAAAAAAATGGCGTCAAGTAGGTTGACCCCGCACTTCCTACGCAACTCTGTCATCAATACATAAGGGATTAGATTCGGCATAAATTCCTCTTATAAAAACATGGGCTACGAACACGTACATTGAAGATATACATATCTTTATGATTCAACTTTTTAAGGGCCCACATACGCGAAAATCTTTTATTTATGAAATATGTTTAACTAATAGGTGTGTAGAATTGCCTGGGTTGGAAACATATAGATTGCTAGCCCCAAAAAATTGAAACGTCAAAAAACAAAGTTTGAGCTATTTTTTTGTGTGTGTTTTTGTCAATAGCTCGGCCGCCAATAGACTGGTTTCAAAATCTACAAAGCGTTTTCATCTTTGACATTGTGTGAAATTTTCATCCAAATCCGAGCAGTACTTTCCAAGTTATAGTCGGTCCAAAGATTAACAGACTGACAAACAGACAGGCATTCGGAAATAAGTGACATGATTTTTCGTGATGTAGAACATCCAAAAAACAATATCTCGTTTTCGAAATTTGTACGAAGAAAAGCATTTATAACATACATATGCTGCTTGCAGCTCTCACCATGCATACATAGCAACAAATCAGTGTTGCATTAGCTCTACCACATTCTGACGTCCAGTAGTTGATTATGTACTGTTAGTAATACTGATTCGGTTCGATTTTAGTAACGTATCAGAGCCAATTTCACGTTTTCAACTAATACCAATGAACATTTATTTAATTCTTAGCTAAATTGAAATGTATCCAGCATCATTAGCAGCTATATTCACGGGTTTATTCTGCTTGTATGCCGAAATTTGTTGTCACTTTTGAGGTGTTGAACTACCATAACAGAAAGCGCATCTAAGTCTTACCTAGTGCAATCTGCAGTATAATTCTGACAAAAGTCCCATTCATCGCTGTTTCCCGGACAGTCTCCATGGCCGTCACAGAACTTGGCAATAGTAAGACACATCAGCCCTTCACCACACGCCGCTTCGTTCCATTTGCACTTCAGCCCTTTGGGACACAACTTCGGATCTTCGTCGGAAGTGTCGGGGCCCAGCTCGGGATGGGTGCCACAGTCGTGCTCTTCATCGCACATCTGTTAATTTTACATTTTTATCACAGGAAATACGCTAAGATATCATGAAACCACAGAACCCCGGTTAGTTCTGAATAGGGCCAGCCATAGGGAAAATATTTCAAAATACGGTGACATTCCTCGATGTCACTTTGAAGCTGGGATTGATATTCAAAATAATTGAAATTAAAGCGTTCATTAATGTAAAAGTCACCTAGGACAAGAAAGAAAAATCACTGGAGTCAGAATTTTGTATGTTACCCAATGACCCTCTACTAACGTAAAACAAGGGAATTTCCCCTTCTCCATGAAAGGTGTTTTTAGAATAACGTCACTAAATAGCATAGACATTTAAGATACAAGTATCTGAATAGCAGATACAAGATAGAAAATACATTTTGTATCTAAGATACTTTTTTTTAAATTGTATTTGTATTTTGTTTAGACAGCTTTCGTTTGGTATCTTAGTATCTGGTAAATACTATGTTTTCTAAAATACTACAGTTACATATGCATTTCTTCACGTAACGCGCCCTTAAAACTTTAGTCTTGGACCACGAATATGTAAAATAACTTACCTTAAGTGAAACACGAAAAATCAATCCATCTGATAAACAAAAATTGGCGGCTTTAGATAATATTGGAAGTGATATAAAAAAGGCAAAAGACGCATTTTATATTTTACATGTTTTTAGAAGACTCCAATTCCTCTATTGCAACTGGCGAAAACCGTAAAATCAAAACACTGGGTCTACTAGCAGCATCGCTGACAGAAACACTGCAATACCTAAATAATTGAGATAGCAGCTTAAAAAATATTTTTCAAATATAACACCTGTTTGCCAATGTATGCCCCTGAGAACGACTTTCTCTTTTGAGGATATGATAGTAAGGCCTATCAGAAAAAAATGAAAGACAAAACGTTTGAAGAACTGGTTCTACTTGTCTCAATTAAAACCTTAAAAGTATGATATTTTGTCACATTTGCGCTATCAATGTATAAATAATTGATGTAATAAAATAAACTCAATAAAATGTCGTTTTCTGACAACAGTATTTTATTTTAAAAAGTATTTAAAAGATACGTATGGTGTTTCCATTATTTCAGACACTATTGCAGAAAGTATTTTGTAAATGGTATCTGAAATACTCATTTTAAAAGTATCTTGTACTTTGTATTCCAGATAGTTTGTATAGGGTATCTTGTACGTCAGTGCTAAATAGTGCTTAATCTTCACGTCAATAAAGTATATTCAAGAAAAGTTGGTCGAACAGAAATAATTTGCCGCTGTTTTCACTTTTTTCTAAAGGAGAAGCGGTAAATCTCTAACGTTGACAATTTGACACAAAATGCTTGATGTATGGAATAAAAATCAAATTCTGTTGTATGGCATCATCGACGGGAAATCCAGAGGATCCAAATAGTTTTCTTTCAATACTCGAATTTCAAATACGCTTTTTCCAATATTCGAGTGAAAAAACGGGTCTAAATTGCATCATTCTCATACACGTACAAATTATACTCCACTTTGTAAAAAGTACATACACAGCTTTATCATCGCATAAGCGTCAAATATAAATTCTCCTGTTTATGAACAATAATAATTTCATTAATTTATATCAATTATACCAACATTTTTATCTCTGACTGAAACTCAGCAAATATTTAGTTTCAATATTTTTTCGTAATATACGGTTGAGATAAGAGAGAACGCCAAAATGTATTCGTTCTGAACAAAGTCATTAATGTTGCTCTGTATCGGATTCTCGGTATCATGAATGGAAAATATATTTGCATCTGGTAAGGAATGTAAACACATATGGTATGCCTGTATGTTATTAACATTATAAGTAATAATATTTATGTGTTCTTTAATGAGTTTTTTTATCTCGGCTGAAACGCGCTGGGTATAAAAGGTTCACTGTCAGTCGCATGAATAGTTTCCAAAGTAATACTGCAATCATTGGAATCAAAGGATGAGATTATTTCAAATTTTGATAACACTGACAGTCAGTAATACAGCAACCATCATCATATCACAGATCGAAAATTACGCATATAATTCAAATTAGCAGAAATATTGATAATCAATAAACACAGGGTTATTGAATCATGCATTCGATAGTTAGGTACTAATAATCCAATATCATGACCAACATTATTTTAGAACTTCAACGATAACTCTAGTCACTTGAGTTTCCTTCAATCTGCCACAAACATAATATCTTCATAGCTTTAGACAAAAAACTGGGTGTAGTTTTTGTGTCCACCAATTACTCTAAAGCTTTCGATAAAACAAACCTAGTTTGTTGCTTGCAAAGCTGAGGTACTATGGATTCGATCAAAAAGCGAATAGTTTTTTCAGAAGTTACCTATAAAATCATTTTCAATGTGTTTCTTTAGACATGTCAAAAAAACACCAAATTTTCAAAAAATTACGCATGGTATACCCCAAGGATCGGTCCTTGGGCCGCTACTTTTCCTTTTATATATTGCTGACTTGCCAAGAAATGTCACCAACTCGAAGATACAATCCGTTACCGGTGATACGCACTACTTCGATATAGATGATATCCACGATGTTCAAACTAATTAAACTCTGAAATTGAAATTTCTCTCCGTGTACAAAAATATAACGAGCTGCTACTACCAGATGCTTAGGTCCACAGACCACGTAAAGAACCTCTTAAAGAAATCATACCTGCAACACCGAGCTAACCTGTTTATCCTTAATTCCAAATTGAGGAAACAACTCGCAAGTCACTTGCAATACCAGTTCTTACCTACTGTAATATTTTATTTTATCCTTGCCTCGATGGCATAACTAAGAACAGACTGCAGGTTGTTCAGAACAGTTGCGTAAGATTTATCTTTGGTTTAAGGCATTTTGAATAAGTTTACTTTTGGCTGAGGCTTACATCTGAACCTTTATATCATAGAGGTAGTGCATATAATAGAATCATAAGGCATAGAAAGACAATCAGTATTCTCCATCATAATTCATCCCGAAGATGTCGAGATTGTGGGACAATCTACAAGAGGAAGCTTTTCCCAGTTCTACTAGCCTTGGGCAGTACAAAAATCGGATTAACAAAATTTCTTTGGGATCCTCATAGCAGCCCGCGGAGTCACGGCATCTAGGTTTCCGCCTGCGCGGCTGCTTCGGTATATAAAAAAATACAATGTGTTCCAGACCAGTTTCACCTACAATGCTGCTAGTATTTATAACAGCATAGATGCTAGCTCTAAAGTGATGTCCTTAAACCAATTTAGGAAAGATATCAAAGGTTTCTTGTTAATGAGTCATAGTAGAGCACACTATGAATAGTCATTGCATAATATTGATGCCCATCATTTCTCATCTGCGTTTTCTTTTCTTTTTTGGTGTGTAACAATTCATAATTTCCACCTTGCTCTACCTTGTTATTCATGTAAGTTGTATTTTTTATTTCTTTCTCTTCTCGTGCCACAGTAATACTTTCCACACTAGTGGTTAAGTGTCAGAATAGTCCATGGCTAAACTTTGCCACTGATGTTAGATCTGTATGTACTTGCATGTACTTAATAAAAAGGACTTCATTATTATTATTCACTTGGCCATTACCTCATTCCTAAGCCTTTTCTGCATGGTGCTGGTCTTTGGAATTATGAACAGCTTTATGTTCTGTTCCAGCTTTGATCTTGAAAACCACAAGTATCATAACGTATCAAAAAATTCTGCTTCATAAAGATGAATTATTGTCGAAAATTCTCGCGACCTCTCTATCTATTTTTGCTCAGAATATAAATTATTCGTACGTTTCCGCACATTGGAAGCTCATTAGACTTCCAGACCTGGCGCCGGCCAAAACAAATCATTAAATTATGCTTCGCTACACGTCTTCTATACAATCCTTGTCTGTGCTGTTGTATACATATGAAGTAGTTAGCATCTAAAAATAAATATTAAATGCTCAAGTACCCTGCAAGTTTTATTTTAGTCGAGAGATACAATTTATGCACACAAACACTATTTATTCTTGTAGCTTAAGCGACTGATAAATTTTGTGGAAATTATCTTATGATGCACAATTAGATGGAGGCAAGTGAAAATAGTTAAACAGTAATGCTTGCTACTATGTCGAGTCACCCAATATACTGCTTTGACGCTACTATTTTCGTTTTCTGTGATTTCATCGGCAATAATTTAAAAACTAAGGTCACCATGTAGCATAATTACTATTTTGTCTGTTCGTCGCTTTCCTGAACGTTACTATTCGGACTTCTGGCATCTGAACGGGGAAATAACGTTTTCGGGAGGATAGTTGCAGAGACAGCAAACCAGCGCCAGCGGTATTTTGAGATAATATAGGTTTATAAGCCTGTGCATCTGCATCATGCAATATACACTGTAATTTAATAGAATTCTGAGATGTGCATCATGTAGTTGGTTAGAGAATCTTTAATATGGCGATTTAAAAAATTAACACGGACATTTAGGCCCGAATTTACTAACAGGAGATCAAAATCCTTAATTTGGAGCATAACGGACCAATGAGAAGGCGCGTTTCTAGTAATGGATCTAATTTTTTCTAAAATATCTCTCAAACCAGCGGAAAAATATACGACTTGTGTATTAGTGGCCCAACAATCATCATATTAGATCAGGAAATTCTTTATGAATCTCCTGGTTTAGCTACAAAAATATATTTTTTCGTTTGATCCGGAGATCAAAACCTATGATCCAAATCAGCAATGACCAATTAGAAAGCGTTTTCGTAAAACTGCATCGGAAATTGGCCAATCGGGAAGAGCCTTTAACCACTGCCCGAATCGTGGATCAAATATGCCTAGAATGATATGATATCAATTACTGAGCACTTTATAGAAAATAACAGTGAATTACTTACCTGAGAGCTATAATTTTAGAAACAACCATATACTTTTAAAAATGCGTCAAGTGTCAATTGTCGATTAAATGACCATATAATGTTGTAATTTGTAGATATATGAACCACTGTTTGGAACACACGTCCTCTGTGTGTACGCGACATTTATACAAAGTATCGGCAATCATATTTTTAATAATAGTATTTCAGTAAGCATATAATTAACGTATATATGTTTCTTGGGAAAAAAAGAGCACAGGAAAAGCTCTAATACATAAAACCAGGACTGTCAGCTCAGATGTCCATTGCAACCACATCAAATTGTTCAACGAAAAGTCATGAGGCTGAAATCACGGTAGATCAACAAAATAAACATTAGATTGGTCGCAGTACACTATAATTTGGGCTCTTTTGATTGAATTGAAAAATAAATGTTATTAGGTGTTAAAATAACAAACATTTGTGTGGTAACACATATTATTCATGTTTATTGTTATTAGCCTGGCAGCACTAGATATGTATCAACTGTCAAGAGTATAGGGAAAACGAATACTAGAGATGGGGCTGAGAGGATGCGTTCGCAAATATTCACAAATGTTAATTAGGGAGGTTCAACGCCATGAAGAATATGTTAATCAATGCATAAACAATACATAAATAACATCTCGTTACTCAGGAAATACTTAGCGCCGTATTTAATAATTTGGTTACGAACAGAGTTATTTCAAGTGCCGCTACGATCATAGTGAGCTTATTTTAAATGTGATACTGAGTTGTTTTTGAGTTGGTGGTGAATGTTATTTTAGGTAGTGGTTTTTAATAAAGTAAGTAGGTAGCAACTTTAATACAGTTTCATCCGTATAGTTTCGGTGTCAGATTATTATAAGTAATCTGTGAGTAGACTCACTATTTTCTGCGGCGTTTACATCGATATTTCACTATAATTCTGGGATGGATTTATCCTCATCAAACCGACCGAGACGTGGAAGTTATCGAACAGGATCGTAGACGTCGTGCTAGGAGGTCCAGAATCGTTATTACCTGAATCTGAATTCGAACACACATCCCCATCTCTAGCCGACAAAGAATTTAGCAATTAAAGTATAATGATTATATTAACAAAGAGAAACCGTTGATTCGTGAAATTCAGTCAGTTCATGCTAAAAAATTTGGTACAGTGAATTATTGTTATTATTGTTATGCATAATTAAATAGAATAACTTTGTTAACATTTGTTTTGAGGAGGATTCAACCTTTAGCACCAAGCACTGATATTCATGACAAATTTTGAAAGCAAAAGACTTTTATTATTGCTGAATAGCTATGATGAGACACTTGAGTCAAACCTGTGTTATGTCACAACTGTGTCACCCTTGGCACTGCCCACCTGACGTCGTTTTGTATAGCTAAAAGAGGTTCTAATTGCGCCTCTCTAGACACTACCTCGATGCTATAAACTAATAACTCACCCATCTGGATGGCACGCACTTCTTGGTAAGCGTGCACTGGAACTGCTCTTCGCGGCACTTTTGATTCTGCTGACATTCTGGCGGTTCATCGCTTCCATCTTCACAATCTCTGTTGGAATCACAATGCCAAGCTATGGGGATGCACAGGCCGTAGCTGCATCGGAACTGATTGCTGGCGCATGTTTCTGTAAAAAACATCAAATGTTGGTCCTCGAACCATTCATACACAATACAAATGGCCAGGTTTTTGAATACCGTCATACAGTCAGCATCCATTTGACAAGCATCGGCAACGTTGCGATCAGAACTGCAATCACTAGACCGCCGGAGGCTACCTCGCTACAGGTTTAACGCCTATTTTCGTAGAGCTCGACGCGGGTATCGTACTTGTTTATTCTAAGTCTTGAGAGCAAACATACCGGGAAATCTCTGATGTGCGACTCTATAATTTCCGGGGTTATATGCATATAAGTATATCAACGCCAAAAAATTAAGACATACCCTCCCCCACCTCCACAACTCCCCACCCCTCAAACAGATTTCCAAAAATGAGCAGGAATCTCTGAAACGTCAAACAACGAAGTTGTGTGAGAACTTTTTTTTCGTTTTTCAAAAACTACAAAGCTTTTTCGTCCTTGGCATAGCAGTGACCTTGTCTCAAAATTTGATCAAAAACCGAGCAGTACTGTCCTTGTTATAAAAGAGCCAGTGATAAGTGGACAGAAAGACCGACGGAATGTCTCATTATCGAAATTTTTCGCGATTACAATACTTCCTCGCCAATTGGCGTGGGAAGTAAAAAGGATGCAATCATCAATGTCTGTCCCACCTTGTATGAGAAAAATCTGACCCTTTACACATTTCGTATGAACACTTGTGCTTTATTGATTACGGGATCGCAATCACGGGAAATACGGGTACCCCAACAAGTACCGTAAGTACCTTAACAGGCCACATACAGGAAGGATATTCAATTGAACACAAATCAGCTACCTTATTAAACGTGAGGTAAGCAGAGTTCGCCAAGTTCAAGACAAAGTTCAAGGCCGGCGTGTTTTCCTTATGTTATCTTCAGTATAATTTGGCACATTAACACACAAAAATACTTGTTGTTGTTTGGGGACCTGTTCGTGTCAGGTTTCAATGAACATTAATTATGTTTAATTATGTCATTATACTTTTTTCTGGTGAATAATTCCAAACTATTAACAATTTATATCTAACAATAAAATTAAAATTATTATGATAAGAATGTGCGTTGCTATAGATCCGCATTCATTTAAATAGTTGAAAAAAGTCTCAACCACACCAAAACTTTCACTCTTCTTACTTCCCAAATGCAAGAGGAATATCATAGTGAAAATATTGTTGCTTCAAATGCTAATAGAGTAAGATTTTCAAAATCGACACGATAGGTTTTACTATTAATATGTGTAATCGCAAAAATTTTTTAAAATGAGATGTGTGTTTTAATGTTACAGAACATGTACATCACGAAAAAACATGTCACTCATTTCCGTCAGGTCTGCCTGTCTCTCTGTGTACTAATCCTTGACCCTCCTATAACGTGGAAAGTACCGTTCGGATTCTGATGAAATTTTGAAAAGCTTACACAGGTTCAGAGGATCCTGATCATTTTAAGGAAAATTTTTGTACGGGGAGGGTATATCTCAATTTTTTGACGGCAGTATATACGCTTTCCACCCCAGCACTTCTACAAAACTATTAGTACAGCTGGACTTAAAACTTCGAGCAATATTTTCAAGAGACGTATGCCGAGTCAACCTACTTGACGCGAAGTTTTCATATACCATGCTACTCTCTTGTGCCAGTATATGCGCCGACTCTGTCTCCCTGCAGACATTCGTCAGAAAATTTCTGACAAAAGAGCTGCAATTAAGCAAGCTAAGAGATCTTGTTACCCAGATGACATTCACAGAGCAACAAATCTTGTTCATGAAGTGAAAAATGCTCTTAATGAATTTCGTAATGAGCAATGGAGCGGATGCTTGACTCAAGTATTCCTTTCTGGAAAGTTGCAAAGTCGCTCAGAAACGGAAAGCGAGAACAAATACCGTACATCCACGGTCCTAGGGGCATAGTCTGTAGGACAGAGGAAAAGGTCGAGGTTTTCGCTGATGCAATGGAAAGTCAGTTCTCTCGCAACTATGACCTTGATAATGACCTCGACAAAGAGCAACATATTGTAAGATCCGTCAGGAGATATTTTAGGGCCAACGGTGTCAGTGGCAGTAGTGCCTCCTTTAGTGATTTTTCCTCAGAGGAATCTTCAGAAGGTTCCTCAACTGAAGAGCTGCATGGCACATCAGCGGAATCTCCTGGGACTCCGCAATGCACACCCGCAGAGCTCCAAGGTCATATTAAAGACCTCAAGGTGCGTAAAGCACCTGGAGAGGATCGAATCACTAATAAGGCGCTGAAGCTACTTTCGCGGAAGTCCTTAGCTTATCTTGTGGCAATAATCAATGCCATGCTAAGGACCCAGCACTTCCCAACGGCGTGGAAGACCGCTGATGTCATAATGATTCCAAAGAAGGTGGGTTCGATATTCCCCCAGGATTGCCGCCCCAATAGTCTATTGTCAGCTACTTCTAAGCTCGCTGAAAAGGTGATTCTACGTCACCTTGAAAATTTTTCGGCAGACCACAATGTGATTCCTGACGTGCAATTTGGCTTTCGGTCTGAGCATAGTACGGAGCTACAGGCCATAAGGCTTACTGAACGAGTAACCAGGGGGTTCACCCGTAACGAAAGTACTGGTATCTTGCTTCTGGATGTCTCAAAGACATTTGACAAGGTGTAGCACAAGGGCCTTCTCTACAAATTGATCCATAAGGGCTTCCCCTTCTGGCTCCTAAAACTTTTGAAATCCTTCCTCGAGGGTCGGATCAAAATTAATAACGTTCTGTGGACAACACGGCCCATCAAAGCCGGTTTCTATCTCTATGGTGATGACACTGCCCTGGTGGCCCAGTCGTGCTCTGGGGATCTAGTTCACGACATGCTGCAAAGTGCAGTGGACGAGGTATTGAAATGGGCGAATCGGTGGCTGAACAAAATTAATCATTCGAAAACGCAGGCAATCGTACTAAAAAACGTAGCGGCGCCCCGTCTGAGGTTTCAGTGAATGGAGCTCGGGTACCATGGGAAAGCTCAGCTAAGTATCACGGTGTCACTCTTGACAAAGGAATGACCTGGCAGAAGCACACTGAAGCGTTAAAAACTAAATTCCAAATCTCGTTTCGGCAACTCTACCCTATGCTATGTAGAACATCAAAACTTAAGTTTGATCAACAACGTTCGGCTATACAAGATGGTTATTAGACCAGCGATTACTTACGCAAGTGCGGCTTGGTGTTTTCTCGCCAAAACGCACTTGAGTAGCCTGCAGGTTTTGCAGAACAGAACCTTGCGTACAATCACTAACGCCCCATGGTATGTTTCCAACGAGACCCTTCACAGAGACCTGGACATCCCTTATCTAAGGGACTACATCAAACAAGAAGCGCAGCTACGTTATAGTCAAGCGGAATCGCATAACAACCCCTTGTTGCGCGAGTCAGTAGACTACACAGTCGAGCAAGTTCGCAAGCACACAAGGCCGCGACTCGTACTGTGCACAAAATTAAATCGTGCGACTTTAGGTCCAACCAAAATTATAATTTTTCTTCAACAACCAATCCCAAAATTAACTTTAGGATCAATTTAAAATTGCCGAATACTAATTAGCAATGCAAAGGCACCCCTCAAATTGACGCAGTTCTTTTTTCTTTGCTCTCCTTCCTTCCTTCTTTCTTCTTCCCTTCTTGTTCCCTGACTTTGTTTGGTATCTGGGCAATTAGACCTACTGACTTACAAGACTTCAACTGAGAGCAAAGGTCCTACGGACCGCTCTGACAGACAATGACGAATAGAAGTCGACTCTGTCGTCGGTCTGTCCTCTAATCGTTGACGCCTCTATAACCGCGAAAGTATCGCTCGAATTTTCATGACACAAAAAATTGATTTCAGAAAAAAATTTTAAGGGTTGAAAATGAAAATTGGTGATGAAAATCCGTGTCACCCATTGCAGTTGGTGTTATCGTCCGGGATCCTCGACGCCTCTACAACTCGAACAGTTTCACTCAGATTTTGATGAAATTGTTAATCATGGCTACCAGCATAACGAGAACAAAAAAACCTTTGAAATCATGTCCAAATTATGTTTCCTAAATCATGTCAGGTCAAGACCATTTTTAAGTGTTATTAATAATTTTTTGAAGAACCCATACGTTTTCAAAACCATCCAAGCTATGCTTGTTTTTCAAGAGTATAATCATTTTTGCTGACGATCTCTTCGATAAAATCAATGCATGTAGATTTAATACTTTTTCTTTGCATTGTAACCCCGTCATTCTGGGACAAATAAAAAAATATCAAATCCGCACGTTTGTATGATATTCAATATTTCAAATTAGTCTCGGACACCTTCAAAATTTTGCTTGGATTCAAAGAGGTAACAGATTAACACGTTTAGATCACTTGCCATGATTTATTCTTCACTCCCGCTTCTTTTAGGTTTATGTTTATTTCATAGGTGACTGAAAAATGAAGGAAGTATGTCGAGTGTTCCAAACTCGACCCTCATCATAGGAATCTCGGAAGAGAGTTAAATGTGGGGAAAGTAGGCAATTGCACTTACAAGAGAGAAAGATAGCAAACCTAATTGTCCCAATAGCGTTTTTATTGGGATGGCAAAATAAAAAGTACACTAACATTTCCAACTTTTTTTCTCTACAAGGTGGTATTCTTAGAATTTCGGTATGACGTTTCATCTCTTGTCGTCAATCATGAAGTAATGTTTTTATTATAGACGCCATATTGCACAGGTGAATAATGTTTAATTTAACCATGCCAAACATTGTACATCCAGAACTGGCCTATCAACAGCTCCTTTGTCCCTAGGGTATTGACAGTTCAAGAATCATACTAGCAAAATGTTGTTAAGCCCCTAATAGCAGCTGCCCTGGTGTTTAGCCTTCTGCCTACGCGGCTGCTTCGGTATGAAAAAAAAAATGTATAAAATGTCATATATTGAGAATGTCAAACCTTAGTTATTTCAAAACACAGAATTTCCTAAGTAGGCTTAGGCGTGATCTGATAGTTATTTTCATTTCATTTCATAATATCACCAGCCAAACATTCTGTCAATTTTTATGGCATGGATTGATATAGTAAAACCAACAATATCTAAAAAAAGTTATCTTTCTATAGTTGGTCTTAACCCATTGAATAATGAACAACCTAATGGTATTTTTTTTGTATTATACAGGGTGTAAACGTTATGGTAGTCATTATTGAAATGGGTAATAGGGGGGATCAAAACAAGTCAAAAAGTTCATATGACCCATGGTCCAAAAGTCAATGGATTTTTGTCTAAATAGCTTTATATCAATCTCGACTTTAAGTGCTTTATATCGATCACAATCTTACTAATTTTTATAATCTAATCTAAAACGTTTTTAAATTGGGTAATTAACAAATAAATGGCATTAAGTTTTTCTAAGTTAAGCCAAAATTTGTAGTCAGTAAGTAAGTTTCATCAAATTAAATATTTAAAATACACATGACAACAGCGCGTCCATCTTTCATCACTCTTAACAGTCGTTAGTTATCGTTTTGCATAGATAAATTACTTTATCGTTATGTGAAGCAGAGCATCGGGCGGGTTGTTTTGTTTTTGTTCGCGTACGTCGTCATGTTTATTTACAATGTTCTCGAATCAAGGGCTCGCCGACATGTTTACGGTGAAGCTCGTCAGAATTCAAATCTTTCAGCTCAAATTTATCGCGACACATTTGTGCAAGCGTACCAACGACTTCGAGATACAGGAAGTGTTCAGCCCACTAATATTCGCACTCGTACAGCAGGAGGAACGAATTTTAAATATCGTGGAAATCAATGCAGATATCAGCACTCGGGAATTAGGCCGCCGTGTAGGACTATCGCATACCACAGTCCATAGAATCCTAAGAGAAAATTTGCTTTATCCCTACCATTTAGAACGAGTGCAGGCCTTGTTACCAGAAGACTATCCTCGCAGACTAACATTCTGTCAGTGGTTTTTGCACAAAAACATTGAAAATCCGGATTTTTTTAAAAACATTCTACTGACGGACGAATGTACTTTTACGCGAGACGGGATATTAAATTTCCATAATACTCACACGTGGGCCCAAGAAAATCCTCATACCATTCGTGAAGGTCATTTCCAACAACATTTTAAAATTTATATTTGGGCGGGTATTCTTGACGATCAGGTCCCTTTCGAGTTACCCGAAAAGTTGTCAGGAGAAGGATACCTTAGCTTTCTAGCCAATAACCTACCAGAACTTTTGGAACAGACCTTAGACTACATGCCATTACAACGGAGACAGAATTTGTGGTTTCTTCATGACGGGGCACCACCACACATTTTTAGAGGCGTCATTCAGTATTTGAATGAACATTATCCAAATCGCTGGATCAGTCGAAAAGTTCCTGATCCTCGAAAATGGCCAGCAAGATCTCCTGGCCTCAATCCGATGGATTTATGGTATTGGGGAGAACTTAAAGGGATGGTTTATAGGGCTGATCCAATAACAACTGAAGCACAACTTCGCGAAAAAAAATTTAACGCGGCTGAAATAATAAATGGACCACTTCGAGGACCGAGAAGAAACTGGGTTCGTCGTAATGAAGCTTGTGTGGAAAGGGGAGGACGACATTTTGAACACCTTCTTTAAATTCCAAAAAGTGCATTGTGGGTTTTAAAAAGAAAAACAATATATGTATCAAAATTGTGTTCCCTATTTATCAGTGGATTTTTTTAATACGTTCAATAAACTTTCACACATCAGGTGAAGTGCTGAGACAGTTAGTGGTAAGTCTGTATTTTTAATTGTTTGCATTTTACAAGTACATTATCAAATAATGAAATAATACCTAAGAGCCAAAAATAACAAACTCCATCTTTATTTACACTGGGTTCCATCGTAATTTGGGTCTGGCATTGCGGTGTTGTTAGATTTCATTTTACTTTAAAGTCGCTTTTCTCTAAAAAAATGCCGTTTTGACCCCCATGTTATATAAAACTTTTTGCTTCTTTTAATCCCCTCTATCACCCATTTAAATAATAACTATCATAACGTTTTTTACACCCTATATAAGGGTTGTATAAAAAACATTGGAAACAGTATTTTTTTATATGATGGAAACATATTAGAGTAAATAAAAGCCTTGATGACGTGGCAACTTCCTTAAGACATTTTATATCTGCAATGCACACAACTTGCATTCAAATACTAATAGTCTATGGTTGAGGTGTCATGTAAAAAGCCTCGGTCATGTGAAAATAACCCTCGTTATAATCAATAAACGAACAAATCATCTGAATCTCCTTTAAACATACAGCCTTGGTGATTTAATCACATAAACTTGTGTTATTTTCAATGTGAACTATGTGAACATTGTTTTTTTAAATAACTTATGTTTGATAAAGTCAATGTATAACAAATTATACCTTTTTGATATCAGAATAAAAAACTCAATTCACCTATGTAAAAATTCAATACAGTCTCTATAAGGAAAAATAAAGTTGATTGACCACAAGAGACAGAATGTCATCTTGAAAAATTCTAATTACACCATCTTGTAGAGGAGAAAAAGTGGCAATGTTAATTTACTTTTTATTTTGAAATCCTATTTCAAGTCAAGAAATAAAAAAAACAATTTTGGGTAAATTCAGTTTCTTTTGTCTACCTCCAGAAATACTGAGAATAGCAAAAGTTCCATTTTCATAGTTGTCTAAATGTGCAACTTGTGAGAATATGAAGATTTACATGGTAAAAAATTAAAACCATTCATGACATAAACTAAGTACAAATTATGAATACACATCATAATTTTCAGTTATTTGAGAAAAGATAATATTTTCTCATGCTCCTTGTTTAATACGTACTCAAGACATTTAAAAATATATTTGACATTTATGTGAAAAAAATATCAAAGTCAAAATATTACTGCCAATTCCTTGCAGAAAAAAACAATTTTTATTTACATCTTTTTAAATGGGAAGGACTGGTAAATTGTTAAATGCATAAAAACACAGTGCCAGATGCTTTGGTATTTGATGGTTTATCATGATAACAAAATACTCATCTTTATTCACAGAGCAAGAGGGTAAACAATGTGCACAGAAGTTTAAAACATTATATTTAGTGCTTTACAGCTTTTAGTTTGCACTGATTCTATTTAAAACCATAAGTATAGGTGCATAGTTTGAATTTTTCACAGGCAAAGAAAACTTTCTTGTATATAGGTACTTGTAAAAAATAGTGTAGAAGGACTGAACCATGACATTTGTGTGAGTTGCTTATCCTTTTAGATGGAAGTTTTGTTTCTTCCACTAGGCAATGCAGGGCTTGGATTTCAACTATGAATAGGTATGTATAAACAGGTGTATAACTCAAATTAGGTATAATAGAATTGGAGTCTTAAATTATATTTCTATTAAAAACATGATATTCTGTGTTTAACCATTATGTTGACCTAGAGATTATACACTCATAACCATAAGTCTAGCCCCTAGGTATTTTAAAAGAACATTTAAAATGATTAAATGACAATTATAGCAATTATTGCCCTGTTGATAGAATCATTTACATAGACATTTTATAGGTCTTCATAGTTCAAACAATCATTTGATTGATTACCACAGTTGTTTACTTTTTCACATTAAACTTCATCCTGGTCCAAGGACCTCGGTTTACCACTGTTGATGAACTGTTTGAAGGTTGTTGGCCAAGAAAAAAAAACGAAACAGGTAGGTATCTATTCCCTGTACCTGCAGCCTAGGGCTAAAATGACCCGATATGCCAATTTTCTGCACAATAAACGACCTTTAACAATACTGTTAATTATGGAAGGAAGGTTTTACTTACCTGTTCCAAATAGGGACCCATCATTGTCTGCTTGAACTGCTTGCAGTGTTATGCAGAAGCCCAAAACCAAGAGGTAAACAAGCACCATTTTACCGGTGGCTTTAGTTTAAACGGACGGAGTATTCCAATTTCACATTTCCGCGTATTATACTAGCAGGAACGTTGTGCTTTTTTTCCTATATGCATTGCCTGTAAGGGGCACTCACGTTATTAAAACGACGTATGAAAAAAATTGTGGATATCGCAAAACCAAAACACCTTCTTGGTGCAGTGGTCGTCGCAGATCTTCGGAGGCAGGAATTGGTGAACGAAAACATACGAATTCGAAACAAAACGCAATGTTGCCTTGTCTCTTTTCTATAAGTGTGGTTAAGGAATTTTAGCACAAACATGTAGACGAGACACTACACATTTATCAAAATCACGAATACTTAATTCAAATTAAAGAGTTCAAACGAAACTGGTTCAGTTAGTAGAACAAAAACTAACGTTAATGTAAACGTATCGTGCGGTTTTCATGATTTTCTGGCAAAATGAAGTACATACTGTCTTCCAAATTACAGTTAATTCGTTTTTTCTAGTTCATATTCGTGCCTTTCTTGAAAATGAGATATTTTCTGATATTTTTATTTCCACGAAATAACAATATTTTGCATTCAAAAAGTATAATATGAGATAGTTCCACTTTTTTCTATAAATGAAAAAAGGGCAAAACTTACTATCCAACGTTCAAGCGTAAATTTTGGTATATAGTATATATATATATATATATAGTATATATATATACCACCTCGCGCATTGGACTCGAATTCCATGTCGCGGGAAAAAATTACTCACTTTACGCCCTAGATACATAAATACGAAATACGAAGAATTATCTCTTTTAGTAAACATAGAAGCAAAAACCGAATGTGAGTAACTGCATCATTATTAAAAGATGGATGCAATCTACTTAGCTAGCTATGGATGTACGAACAGTTTCGTTTCTCCAATATTTTGCAGCGGCATAAGTTTTAGGATGCCGCTATACGGTTCATCATGCCAAAACGTTTCTCGCATTCTCATAGCTGAACTCTACGGAAAAGATTGGGACTATTCATCAACAGATGTGGACCTATTATATGAAAAGTTTATGAAAAATATTACAGAAACTGTAAATAAAGTTGTACCTCTGGAAAAACTCAAACCCGCAATGAACTGTGGATTGATAGGTTCGTATTCCAAGCCCGAACAGACAGGGACGAAGCTTATAAAAAGTTTAAAATAACCAAATTAAATTCAGACTGGAATCTGTATAAGAAAAAAAGGAACATTTACGCTCGTGTTATTCGAAAAGAAAAGAAAAAATATCATGAAATTACTATTGACCAATACAAGGAGGATAGCAAAAAAATGTGGCAAACTTTAAAGCAAGTTGTGTAGGCAGCAAAAACAAGAATGTTCTGTCATATGATAATATTGAATTTAAGGAAGATGCTGGCTCTGTTCAGGAAAATTTTAACAATTTTTATGCAAAAAGCGTAAAGGAAATAGCCGACAAAAGTAGCACCAACATTTCAAGAATTGCCACAGTTAAGTGATGGTCTGTCAAGCTTCAACACTATAAGCATTGATCAACTTAAAAAAGGGTAATGGAACTTAAAAACAAGTCAACAGCTGATGATATTTGTAATGTTAAGTTTTTGAAAACGGCTTTTTGTGTACTCGGATACCCTTTGTTTCACTTGATCAATTAATCCCTTACAACAGGAAAAGTTCCAACAGCAATAAAAACTAGTGTTATAGTGCCTATTCCAAAAGTGTCCACACCAAATGAACCAGCACAATAGCGACCCATTAACTTGTTATCAGTGATAAACAAAATTTTGGAAACCGTGGTTTGTGCGCAGTTACGGGAATTTCTGGAGGCAAGAAAACTGTTGTTTAAGGGACAATCGGGATTTCGGGAAAAACACTCGTGCGAGTCGGCGCTGCAGTGTGTCTGTTCGAAATGGCGTTCATACATTCATGACGAGAATATTGTGTTAAGTGTATTCATCGACCTTCAACGTGCATTTGAGACTATTGATAGGAAAATACTGATCCAGAAATTGCAGGCCTAGGTTACAGACAGTGCACTAAAATGGTTTATGAACTACTTGAAAGACCGTTGTCATGTGACGAAGATTAATAACGTGGCGTCAAATTCAAATGATAGTGAAATTGGGGTACCTCATGGTAGTGTGTTGGGCCTGCTTTTGTTCCTACTTTATATAAATGACTTGAACAGGGTTTTAGTAAATACATTTCTGAGCTTATTTGCAGACGATACATTGCTTTGTGCGTACGGTAAGGATTTTAGACAAGTTGTAGATACTATGAACTCAATACTGGAAATTCTGTATAACTGGTTATGTGTCAATAGGCTTAAGTTGGTTGTAGAAAAAACAGAATACATGGTTTTTGGGACAAAGCAGAACTGTAATACATTTTTAGAAAATAAATTTTGTATTAAGATAGATAATACTCAAATTGAAACTGCATCTAGTATGAAGTATTTTGGCGTAGTTTTAGATCCCCATCTAAATTTTTCATTGCATGTTGATTATGTTAGTAAAAAAATTGGGAAAAATAGGATTTTTTAGGCGAATATCTGAAAGTCTCAGTCACTGGAGACGTCTTCTTGTACATAATACTTTCATATATCCACATTTTAATTATTGTTTTTCATTGTTGCTATCATGCACAAAAAACTGATATTCAAAGGCTCCAGTTACTACAAAATAAGGCTATGCGTACTATATTATTTTATACACGTTATACGCCTATTAATTTAATGTTAAAAACCCTCGGATGGCTTTCAATACAACAAAAGGTTGAAATGTCAAATGTCTTATTTATTTTTAAAACAAAAAATCATTTATTGCCTGAATACTTGCAGGAATATCTAATATCGAGGTCCGAGAGACATGCATATAATATCTGGTCACACTTTTGACATAGAATTCGCTAGAACACCCCATATGCAAAAATGTCTGTTTAGTGATAGTTTGAGACTTTTTAATGCATTACCTACAAAAATTAGAGAAGCGACGTCTGTAAATATATTTATTCGTAAGGTTAAGCAATTGTATCTAGATAAAATGGCATAATATATGTACTTTCTGTGTTAAGATAACTGTATGACATTATCCCGCAGTTGCTATTGTTGCATTTACTGTGGTTGCATTTACTATGATTTTAAAGGTATTTAGAATTACTGTTTTTTGCTTCTTACTTGAGTAAGACACTATTATAAACTATAGGAAGTAGCTTTAGGGCGACGAATAATAAACATTTCATTTCATTTCTGAAGTTCAAATCAACCCATATACATGAAATTAGTTTTGTGGTTACAAGTTACAATCAGGGCATTACAAATTACTGTTTACAATTTGACTACATCGCAAAACCTGAACCACCGCCAATGTCAACGTCAAAAGTGACGTTTAGTCTTGCACAAAGTAACCTAAGAATTTTTTAAAAAGTGAAAAATTTCAACAGACGTTCACAAACATTCACGTATATTTTTAAATTTAAATACAGGATTAGTACCTCTGATCACAGGATTAGTGCCTCTCATCCATTCCAAGATAAGCAGTGAATCTTATAAACCTAGTTCACTTTTCTAAGGTATTTTTTTAAATGGGTAGTTAGAAGCAATCAAAAATGGATTCCGACAACGAAGATTATCCGGTACTAATCGCATGTACTCAGGAAGAAATAAGTGTCGGTTGGGATTGGAATTCTCCGCAGCCAAAGCCCAAACGGCCTCCTAAACGTCCACCTCCACCATCTCCAAAAGTGTCTTTTAAACGGCATCCTTCCAGCCATACTTTACCAGACTTGGACAAGCTGAGGCAAGAACTGCAGTCACTTAGAGAAGAAATTTCAAAACCTGAGCATGAAGAAACTTTACGATTATCACCTGTTGAAGAACTGCATTATAAAAGTATCCATGATGATTTACCACTATTACCACCTTCTCAGCCTCTTGATGTAAACTTTATGGCACCTCAAGATGAACCCCTTGATTTCTTTGATGATGAGTTAGATGACCAATTTTTAATGCTTAGCCAGCAAGTAGAAAGAAATTTAGTAATGCCTATACCAATTGTAGGTAATGAATCAAATCGACTGAAAAGTTTAACATTTAAGAAAGTTACAAATACACAAAGTGCCTTAGATGGCACATTTAATAGTCTTTTGAAAGATGTTGAAATGGATGCAAGTAATTACAGTAGTGCAAACAGAAATATTCCAAGCACATTAAAGCATACCAAATCAGATACTTTTAGTGATAATGCTAAGTTAAGAACTGGGAAGTTTGAATTTCACAGAACACAAAGCTTTGAAATGGCTAACATAGAGAATATTACAGCAGAATCTGGAGATGTTTCAAAGGAAATTGAGAAGAAAAGGCTAGAAGCACTAGCAAAGCTTAAATCGAAACAACAAATCAGTCAAGTCACTAATGATGTTACCTGTAAGTAAAATATTTAAATGTTTTTACTAAGCACATTCACTTTTCTTGGTTGAGGGTTGATGAAAAATTATAATCGAAGAAAATTTTTATAGAATGATAACTATGATAACTTCCAAAGCCATTAGAAGGGTTTTTGAATATTTTTTAAGAAGATATTCAACTAATTTTTGCCATCAAGATTTTTTTAAGATGTCTCCACTATACTTTCAAATGCATCTACTGCTTTTCTCAGAATACCTTCTATCTTTTATGCAACTACCAGTTTGTTCAAAAGTCTCAACTGTACTTTCAAAAGCACTCCATGTATGTTTTACCTTAGATATCTAATCTTCCTAAAAAATACTTATTTTACTATCAATTCTTGAAAAACATTCAAAATGTTTAACAAATAAGACTTTGTAAACAGACTAGCTATTACTCATGACTTTGTGTGTTCAATTGTTACTAACATATATTGTTTTTGAGTATTGCTATTACTGCATTACATATTAAATTAACAGTCAACTTGCATGCTTGGGAAATTTGGTTGTTTTATTAATGGAGTCCAGAAGGCTAACAAATTAATTAATAACACTACCAATTTTATGAAAATAGCATTTTAAATTAAACTAAATTTTTCATTGTGCATCTTTTCACTTTTACATATATCTGCCTTTAGACCCCTTAATCCTGTAATAAAATTCATTATTAAACATAACCATAAACCACCTCCCTCCCAAATTTCATGTTCATAGGTCAAATCGTTTTTGTGATTAATGTGTATCATATATATATATATAACAACAAGTAGGAAAATAATGGACAAAATCCGCAAAAAGGAGGAAAGTGGATTCGAGCAGAAAATAGGATAGGTAACCCGAGCGATACGTATTTCTGCTGGTTGGCTTCATCAGGCCCGAAATGAATGCGCATATGAAACTACACACATCCGGATACGGGTGTAACCTGAGGAAACGAAGTTGGAGGAAAAAAAAAAAAAACGACACACGAAGTCCACAACAAGAGCCAACCTACACATTGTAGTATAAAATGGCTATACGACCTCGAATTTTCAAGGAGACGTCTAACCACCACCACGCGGCCGGTTATAGCCACTTGCTGTGGTACTTAAAGCCCAAAGGATCTACAAAGAGAATATGATCATGCGGAGAAATGTATATAACAACAAGTAGGAAAATAATGGGCAAAATCCGCAAAAAGGATTTTGCCCATTATTTTCCTACTTGTTGTTATATACATTTCTCCGCATGATCATATTCTCTTTATATATATATAACATTACGACAAATATGGGCTACTCTATTAAATGCTAAATCTACATTAGGGCAGTAATGTATAGCTAAAAATAATCCAGTAATAATTTGAATTATTAGGCATAGGCCTAAAAGGGACCCAAAATTTCATATTGTATAAATGTTAGAGGGGATTGGTAAATCAATTAAAGAGTTATTCAAAATTTTAATTAATGGGTGAGTTTTAGGTAAATTTATTTTCATTAGTATATTTGCCGTAAGGGTCCTTTGTTTATTTTAGTAATTTTGACTGTTATAACTAACGTAATTAATAAATAAACAATTATTGTGTACATAACCATATTATTTGGGTAATTAAAATATTTATTTAAAGTTAAATAATTATTAATGAAAAAATTTTGATTACAAAAATCTATTGTTGAGAAAGGTAGGCTAAATAAAAATTGATCTATAATTTGGAAGATAAAACTTAAAATTAAATTAATAAAAAATACTAATAATAATAATCTGGATAATTTAAATTTTTTATTGGAGGCAATTCTTGTTATATAGATAAATAAAATGAGTATACCTCCAATTATGATTAAAAAAATAATATAGGAAAATCAAAAATTATAATTTATTAATCCGGTTAATAAGGTTACTATATATATATATCCATGTGTGGACGGAATATTACTCATAAACAAACACATTTTGGGAAAATCTATTTATGGAGTGTTATACATGTCATTTGAGGGCACATTTCTAAAATATTGGCAATTATGCAGGGTGTCCCAATTTTCACCTACATATCAAAGTTGTGATTTTTTAAATGGAATGCCTCAAAGTTTATTGCATATTTGCATAAACCAATTCAAAGGAAGATTGATATGACATACAATGGGGGTTTTGGTAATTAGCTACTGAGATGTCAGGTGTTTTGCCCAGAAAAACCGTCCATTTCGGCAACCCCTCAATCCGCCATTTTGAAGTTTGGAGTGCTGAATTTTGTATAAAAAAAACATACACACCTCATCCTATTTTTTACTTTTTGGAATTTTCATTTTTGCTCATACAGCTAATATGTTTTTGCAGAAGCTGCCTATTTGTGAAATTTATAATCTTCATAGGTTGAATAGTTTTCTAGATTTTGTATTTAAATGTATATCTGCCCACAATCCCCTTGATACAGCCATGTCACAAAATTGGTTTCAGCTGTCAGGTCTTGCCCAAAAAACTACCTCTCTGTCAAATTTCACGTTCATAGGTCAAATAGTGTTTGAGATCAATTTCTTTAAACTTAAGAAGTGATAAGGTTCCCCAGAGAAATATTCAACCCCTTCCTACCCCATCTTGATGACAAAGTTTCTGAAAATCTTTGTGAATAATAATTATTTAAAAGATTGAAGACAAAACATACTCCTACCTTTAGGCTGGATTCATTTGAAATATTCAAAATTATCTACAAAAAACTTGAAAAGTAAGAATTCCCAGTTTACCCCCTTAGGTGTGGAACTTCCAAAATTTATTTGTAAGTGTCTATTTACACTGTATCAGAGAACCAAGCATATGAAACCCATCCCATATCTGTATGCCTACCTTTAAAAAATTAACAGTTTCCCCATGTGGCGGTTACCACTTATTTCACCTCCTTCAAGTCTAATTTTCACAACAAAAGGTAGCCAAGGTCTAATCTATATACCGTATATGCTTAAATTCATCATTCATCAAAGTCGGTTCAGCCGTTTTGGTGTGAAAATGGAACAAACAAACATATATACACACTTTCAGATTTATAATATTAGCAGGAATAAATATAAAGGCAAATATAGGCAGCAGCAGTGGCCGCATTAGTCAGTCTCCTGATCAGTTGCCGTGCGCTACGCGGGTTCGAATTCCGTCTCAAGAGAAACTTGTCTCTTGGCTATGGATGTTGTGATTGTCGGTAGTTTGTAGATGGTCTCCGACTGTCGTACCACCCGGCGGATCTTGTAGGCGGGGCCAGAATGTGTGTATGTTGCATGCACACGTGTTCCCTCGCCAGAGTCCGTGTGGCACCCCCCCCCCTTTCCCCTGAATCTCTCTATAGCCCCACGGTACCCCATGGGTTTTTAGGCCTTAGGCCTTCATGGTAGTTGGTGTATAGAAAAAAAAAGGTTTTCACTCTCTATGGAGTTGTATAGCACAATGGGTACTACTGTATATTTAATATTGCAATCCTAATTTCAGCCCCAATGCAGTGTTCACCTGAAGAAATAGAGAAGAAGAGGCGGGAAGCATTAGCAAAAAGGGAGGCTAAACGTCAGCAAGAAATCATAGATAGGAAACGTCAGGAAGCTTTAAAAAGGTTGGAAATGAATCGAATGAAGAATGCTACGAATGTTAAAAGTTCTCTTACCAGTAGACTGAATTAATCATTCAAGCAAATAATTTAAGGATATATTGTTTAGTTTTATGTATCGAAAGTTTGATAACTGATTTAATAAGATGATTCCTTTTTATACAATACCTATATTTCTTCATAAAATCGTTATTTCATGGTTTCTGTTTTGTTTTTGCTTGCACCACACTAATTTCTTTAAATTATACCAACTTGCATATAGTAGAGTCACTTTACTAGTAGCTTCTACCTATGCCCATCCAGTGGCGTATTTTTGGATACAGCCCACAGGACCTCTTAAGATGACCTATGAAGGAAAGGCAAAAAGCAAAAACATGATGAGCCATCCTGGGCCCTTGGCTATAGGCTAAATATGCCCCTGTGTTTATCCCAGCAATAATAAATATGCTTAACTGTGTGTTGAAAAAATAAGCGGTTTTTCCTAGCAGCATAAAGCATATACACCAAAGATAACCGTGATATTAGGCTCCGAAAAATCAATGAAACCTAAACCAAACCTAATCCACTTCTGTATCTTGATCGGATCAAAAATGAAAAGGCACGACGCACGTCAGTAGTCAACTCAGGCACTGGCAGCGTAGGTAAACAAAACATTTGTTTACCGCTCGGTTCTAAAAAAAAAGCAAATGGCACACTCGTACAGTAATAACGAACTTGACATGATTTTAATTGAGTGTCTTCAAATGCTACCGAGGCTTCGCGAGTATATGCACATCGCTTTCTCAGACGTTTTTATTTAGGACCGCGTAAATTTGTTTACCTTATGCAAACAGCTAGGGATACATGTCGTTAGCCTTAGACAATCCCGAATGGTGCAAACTGAAGAATGAGTATTGGATCTTGTACAAGAACAAGCACTAGGGAAGCAGCTAGACAAGTGCAAGCCTTCAAGACTAATGTGCGGCAAATGCTGTGATGATTGTTTGTACCCTTCTGTACAAGCCCTCCAAGCTGAGAATTTTCCTGCAAGAGTACTCACTCACGTAGACCGTCAGCGTCGATCACATTTTCAACAACCATTTTCTTTGACTATTTGGACATTTTAGCAATGGCGACAACTTAGAACAGTACTTGAAATTTCTCTGCAAATAAACGGCGAGTACTTTTTTATCTATTTTCTTTTACTTTTTCGCTACTGTTGCACCAGTTGTTAAAGTGTGGTTGTTTCTAAAAAGGAAAGTCCCAACTTTCAGGACACCCTGTATTTGTTCAAAGCCTTTTCATTCGATCATAAGGTATAGGGGATAAAATCAAATTTGTTTTTGTCAATACTTCATTTTTATTGGATTATTATCACATTTTCTTGCATGTACTGGACATAATTCGGTAGACACTTGAGCACCACAGTAAAGGATAAATAGCAGTATGATGGTGTTGGGTAAATTGTCTGTAAAAATAAAAAAGTGTTTCAATAAACAGAAATAGTCTAGTTTCAGTGTCTAATGGTCATGATAAAATGTACACAGTCTATTTTGTGTGCAAAAACTAATTGTCCATTAGATCCTCCCTTTATTATACAGCCTTTATGTTCTTTAGTTCTATATTTAACAGGTCTTGATGTTTCACGGATGTAGTATTTACCGCAGTCACAGTCGAGTATATTGATTTTTTTGTGTCTGAAGCTTAACTTGTAACATATGCACATACTGAATCCATTTACCTGCAAATAGTCTTCTGAAAAATAGATCTCCGATATTCTTCCCTCCAAAAAAATAAAAATTGGATATGGCCGATACAGCCAATAATACTGCACCAAAGAAGCATCTCATTCTTCTTGGCCAATCAAGAAAAAACTTGATCCCCTCCGACTTCTTGACTGATAATAGTGGAGAGCATGTCTGCTCTAGGACTATTCCTATATAATTGAGGATACACCATATAAGAATATATGTTGCAGTACCATGCCAAATGTACACAAAACCGAATGTTGCCATGCTGGCCAGAAGCTTAAGAGACGTCAATTTTACAATGGGGATATAGATGTGTCTGAAACAAGAGAAACCAAAATAAAATACTCATTTCTAATTTTTATATTAATGTATTTCTCTGCATTTGAGTGTAAGGTCTAAGTTCTAAAAAGACTAAGTGCCAATTTTATGTTCGCGAAATGACAATGAACAAGTCCCAGTAACATTTCTAGGCGCCGGGGACAAATGGGAAGTTATTCAATATTTGTGCAAGTGTTTATAATCTTTTTTCGGCAATTTAGGTGGTTTGGGCGAAAATCTATCACCAGCATTTCACAATATATCTTCTATCTGAAATCTTAGCATGTAAAGAAAGCAAAACTGAGAGTTCAAATGCACTTACTTCACTAAGAATTTGTAGAGACCCGCATCAAAATATTTCCACATGTCAGAATATAAATGTATCCTTCCAATGCACCTTGGCAAATGCGGTACCATTACATTTTCAAATGATGACAGGCTTGTGCTTAGGCCGTAAATCACAACATACTTGATGTGGAAGTGTTGTCCCATGGCATAGCCAAATCCATAAAATGCCCAACTCTCAAGGTTCTGCAAAAACTAAAAAACTTGTGTTCATAACTACCTGCATAAGGGACCCTAGAATAAAGCCCACATGACCTTAGTGATCTTTGAAGGTAATCGAATCTGAATTGAGTTATGTCAACGCACTATAGGTTATTATGGATTTTTTTTTAAAATCTGGAGAGAAATAGTTGTTTCTTAGTTTGTTACTTGAAATCTAAATTATCCCTCTTTTCATGTGAGCGACATGTCGGATCTTGCCCTAGCGCATTTTATGAAGGTGATTAGTGACAGTAGTATGGTCCCCTCCTTACCAGTGTTATAAAGATGAGTTTAAATTTTTACGTCTTGCAGCATTAAAGAGGAACTTAAACATGACGGAATATCACAGAGCTGACATGTTAGAGCATTTGCGTTTCCCTACATTGGAGCATAGACGCCTGGTCTTTGATGGTTGTTTCGCTTTCAAGATTTTATTGGGGATCACCGATTGCAAAACTTTGTTAACATTAATCAATCTTAATGTACACCGTAGAACATTGCGTAATAATAGCCTGCTTGCGATTAAGTTCCATCCCACAACCTATGGTCAGCACTCTCCACTCGATAGATCATTTCGTGTTATCAATTTAGCTTAGTCTAATATTGACATTTTAACCTGTACACTCTCAGCCTTTGAAAATTATCTTTTAAATTGTGATTTTTATAATTATGTCTTGTGAGCTTGCATGTTGTAAATGTTTTTTCCGATTTCGTGATTTTATTTTGTATAAATGGGGTCACCCGTAAATTTGGTAAATAAAAATAAATAAATAAAAACTTAAAAAATCCACCGCGTTTTCATTTTTATCCGTTTCCAGAAGTGAAAGAAATTCGGTGCGCTGGGATGTTTCTTTCAAATATGATCATCAAGAAATTCGGAACATGAAATTGGGGCTTCAAGCACAAAATTGGTCTGAGGCCTCTCTATAGAAGAGTGTGAGGAGGGGGGTTATTTGATTTTGGATGCATAACTTTTATCTACCCTGAGGCACCATCATGAGCGCCCGCATGCATGCATGCATTTTTCTCACAGAGGGGGGATCATCGGTCAGAGATTACTGTCTCAAAAAGCTGACGGTAGATAAGATCTGTGCATCCAATTTACCCTGGAAACACACATTTTTTAATATTTTCAACATGAAACTTTCACCACAAAAAATTTGATTTTCGAAAATCGATACATTGTAGCGATTTGGGATACTGATTTCAAATTTGGTTATCAAAGAATGCTAGAGTGTTGGGAAGCCCCTTTTACTACCTACGCCTCCGGCGAGGAAGTATTGTAATCCCGAAAAATTTCGAAAATTTGGATGTAATATGACATGTACATCTCGAAAAAACATGTCACTCAACTCCGTCTGTCTGTCCGATAATCCCTGGCCCGTCTGTAACTTGGAAAGTACCCCTTGGATGTTGATGAACTTCTGACGTAAGTTTACTACTATACCAAGGACGAGAAAGTTTTGTAGGTTTTGAAAATTGGTGCAGTGGTGGCGGAGAAAAAGGCTAAAAACGAAGAAAAAAACCGCTCAAACTTTTTTCAATGTTTAGGAGGATCTTGATCATTTTTAGAAATTTTTGCAGAGGTTAAAATGGATGTTGGGAGGGGGAGAGAATATATAAATTTTTTGGCGCGAGCAATGTATACGTTTCCAGCCCCGGTAATTTTACGCACCTATTAGACATATTTCATACGTCATAGATTTCCTTGTACATTTGCGCTTAACACGTTAAACGCCATGGAACCGCTTGAAAACGGGCATATCACGCCATGGCAGTCCCATGGGACCGCTTGACAACGGGCCTATCACGCCACGGCGGTCCGTATGGACCGCTTTATATTTAATTTATTTCCACGGTGACTCCAGCCAGAGGTCCATATCTAAATTCATTTTAGCGTTAGATATGGACCGCTGTGGCTTGTATGGATTATACCCATGGCCAGCTGTTTGGTGTATTTTTGTTTAAAATAGAGTTATTCAATTTTTTTTATTCACATCATTTATTTCCTACTAAATCTACACTACTTTGGCAAAAACAAACAAGTTTCCAGTGAAAATGCATATATATAGAATAAGTTATGATATAGGGATACAAAATATAAGGTAATTTCATTTATTTATGACTTGTTCCGAAACAGTCAAGGCAAAAGTGGGGATTTCCTTCACAACTGTCACAATATGTAGTAACTTTTGGAATCCTATTTTTTGATATTTCACCCCTTATTTTTTTACTATAACATCCTGTATGATACCATCTGACCTCATATCATTTTCCTTCTATTTTTCAGTACATGTTCCCGTCTTGTGTCAGCTTTTGACGTAGATGGTAGATAAGACACATTATTTGTTGGGAACATGATGGCCTGATGGACATTTTGCTTAGCGTTTAACGTGTTAAAAAACATTTTTTATTATTTACGATTTTGGTCGAATGTAGAAAAAATCTTTAGAATCTATACAATAGAATTACCTCCAATGGATGGAATGCAGCTGCATTAACATACACAAAATGCAACATCACCCCTTCAAACAAAAACCAAAATAAGGTGATCAAAACATTCTTTATAAAGCACCATACTCTCATTTTTGTTGGTGTGTAGTGGCTATATTTGACCTTAAAATCCTCATGTAATATGAAAGGTCCCATAAATATTGTAGGAAAATAAAGACAATAGCTGAAAAAGTCTAAAATATTGCCAGTCTTCTCCTCTAAATAAAAACTTGTACATTTGAGATTCATCCAACTGAGACTAAGTGTGAATAAATAGATCTGGTAATCATTTACACCTGCAGCTTCTTGTACAGTTGCAGTGTAGTCCTTCTTGTATAATATTATCAGTCCCAATGAAATTAAAGAGCATATCCACTTGAATATTGTTTTGGCATTTATACAATGTGTCACATAAAATATCACAGGTTGAAGCAGCAGAAGGGTGAATAATACTGATCCTCCACTGATTGTCAGATAAAATGAAGTAAATAAGATTTGGCTGATTTTTGTCACCTAAAAATAAAATGGGAATTATTCCACAGTATCTCTATTTATTCCTATATAAAAATATATCAGGTTCCTTCACAGTTCACAGCAGCTCAATTATTTTTTGAGAATATAAACAAGAAATTTGTTCATGTCAAGATGTAGGCTTGGTAAGGAGCTAAGTTAAGAAAAATTCAAAAAACTGTTATTTATAAAAAAAATCATATAGTTAAGGATTTTTAAATCATTTTTTATTAAACACATTTTATTTCCCATGTTAAATGTTTTGGTTAAAATTGCAATCAAAAAAATTAATACAGCCTTAGCAATAACTCCTATTTTTATTTACAAAATAAACAAATTAATAAATGAGTTGTGACTGAACTAGAGATGTATTTTATGTAAGACAGAAGTACTGGAGAGCCTTAAGAGGTGATTCTAACTACTTCTAATTGACAATATGATTAATGAACCATTGTATTCAAGCATTTTTATTTCATCAGCTTATTGAACTGAAAATTAATCAACATGCTTGTTTGTGGTGTATTGATATAGTTCAGGAATGTATTTTATAGCCATATATTGACCTTACTTATATAACATATAATTGACTTTAGTGTTGAATCACCTCAGTAACAGCAGTATGATATTACCTTCACAGAGAAATTACATTTTGTAATAAACTCAGTTATAAAAAGGTGTAAAATTCCCCATGGATAAATGAAATTTAGAAAATACAGTACAGATTCCCATTCAAAATCAGCTTTATCTCTTTTGGCAGATAGGAAAGGTACACCTTCCTCAAAATCTCCATATTCATCAATATGGTCCTGAAAAACTGTGCAATGTGAATTTAAATGTGCATTAGAGCATTGGAATTAAAATAAATATGGTAATTCTCTAGCTTAGCTACACCAGCCATTTTTCAGTCCCATTTCTTTCATCTACACCCAAAAACGAGTCTGAAATCATTTTTTCATCAAAAATGGCTAGTGTAGATGAGCTAGAGAATTACCATAAATACTTACAGTCAGCACAGGACAATGAAAATTTGTATATTGAATAAATAATTGCTGTGATCCATACAAAGAAGTAAACAGAAATTTCAATTTTTGTTGTACGTAAACCAGTTAACAATTTATTATTCATACTTTGAAAAAACTTTTGCCTCTATTCGTCGACTATTCTACATGATCAGGCAATTGCACCAAGGTAAACATGTAGTTGCACACCACGTTGCAGATCTATCGAAGATAAGTAAACTGTGACCAACATTAATGTTGCAATCGACAGCGTATTGTTAAAATTTATGTGAAGAAAAATGATTTAGCAGTCGCACATTTGAACAATCTCTTTTCCGGCTTTTTAATTGGAGGTTAGAAAAACATAAATAAAGCTTTGACATGGAACTACAGAACTAGACATTTGAGAAATCAGAGATTAAAGGCGACCTAGATTGTAAATAGCATCAACTAAAAATTGTTTCGTCAGTGAAATTAGGACTACGAGGGTCTCACAATAAGTACCACCTATTTTGTTGAAAACTCTCATAGGAAATACGCATTTGGTTCAAATATCGGATTTTTAATATTGCTACATAAAGCGCTTTCAACCTTATTTTACATGCCCCATTCCGATGTATGAAATATATGTTTATATATTATATTTACGTAAAAAATCGACGGAAGGTACAAAAACATGCATATTTCCTATTCATTACTGTCGTAACTGCAAACACATATATGTTTTGAGATATACGGGCTTATAACTTGTTACTGCAACGTTATTTTTGCTATCATATGTAACAAAAACATATTTTAAATAGATTTACCTGGTACGACTTTATCTCATTTGATACTTAGATGCATTTGAAGTTGAAATATAATTGCAGTTATTGAAATCATCCTCTCGGAAAATTAACTGAAACTATTTAAGTCTGTTCGAGGTTCTTGGGAGAGAAAAATTAGCCTTTCTTGTTTTTTAAATATATTTTGGGTAAAAGTAACAAAATTAAAAGCAGTATATATAGTAGCTTTGTGAAGGTTAGAGCGGATATTCAGCTCATTGGTCCACTTAAAAAAAACTAGAACCAACACTGGATTTGGGTTTAAAGTAAATTCTTATAATTAGGTTGATCACGTTGGCGAAAATTGAATAGTGGATGGAGAGGAGGGAAGAGAAAACGTGCGGGAGCATCACGATTCACAAAACACATTGTGTTCTACGCAGGTGTCCCTGGAATAACCGCGTGGTAACGAGTTATAAGCCCGTCATCCCATGGATAGTCTTGACGCATCACTGATAAATTATTAATCTGATCTTAGTTTTTCACTGAAATCGACGAAATTACCCAAAAGATCCATTTCCCAATCTAATTAGAATATGATGTCATATTTTCCGACACTAAGGCCCGTATCGTCAGTCGTACCTGCAATAATTGTAGGGCGTCTTTATGGCCTGCTTGATTGTCACAGTTTTCCACTTCTCCGTGTCAGCGCTCTATTTTGAGGTTATGTCACAAACATCTATTTGCATCAAATTGTGCTTGCTTTTGAGTTATATCATGTTATATCAGCCTGAAATTTCCTACAATTTAAAAAGAAAACATATCTTCACAATAGGAGAGTGCTGAGACTGACACGGGACAAGTGTAATCTAGCAATTTTTGAAAGAGAGAAAGAAGTATGAAAATCAAGGAGGCCTTAAACGCGCCCTACAATTGTAGGGGCGACTGACGATACGGGCCTAAAGTAAGGCTTCACGATAGCATTTTTGGCAGCCCCGGTGCCTTGGTATTTAAGCTTCTGACTGCGCGGCTGCTCCGGTATAAAAAAATGGTAATATTCGTCAAGCATACTGTTGAAGGAAAATTTCACAAATTCTATTTTGCCAATTTTGCAGTTTTTCTCCAAGATGGATAGAAGACTTCGAAGCTCCTATTTTCTAACTCTACCGAGTTTAGTTCGCCTTATTAAAATTTAGACTCGCCATTCTACCAATCTTTGCCAAAATGTGTTTCTTTGGTAAGCAAAATACTCCAAAAGTCCTATTTTTCTACTCTAAATAATATCGCGGCAACTCTGCCTTTTTCTAATGTGCATATTCGAAATCAGCATCAAATTGCCTTAGTATACCGAGTGTCGTTCACCCCATTCCTGGTAATGTAATTATGTATAATGGCTTTTAAACACTGATAAGTTAGGTCAATTTTATCTCCTTTGTTATGTAGATAAACTTTTAGAATGATTTTGAAATTCTTTTCACTTTTTGGGACAAAGACATTTTTATCGTGAGGATTAATTGCTATATCCTAACGCAAGCGAATCCCTCATTATGAATACATGCCGTGTTTTTGAATTTTACGATGAATTTTTCATGATATCTCATCAATATATTTTATTATTTCCATCATATTGATGAACTTTTATATTGCGCCTTAGTATAGTAATCACGTTATCTTCTACCAACCGCAAGAGGGGAAGGAAATAATTTGCTGTAGGGGAACGGAAACAGCTCTAAACTCATTCCATGTCCATTTGATCAATCAAACAAAACAAAAAACACACTTGTAACTACCTCGATAAAACAGCACACTTTGTTACTCAAAGGTAAGGAGAGGAAATAAAATTTCATGGGCAGTGAAGATATTGGAACGCCCTCGTATAACTGGAACTCTGGGTGCTAGCAAGACACGCTCGTACAGCGACTAGAAGATTCGATAGGCGTCCATCAACGTCGACGCTTAGGCGACCAGAATTACGCGACCATGTATGGAGCGTGGTGGCGTTCTGAAGCATTCGCGATTCCATCGTGACCATTGGGCACATCTGAAGATGAATATCCTGTCATCTAAAGGAGCTCGTGACTCGGCCTGGAAAACGCTGGAACATTTCTCGACTCGTCGATAGGAGAATAAATACCCGAATAGATGGCGGGAACAGACAGTCATAAACGAGTCAATGGACAGAGAGGGCAGAATTAAGATGGAATAATCGTCCATTCGACATAGTTATGAATTTGTTATAAATTAGTTGCAAGTGTTATAAATTAATGTTAGATTAGTAATAAATTGGACTTTGAACAGTAAGATCGATGTTTTTGTTACAATATATCGTAATGGTAACTGCAAAACTGCTGTTCGGACAGAATTATGTAAGCTTTTCTAGCGCAGGTATTCAAGAAAGGTCGAAACGTGAAGAGTTCCGATTATATCCTCTATATCTATATAGACCTAAACTATGGTATGCTTTACTTGCTGAGTACGGTTCTGTCTGTTAAGGCCTTATCGGCAGAGGTTCGAGAATAAAGAGATGGGCAGAAAGGAAGATAGTATTGGCTCAATTGGATTTATGGAAACACTCTAGAATCAATCTCGAATGCAAAATCGTAATATTTAAAGCACATACCTTGTCATTCATTCTGGAAAAAATACAAGTACTTCTCGTACATGTACTTGAAGGTTTGCATCAATAATAAAGTTGAATAGCAATGATGAGAAGTATCTACTGATAGCGTATCTTACTTCTGTAGGTGTGCCAATCATTTTTATAAAGGTTTTTATATCCACGATCATATAAAAAGAAGATATAATCGTGTAAGCAGAAGTATCAAGTATCAACCCTCTTGTGCAACAGCGAGCATATCAAAACTATTTTTCAGTCAGCTGTATCAGCACTAGTGGGTCAAAGAGCGAGGCATATTTGTTTTCATTCTTGAATTTATCAACATATCAGCAGTTTTTAAATTTATTGAAGATATAGTCGTTAAATAGATCATTTCGCTTTACGTTCATTTAGATAGTGTAAATTTCACAATTATGCGGGGTGTGGTAGTGGCGTCTTTATTGGCCCAAGCGCTTATATCAGGTATGTATAATCAAATAATAATAGCATGTCAGTAAAAGTAGGTATAGGTACACCTATAATACGCCCGCAGCCATCACTGTGATTTATTGCTTGTTTTGCTTCGAAAAAAGGAATAAATGCAGATTCCGGCTTCTCGAAAAGAAATCCTAACCGTAACGGTAAAATATTTGAAGTCAAAATAACGAAATTTTTAGACTTACTATTCGTACATACATAGATTGCACAAAAAAATGAATTTGACAACAAAGCATTGCGTTTTTTGTGTTTTCGTGTGTACTAAACAGTTTACAGGAGCAAAAGTAATGCGAATAATGAAATACGACCTGAGACATTTTATGAATATTAAAAATCATTGATAAAGAGTTGCTGCATGATTAAAATAATAAGTTGTTAGCATAACATAAAGCCGAATTTTAAGGAGTCAAAAACGTTCCTGGGATTATTTATAAATGAAGAAGAACCACTCGGATGTTAATGAAATTTTTGGCCAAAATCTACAAAGTTTTAAAAAATGGATGCACTATAGCGAATGACTAATCTGTAAAAAATATATGTAATACAAACTTCGTATTTGGAAGGTTTACAGAGCCCCTGATTCTTGAGCACAAGAACGGTGGTAAAAATATACTTGCATTAATAAAGTTTTATTAAGCCCCACTATATAATCATACATAGATGTTTTTGGTTTTTAGACAATGGATTAATCGCGGATTTGCTTTGGAACGTTGATTAAGGAATACATTTGCATTAAATGAATTTGTCTTGAAAAAAATTGCATTTTTTATAAAACCATTTCGTTTCAAACGATTTGTATATTTGTTTACTAGTTTCGCGCTACATTTTAAAGAGCCATATATCGTCAGTCGTTCCTACATTTGTAGGACGCCATTATGGCCTCCTTGATGTTCATATCTTTTTTTTTTATACTCCAACCACCACGAAGGCATAAACACCCATGGGGTACCGTGGGGCTATAGAGGGATACAGGGCAAAGGGGAAACGCCACACGGACTCTGGCGAGGGAACGCGTGTGCATGCAACATGCACACATTCTGGCCCCGCCTACGAGATCCGCCGGGTGGTACCTCCGCGTCAGAGACCGTCTACCAACTCCTTCAAAAATTTCTAGATTGCGAGTTCCGTGTCAGCGTCAGCCATCTCCTATGGTGAAGTTATGTTTTCTTTTTGAATTGTAGGAAATTTTAGGCTGATAAAACATGATATAAATCAAAAGCATGAACAATTTATATTATAGATATTTGTGACATAATCTCAAAATAGAGCGCTGACACGGAAAATTAGAAAACTATGAAAATCAAGGACGCCATAATGGCGTCCTACAATTGTAGGAACAACTGACGATACGGCACAACGAACGGTAATTATTTTTTTTTTTTCAAAGAACGGCCAATTGTATGGATACTTGAAAAATAGCTTTAAGTTGGTTGATTTTCTGAAATTATTGTGCTGTTACTCAAGCTTGAGTAGATTCTGAGCACTATAATCAAATATCCGATCTGAACTGTGTACGCCTTCAATTTTCGCTTATTATTTGGGACATAGTTTTTTTAACTCGCTCACACACACAAACAAATTCGAATTCAGCAAATATGGCGTGAATTCTGAGAATCACGTATTGTATTGCACTTTTAGAACTAGATAAAATGAAAAATACGTATTATCAAGTGAAAATATGGGAAACGTGTGTGCTATTGAGGATGTTATGTTATTTACCAATCACGACGTGACGATATCATTATAATTTTGACATTTCGTTTCAACAATAATTGTTGTTTTCTAGTTTTTGCAAGTCCTAAAGTGGGTGGACCAGTATGGAGTCAGACTTATTCTGTAAAAGGTATCCTCCACATCCCCTATGCTGAAATTGATGAACCTTTCTATGCCTGGTAAGAAAAGAAGATATGATTTGGTGGCTTACAAATATTAAAAAAATACTATATTCTCTTAATTCAATTCAAAAATGTTCGGCAAGAGTATGAAGCGGTGTGACTAATTTTTTTAATGTTTGCACCTGTATTAGGTACAAACATGGAAAAACGAAAGTTCGTGCGACTTTCAGTGATTATCACAACGTCGTTAATTTTCTTTCTCGGAGATGGTTTACGTTTTGCTTTAACGCATAATTTAACTTCTTCTATAAAAATTGAGTTATGCCACATTCATAAATATATTCAAGTTACGCGAAAACAATGCATAATTCGTCAGCGTGCCAGAACAATCAGTGGGACGTTCATTTTATACCGAACCAGCCGCTTAGCCAGAATCCTAAATACACGGGTATTGCAGCTGCTATGAGGAGCGGTCTTATTACACAACTCTGGATGTACAAGGTTCGACACGGATAGGATGGCAGGCCTAAGTCAGGCGGGTCTGTCTGGCAGGCATATAGCGCGGCATCATGGAAGAGAGCTCTGAGGAGCCAGGCCCATTCACATAGTGGTAGAAAAAAGCTTGATCGCCCGTCGGTGCGAAAGGGTTCCGAGACTGTCCCTTAGAGAAGAGTCATCAATCGATCGGACATCCCTCCTCTGTTCAGGATTTAGCATGGATAATGTTGTGTGGGCTAGATCTTATCTGGGCCTTGTACAGAGTAGGAGTAGCAGTAAGGAGGTTATGCGGAGAAAAGAACTTCTTAGCTCTAAACAAATAGTCTAGCTTTTTCCAGCAGCTGCCACTATTGATGAGATTACCTATTCTTAGTTGGAGAATTGAGTAATGTATTCTACCAGGAGACCAGGTTAATTAACGGTTGAACACAGTTACACTAGCTGTGTAAGGTTTTGTTGCTCAGATCCCAGATAAAGTCCACACTATATGTATAACGAAAATTCAAATGTGTGTTTCCAAAAATTTAGCTATTTGGATGGTCTCGAGCAAATCAAATAGCTTTATTTGGTTGACATTTTTTATTGCAGTTTTTTCGTACTTAGGATCAAGAGAGTTTGGTACGATCTTAAGCTCAGTACTTGATTACCATTGATGTTGTAGATATCTGAAGTGGCAGTTATGATAAATACTGGCGAATATGATACGTTTTCTGTATTTTCAAGGTTAATACGACTTGAAGTGGCGTTTCCGCTCGTTTATGGATCTCGAAAACCTTCAATTTGATTGTTTTGTTTCCATAGTAAAAAATATAGATTAAGATAATGACGTTGAGATGGGATTTGAATCGTAATTATAAAAAACTGTTCTCTGTAAAATATGAATAGCAACCTCACATACATACCTGTCATGATTTTTCTGTTTAAGGTTCGATGCTCCGTCAAAACAATCTCGCATCGACTATTATGGTGACATGGTAAAAACGTATCAGTTAGGAGGTCATGGTTATGGAACTAGTATAAAAATTGCACCCGTCACTACTGAAGAGGAGCAAAACACTCGAACGTGCCTTCAAGTCAATGGCACCGCAGATAACAAAATTCTGCCACAAACTGTTTTGCCGCAATTGATCAATTTTGAATGTATTGGTGAGTTACCGTGCATGGACTAAGAACTAAAGGTGCCATTCCGCGCAGACAGGGCGACAGGAAACCGCGAAAGTGAGAAACTCACCCAGAAAATCTGTCACTATAACATAGATTTTTTTGAATGCGTTCTCCTGTTGCCGTCCTCGCGCAGAACATACCTTAATACCTTATTTGTTCATCGTATACATACTACAATAATTCGAAAATTATTTGTCAAATGAAAAAATAAATTATATAGTATAATATTCATGCAGGACAAGAAACAGTGAACGGTCTTGAAACAGAAAAATGGGGACTAACAGAAACTGTTGGCGAAAAAGAAAATAAATATACCATGTGGATAATTTACAAAGATAATCCTGATGGTATTGGCAAAATTGCAGTACCAGTTAGGTAGGTATTATAGTTCAAACTATTTGGCATGAATCACATTTTTAGTCCACTATTGGCAACTCATTTGAGATTTTCATATTTCCTAAAAAAAAAATGGAATACCAGTCAAACTTTTTAACTGAGAACTTGGAGTTAGCACTAAACGAAAGTTCAGGTACAATAGGACGAATTTATCGGTTTATGGTTATTTTTCAGATATGAAATGAAGGGATTCAACTCCCTGCTTGGAAGCCACTATGATCATTACTACTTAGATTACGATTCCTACAACATCGACGATATTCCTGGAAAAATCTTCCAAATAGATTCAAGTAAGATTTGCTGTAGAGGCACTATGAATCAAAATTACTATGTTGTTATTTACAATATTAATCTTGCTAAAATACTATACACTGATTTTAAAGGAGGTGGGCTGATAAGTGCCATTTTTCGCCCATCATTGAATAGATATGACATATATTTATGAAGAGTATACTCCATAACAAAAAAGAAAACATACTTATTTAAAATGAAAACTGAAATTCCTGGTATACATAAATTAAATAATTATCTGAGTGTTATATATGTTTATTAAACAATAATAAAAGATTATCAGTTTTCATACAATTCATATATTTTTTACTAATTTTCTTCCTTGTCTTCTTCATTCGAATCACTTTCAGACCATCCTTCAATATCATCAGAGGTACTTGTTGAAGTAAGAACTCTTGTTGTCCTTACAGAAGATGAAGTGGGAGTCTTTTGAGATTGAGCCACGCGGAATGCATATGATCTGCATTTAGGACACAACTTAGAACCAACCTGCAGTTTTTAGATTTTCTAAGTATTGCTATAATGTTTTTGTTCGAGCAGCTACGGAAATCACTGTTTGTTTTTCGCCACGTTTTACAACAATCACACTGGCATGCAGGCATTATTGTTTTATAAAGTTTTTCAATAGACGTTGAACGCGAAAGAACAGCACATTTTCTATACTTTTACTACGTAAATACTTTTGGAGCGCGAAAAATCATGTCTTAACAAGCAGCGATGGCAACGTGACTCACACTCTCCCGCAACATATATTACGTATTTTTGGATTGATGCGCTCACTGCACCAAAACAAATAAATACTCGTATAGAAGCTTTTAATAAGTATACTCACTGAGCATTAAAGTTAATGTGGTTCATGGAACGTTTCGTAGGGAAAACATGATTCAAAGATCGGAAAACAAAAAAAATGCACAAAAAGCGCCAATAATTTCTGAAGCATATTACATTATTTATACCGTAAATATTATATAATGAAAAAAGCACGTCTTGAAGTTCGCAAATAAATTCAATAATAGTCTGGAATCGAACTTTTTATTTTTGGGTGTGTTATGGGCGAAAATGGTCCTTATCAACCCACCTCCTTTTTAACAAACTATCCCAAAAAAATAGTTTAACGAAAACAGAACACAATTTCTTATTAAACATTTTTTTGTTGTGTAGACATGACTTGCAGTGCTTTCCCCGGACCCGGGAACAAGCATATCTACACCTTCAATCCGATGGCAGAGTTTGTAAAACCGGAAACTACCGGCCACCTAGATTTTGAATTTGATAAGTTCATGAGAAAGCACAGTAAACAGTATGAAGGACAAACGGAACATATGCTGAGGAAAGAAATTTTCAGACAGAACATCAGACTTATCCACGCAGTTAATAGGCAAAATAAAGGTAAATATTTATTTGAACAGCTATTCTATTTTAGGGACGTAAATTATGTTCTTACACAAATAAATCACGTTTCTACTAAGCAAAAAATTAACGAGACCTCGCAAGGTATAATACTTCATCGATTTAACCAGATCATTTTTACTTTAAATATTTTATTTTGTAGGATATTCTCTAGCAGTCAACCATTTAGCTGACAAAACTCCTGAGGAATTGGAAGCTTTACGTGGTAAACAATACAGCGGTGTATACAATGGTGGTGAGCCATTCCCATACAAAAACGTCAACCGTGCAAATTTACCTCCACAGTTTGACTGGAGAATATATGGTGCCGTGACCCCGGTTAAAGGTAAGAAATTATCAAGGCAAGAGGCCAGTTGGTCCATATTTCCTAAAAAATAATCTCGACCAAAATATTGATGATTAAACGTGAACGGTCTGTGAATTCGACAATATGCTGTCACGTGCCATGCAGCACCTTCCAAAATCGTTGATCTGATATGTATACTAAGTGACATATAAATCCGAACACCCAGTTTAAATGGTTTTATTTTAATAAAAGTTGGTGAATGTATTTATCTTACTGTAAATAACAAGTGAAAAAATGTTCAGCCTTATCAGTTGGACATTTCGGTTTTTATACTGCTTTTTTTTAATTCACTAACGCTCTAAAAATGAATATTTCAGCCGCAGTAAAGAATCAACGTTGGCGGATTTTGGTTCTTGACATCCTTTACGATCGGTTACGATGCCTAGAGTACGGAGACCTGTACGATTTCGTCAACTTAGTGAGTTTGATAGGGGCCGTATAGTGGGACTTCGGGAAGCTGGACTTTCTTTTCGGGCAATTGCAGTTAGAGTGCAAAGAAGTGTAGACACTGTGGTTAGGTGTTGTCAGGCATGGCTTCGAGAAGGCCGTACGCAAAGAGCAAGCGGCACTGGACACCGCCGTAGAACAACTGACCGTGAAGGTCGCCGCCTAAGATTATTGGCCTTAAGGGACCGTTTCTCCACTACCAGGTCCATTACAAATGAATGGTTTGCAAAACACGGAAGACCTATTGGCATGCGAAGTGTTTACCGACGAATTAGAAGTTTTGGCTTGTTTTCATACCGGCCACACTGGGTCCTCCCTTTAACTCGAGAACACCGACGTAATCGCCTTGAGTGGTGCAGAAAACGGTCACTCTGGGATCTTTAGTGACGAGTCTCGATTTTGTTTAGGCATGCACGATGGTCGTGCCAGGGTTAGAAGGCGACGTGGTGAAAGGAGGAATCCACAGTTTTTTTGTTGAAAGACATGTTCATCACACTGTTGGAGTTATGGTTTGGGGTGCTATAGCTTATGGTTCCAGGTCACCTATAATCTTCATCAGAGGTAACATGAACGCGCAGCGTTATATCCACGAAGTTATAGAACCCCATCTTTTACCCTATCTTGACACCCTGGCAGATCCAACTTTCCAACAAGATAATGCCCGACCACATGTTGCAAGAGTCACAATAGACTTCTTTCAACATAATGATGTCACATTGTGACCATGGCCACCAAGATCTCCCGACTTATCCCCAATTGAGCACATGTGGGATATGATGGGTAGGAGATTGCTCAATTTGCAACGTCCTCCGCAGACTCTAGAAGCACTTCGAGAGGTGTTGGTGGTTGCCTGGAATGAGATACCACAGGAGGACATTGACCACCTGATCAGAAGCATGCCTAGGCGCGTTGGAGAATGCGTAGCACATCAGGGTGCATCCACACATTATTAAAGGTCAAAGGGCTTTAAAGCAGTGCAATCATTTTGAAATTTTTATCATTTACTTATTATGCTTCATTAAGTACTTATACAAAATTTTATTAAAATAAAACCATTTAAACTGGGTGTTCGGATTTATATGTCACTTAGTATATTTTACTTCACACGTCACTGGCCACTAGGCCTAGCGGCTCGTATGATGCCCGGCTGGTCCTTCGCCTAAGTCAGTTTCCATTAGAAGTAATATTTTATCGTAATAGTCTATTAATTCGCACGTGGTCCATTACTTACAGATAATCGCGTGATCTTGATTTGAGAAACGGTTTAACACACAAAAGCCATATGCGTACTGTGAGAAAATAGTTCTCGCAATATAGTATTTTGGAAGGTCTGACATATAAGTTCCATAAAACCGGACCCAAAATTGACCCTCCTGGCGGTGCAGACTGTGCATGAAGAAAGACGAAACGGTTAAGCACGTTTTGTGCAGATGCCCTATAATTGCCACACTTGAGGGAGTAGAAGATCTGAAGGATATTTCTCCAAATAAGCTAATCGACTTCCTCAGGAAGTCGGAGTTACTGGGAGAAATATAAATAGCCGTGAGCCACAATAGACCAGTGAGTCGCAGTGGAGCATCGTGATTGACCCACTCACAAAGAAACCTTACCTAGCAAGAATTTGCATAGCCTTCGACTTAGATACTATACATGTTTCATATTCGAGACCGTTTATCCAGAATTGCGTAGGAACCTCTGAGAGTTCATCTACTTGACGTTATTTTTTTCTGCCACAGGCAATCAGCAGATTAGAAGCAAGTCCCAATTGCCGACACATGTATATTGCTACGGTTAAAGTGTTTATAAATATACCCTATTTCACGAGTATCCATCACACTTTGACGTACACTGAGGTGAACAGCTGATGGGCAAGTGACATTTTTGTGTTAGTCTGCAATGGATCGGGTATAAATCCAGTAAAATCTGTTTGTGGAGTTTTATTTTTTGTATGCAAATTAACTTTTCTAAGTAAAATAAGAGCTTTTAGCAAGTACAAAATGAAAAACAAAACAAAATTTCTAATCTACTAATCATATTTTTTAGATCAATCGGTTTGTGGTTCTTGCTGGTCTTTCGGAACAATTGGTGCTATAGAAGGAGCCTACTTTTTGAAAAATGGAGGCAAACTAGTCAGACTTTCTCAACAAGCGCTCGTGGATTGCTCTTGGGGGTAAGTAATTTTATACAAGTCGTGGTCTTCATCATAAATTGAAATCCTGTTTTCAATGCTGTGGATGGGAGGATAAGTTAAAAATGTTGCCGACCAAAATTAATAAAGTTGGTAATAGGATTTTTTTATAGGTATGGTAACAACGGTTGCGATGGTGGGGAAGACTTCAGAGCTTACAGTTGGATCAAGAAGCATGGAGGAGTTCCTACTGAGGAAGCATATGGTCCATACCTAGGACAAGTAAGTAGTAAAGATGGTATTTTTGGATGAGTTAGTATAGTTAACGAAGCATATGACAGGAAAGTTAAAGAGGATTTTATTTTTTAGGATGGATATTGTCATGCTGATAAAGTACCAAAGGTAGCACCAATCAAAGGATGGGTCAACGTAACATCTAACGATGAAAATGCTCTGAGATTGGCAATTTTCAAACATGGACCAATTAGTGTGGCGATCGATGCAAGCCACAGGACTTTCAGTTTCTATTCAAACGGAGTCTATTATGAGCCAAAATGGTAAGAATGATTACCAGATAGGCAATTGAAACTAAACTAAAATTATCTGTGAATTTTATGAAATTTTAAACTAAAAATGTGAACAAAGTGCATTGTAGCAAAGTATTCTTAAATGTGAGAGGGTGAGGATAAAACGCGTTAAAACTGAAATTACGTTAGTCGAAGAAATCAATAAAAAAATAAGTATTGTTTTTTTTGTAGTGGAAACACAGTGGATGAGCTTGACCACGCTGTCCTGGCTGTAGGTTACGGAACACTCAACGGAAAAGATTACTGGTTGATCAAAAACAGTTGGTCCAACTATTGGGGCAATGATGGATATATCTTGATGGCAGCTAAAGATAATAACTGCGGAGTTATGACCACACCCACCTATGTAACAATGTAAAATGTAAAGTTTTGTCCAATTTGCTTAATGATTTTTTACATTTGTTGTGAATAACGATTAGCGATTAATAGAATTTTGTCATTTGTGATATATTAAACCATATACTCGTATGATGGAAATAATAAGTAATTTTTTGCAAAGTTTGTTATTTGTAAAAAATAAACAATTAATGATATCTAATAGTTTTATTAAATCCGGCACCTTCCCAGAAAACTGGAAATTTGCTCATGTCCAACCCATCCCAAAAAAGGGATCTAAGACCGACCCTTACAACTACAGGCCTATAGCTCTGCTTTCTGTTTTAAGTAAGGTGATGGAGAGGTGCATAAATCGCGAGCTTCTGGACTACCTCGAACGTCACGGCTTGATTAGCGACAGGCAGTATGGTTTCCGGCACCAACTATCCTCAGGGGACCTCCTAGCTTACGTCATTCAATTGTGGAGTAAACTCATCCAGTCTTATGGTGAGGCTCATGTCGTTGCTCTTGGCATCACGAAAGCATTCGATCAGCTGTGGCACGCTGCCCTCTTAAGCAAACTTTCATCCTATGGCCTCCCAGAAAAGCTTTGCAGATGGGTGGCTGACTTTATCTCTGGCCGCAAGATATCCGTCGTAATTGACGGGTTCTCCTCTTCATCCCACAACGTCAACGCGGGTGTTCCCCAGGGATCGGTCTTGGCTCCGACACTGTTTCTCTTACATATCAACGATCTCCTTTCCTGCACGATCAACCCAATCCACAGCTTCGCTGATGACAGTACTCTACATGCAGCAATTCAGAGTGACAAGCCAATCTCTGCCGCTGAGTTGGAAAAAAGAAGACTAGCGATGACTTCCTCTGTAACAAGAGTCCTGGAGGCTATCACTGCTTGGGGACGCAACAATCTTGTACAGTTCAATGCTTCCAAAACGCAGTACTGTACTTTGACGAACAAAAAGCGTCCCTGCGCTCACCCGTTTTCGATGGATGGTCGAGTTCTGCCAAAGAGCCATGCATTTCGGCTGGTCCGAGTCCAGATCACCGAGGACCTGATCTGTCACGAACACATCTCGTCAATAGCTGCAGCCGCTGGGAAAAAGCTAGGCTATTTGTTTAGGGCTAAGAAGTACTTTTCTCGCATGACCTTCTCACTCTATACAAGGCCCAGATAAGGCCTAGCCTCGAGTATTGCTCACACGTTTGGGGTGCTGCCGCCCCGACTACTCTACTACTCTAACAGACAGTCTCGGGACTCTTTCGCACCGGCGGGCTGTCGGCAATCTAGCTCTTTTCTACCGTTACACCAACGGGCTTTGCTCCTCAGAGCTCTCTTCCATGATGCCGCTGCGCGATGTGCCTGCCAGACAGACCCGCCTGACTTTGGCGTCCCACCCTAACCGTGTCGAACTTTGTACATCCTGAACCGGCCGATACGACCGCTCCTTTGTCCCGAGGGTGTCGAGATTGTGGAACAATCTACAGTTCGATTAACCTTAGGCAGTTCAAAAATCGTATTAATAAAATTTCTTTGGGATCATCATAGCAGCCGCGGTGTTCCGGCATTTAGGCTTCTGCCTGCACGGCTGCTTCGATGTAAAAAAAAATTAGTATATCAGTCAAATTTTCATAACATACAAATATTATTCGCTAGAAGCCTTTTGTACACGGTCCACGTAGTACCGTCGTTGCATATTCTCGGAAAAATATTCTGAAGGCAGTTTAGAACTTTTCTCTAACTCATCTTTTTCGAGATATAAGCGATTTAATATTTAAAAAAGTGCAAAATATCGTATTTAAAATCTTGAAGAACAATATGAAAAAACTAAAATTTTAATATTGCCGAAGTTATCTGGTATTCTTTAAACATCCTTTAACAAAATATTAAAGCATTTTATAGGGGACGTTGTTAGTGATGTTTTTAACAGAGTTTACACACTTTTCACAGTTCAACCCGAACTTAAACGCAACTTAAAGCGAGATTAGCGAGATGAAAGAAAACACTTGTTCACGCTTATGATGGTATATTGCAACTACTCTGACATTACAGAGTGACATGCACATAGTGGACAAACACAGTAGTAACGACATATGACACTAGATGTCGCTACTTTGACCAATTTTAAATATATAACAGCTACAGTAAACTTTTGGTATACTTATTCACAACACTCCCACTTAACAAAAGTTTACTAATGGTTCTCTAAAACCTTTTAAAATATCTGTCATGCACAACTTAACTTAAACCTAAACCCTTTACAAACTTTGAATTCTTAACATTTTGTAATGGTTTCGTTAAAACATCTGCAACCATTTCGTTAGTAGGTGTATACATTAATTTCACTTTACCTTCTAACACAATATCTCGCAAGAAATGGTACCTTATATCTATGTGCTTTGACCTATCATGGAACATTGGATTGCTAGCAAGCTTCTGAGCACTTTGATTATCATTATGAATCTCAATACAATCCAATTTTCCAGTTAACTCGCTCAACAAATTCCTCAGATATATGGCCTCTTTTGCTGCCTCGCTTAGAGCCATATACTCTGCCTCAGTTGTCGACAAAGCAACAGTACGTTGTTTACAGCTTTTCCATGAAACTGAACCCCCTGAATATTTAAATACATAACCAGTAAATGACTTTCTGTCTTGCTTATTGGACCCCCAATCTGCATCTGCAAAACCTGTCAAATTTAAATTATCCTTAAAAAATTTCATAGACAAGCTCTTTGTACCCTTTAAATAACGAAGTAAACGCTTTGCAGATTGCCAATGAACTTTAGTGTATGAGTTATTATACTGACTTAATAAGCTCACAGCATGAGAAATATCAGGTCTGGTCATTACCGAAAGGTACATTAAACTTCCAATAAGCTCTTGATATGGAACTTTTGGATCACAAATTTCACCACTGATATCGCTCAAGTTGATACTACTGTCAAGCGGAGTACTTACTACTTTGCTATCTGACATACCAAAACGACATAAAAGTTCATTAATATACAATTCTTGATCAATTGACAAACAATTTTTCGAATAATCCCTAGTAATTCTTATACCTAAACATTGTTTTGCCTCTCCTAAATTCTTAATTTTAAACTTTGAGTTTAAATGACCTTCAAGAAACTTCATTTCATTGTCATCAGACGAAAAACAGAAAAAATCGTCAACATAGAGAGCAACAATGGTTAACAAATTACTGTTATTCCTTTTAATGTACAAACAAGGCTCATATTTGGACTTAGAATAACCAATTTTTGACAAAACTTGGTCGACTTTTTCGTTCCAAGCACGACTAGATTGTTTTAATCCATAAACTGCTTTCTTCAATCTATACACTTTATTTTCTTTATCTTTAATGACAAAACCTTCAGGTTGCTGCATAAATACATTTTCTTTCAGAATACCATTCAAGAAAGCTGTTTTCACATCCAAGTGTAAAATTTTTAGATCTAGCCTAACAGACAAAGCAAGCAATAAACGAAAAGTTGAGTGCCTTACCACTGGGGCGAAGGTTTCAACATAGTCCACACCCTCTCTCTGTGTGAAACCTTTAGCCACAAGCCTAGCTCTATACCGGTTATGGCTTTCATTATCACTCTTCACTTTATATACCCACTTGCACTGCACCACTGTACCAACTTCTGGCGGATCTACTAATTCCCAAGTGTCATTATCGATAAATGACTGTATTTCTTCTGACATAGCTTCTTTCCACTTCTGCCCATCTGGCCTTGAAAGAGCCTCAGTCACTGATGTAGGGATACTCGAGTCATAGACTTCACCCTTGCTGTTAACACCTCCAAAATATGTCACAAAATCTTGAAAATTCTTCTTCTTGATCTGTCTTTGGGATCTTCTTGGAGTTACTTGTTCACCATTATCAAACAAGTCATGGCACTGACCTTCAGGCACATATTCATCATCATCCGAGAAGTATACATCATCTTCAGAAGATTCATCATCTGAATACATGGGATTCTGCTCTCCCACTGAATCTGGAACTTCCCTTTGCTTATCTGGAACACTATCCGGCAACACTGTACTTGGAATTTCCAAACTTGGTTTCTCTATGATTGTTACATCACGGCTTACTATGACTTTCCTTGTTCTGGGGTTAAAACACCTATATCCTTTGGTAGTTTCATCGTACCCAACAAGCACATGCTTCACTGACTTCTCGTCCCACTTGTTCCTACTGACCTTCGGAACATGAACCATGGCGGTACTCCCATATACCCTAAGATGACTAAGATTTGGTTTCTTACCTGTCCAAATCTCATATGGTGTCATTGAAAGCTTTGAACATGCTGAACGGTTTTTCAGGTAACAAGCAGTATTACACGCTTCCGCCCATAATGCCTTGGTCAAGCTCTCATCAAATAAAAGACACTTAGCCTTCTCCACAATGGTCCGGTTGAACCTCTCAGCCATCCCATTTTGCTGCGGAGTGTGACTGCTCGAAGTCTGGTGTATGATGCCTGAATTCTTTAAAAAACTATCCATTTCTCTATTACAGAATTCCCCACCATTATCGCTTCGCAAAATCTTAATCTTAACATTCTGTTGATTCTCAACTAATGATTTAAATTGCTTAAACTTATCAAAAGTTTCATCTTTTGTCTTCAGGAAATATATAAAGCACATTCTGCTGTAATCATCTATAAATGTCAGGAAATATTTAGCTCCACCAATAGATGTTGTTTCCATAGGACCACAAATGTCGCTATGAATGACCTCTAGCAGTTGCTGTGCTCGACTGCCTTCTTTGGGAAAAGGTAAACGGGCTTGCTTGCCCCTACAGCATACCTCACAACTCCCAATGCTTGTACCATTACAGATAAGACCATCAACCAACTTGGCTGTCTTATTCAGGTAGCTGTCATTAATGTGACCTAAACGTTGATGCCATAAATTGCTACTTACAGCTTGAAAACACACTGGCTCCTCACAAACGTTCAACTTGTAAACGTTGTTATGTAGACTAGCAGTAGCTACTGATACACCAACTTTATTGTAAATATTGCATCCCTCTTCATGAAAACTTACTCTATTTCCATTATTGATTAACTGGCCTACTGATAATAAGTTAGTTGTTAAACCAGGAATATACTGTACACCTTCTAGTAAAATCTTGTGCTGTTCATTGGTCATTGTTTTGATCTCAACATCACCTGCACATTCCACAACAACTTTCGATTTGTTAGCCATTACAATATCAGGTAAGTCAGGCTTTCTCCTGTTTTTTAACCACTGGCTATTGGCAGTTAAATGCTTGCTGGCACCACTATCAACATACCAATCTGTGACCTTAAAATCACCTGTTGTAAACACGGCACTAAATCCTCCTTCAAGTCTGTTATTGTTAGGGCATTTTGACATAAAATGTCCTGTCTTTTTGCACTTGTAACACACAATATTACTCAGATCCTTTTTATTATGTCCATTTCCAAAACCACTGTTTGAACTTGACCTCGATTGAACCCCGAAATCATCTGTGTTTGTTGACATTCCCGCTTGGCTAGCACCAGCTGATTTTCCTTTGAAATTCGTCCTACTAGCGCCACCTCGCGACTGTTTCCGAAAACTCGGTTTCTTGGCGGAGAATGCACCTGCATTTCCATTACCACTAGCGCCATCTGTCTGCATATCCAATAACTTGGTCTTTATTGAATCTGTGGTTATGCAGATTCCTGAGTGCTCGACGGCCATGATCATTGGTGCGTACTTGTCTGGAAGACCGGCCAGCAGCAATGATCCTACCCACTCCTCGTCTATTTTGAAACCTGTTCTGCGTAACTTTTGGGAAGTCTCAACAATCTGGTTTATGTACGACTCCATACTATCATGATTCTCTAATCTTGCCGATATGAGTGTACGTAAAAGTCCAATCTTTCGCATGAAACCACTGTCATCATATAAACGTTTGAGACTGGTCCATACTTCTTGTGCAGTCGTTAAATCTTTGACATGCGGGAACAAAGATGGATCGATGGTTAATACTAGCTTGGCCTTTGCTTTTGCTAGGGTCGTTGTGTCGGTCTCGGTACCTTCGATGCATTTGTTTAAGCCCTCTAGCACAAACACATTCTCGACGGCAAACGCCCATTCATCATAATTCTCACGGCCTAAAAGCCTTGGCACACTCGTCAGGTAGTTGACGGCCATATTTGTTCTGTGAGAAACACTTGCGTCACGACAGTTTCTTTCAACGTCTCGATTCACTAAAGTTTCGCTGCTGGGTGTCCTACTGTGGGTCTGGGCCCATAACCTGATGTTTTTAACAGAGTTTACACACTTTTCACAGTTCAACCCGAACTTAAACGCAACTTAAAGCGAGATTAGCGAGATGAAAGAAAACACTTGTTCACGCTTATGATGGTATATTGCAACTACTCTGACATTACAGAGTGACATGCACATAGTGGACAAACACAGTAGTAACGACATATGACACTAGATGTCGCTACTTTGACCAATTTTAAATATATAACAGCTACAGTAAACTTTTGGTATACTTATTCACAACAGTTAGTTGTTATAAACCTTTGTTTTTTAATTGGTAACCATGCGCACACGCGCTCATTGTATACTCTGGTTTAGTACGAGAGAGGTGCAGGCAGCCGCCCGCATATTACTCCGCAGAATATATACATTGATCGCGCGCTTGATCAACAAGTTAAATCGAAGAATAACGTGTAGGAACATTGGCAATATTGAAATCAATTTTTGGAATTTTTAAAAAAAAACTGTTCAACCAATTTTCGATGCAATTTTGGCCTGACAACATGCAGAATCCTTTTAGAACCAGAGTATGCAAAAAAATCAGAATCAGAATACTCTTCCAATCAGGCGCGAAGATACTATAGTTGTAGTCACCGTTCTTAGCGGGTCAAAGTAAGACTACCAGTATCCCTTTATATATCTCCATCTCTCTCATGCATACACATGCAACCTACCCCTGTGTGTGAACGTTCGTTCGGTAAGCTCGAGGACATACGTTTTTTAGCTGTGTGTCTCCGTCTCGAAAACTTTCTCGTTACGTATGAGTGCCCTTCAATCATAATCATCAGAGTGACAACTTACTTGACATCGGCATGCAATTTGGGTTGTCCTGTTATCAATCTTCAATATAAAATTGCACAATGCCCGGAAATACGATGAATGGAGAAGGCCGACAGCTCGTGCTAAATGTATTAGAGTATTTCCAGGAAGAGAATTAAAACAGCGGTCCTCTATTACCCACTTCATGCGTTCTGGAGAGAGTAGCAGATGCGCTGAAGATTAGTCTGCGCCCATGGTACGGAGACTCGTTCTGTTTACTTATTTCATATGTCGTTGATGACGTAACCGCCAAGAACGTTGACTACAACTATAATCAACTTTCTTTCACGAGTAACAACTATACCCAGACTCTTAAAGAATCGAAACTCTTTTTGGTACACATAGTAAACGCCTAAAAAAAATGAATACTGACCTGTTTTTTTCGTCGCTGAGTGGGCGCCCAAGGACGATGCTGTCAATTGTCAAACCGTGAAATAAGCAATGAACTGTCAGTGTTGACAGTTCATTGGAAAGAAATAAGTCAACCTGAGCATAACCTCACTTTTGTATTTGAATCCAAAGATTTTTTGACAAATAAGTAGAGTTTAAATGATTTGTTGAAGTTCAAGCTATAACCCAATAATGGACGACTTTACATGTCCAAGATGCAGGACATCAAAATTCCAAAATCCATCGCTAAAAATGATGGTAAACGTTTGTGGACATGGCCTATGCGAAAGTTGTGTAGACTTGCTTTTCCTGAAGGGCTCTGGGAGTTGTCCTGAATGTAAAATACCTCTACGAAGGAACAACTTTCGCGTACAGCTATTCGAAGATGCAGCAGTTGAGAAAGAAGTCGATATTAGGAAACGTGTGTTAAGAGATTTCAATAAAAAGGAGGAAGACTTTGCTACCTTAAAGGAATATAATGATTACCTAGAGGAAGTAGAGTCCATAATATATAACCTAAGCAATAATATTGATGTTGTTAACACTAACAAAAGAATAGAACAATACAAGAGGGACAACAAAGAGCAAATTATGAAAAACAAAGGCAAACTCGGCAGAGAGGAATATGAACTAGAGGAATTGTTAGAATTAGAAAAGCAGCTAGAAGAACAACGAAAAAAAGAGATCCAAATGGAGGAGATAGAAACAAAAAAGAAGAAGATTCAAGATAAAGAAGCTCTCATAGATGAGCTGATGTTTTCAAATGCAGATGCAAAGAATATCATAGAAACCTTTGCTCAACAGGCTCAGCAAGCAAAAGAAGAAAGTGTTGACAAATTACCCAGTCGAGCTACAAAGTTTTCCACTGGTATACAAATTGGTCAAAGATCAAATACTACATTCTTGCCAGTACCTACAGATGAAGGACCTTTGTATACTTATAAACCAATAATACTCTCTGTGGATGGGCCTAAGCCTCCTACAACTGATGAAATACTCTCTAAAGGGTTTATTAATCATGTAAGGCCAGAAACTGAGCAAGGAAGGGCTGGAGGATTCAGATCTATTATTGCATGTTCAAGAGCTCTGCAAGATTCAATGTCTGGACTTTTTCATAGCAAAAAGAGTTCAACTGTTCATTAGTAAAGTACTGTATGATGTATATATAATGTTATTAATTTATTGTACTATTAAGCATTACTTGATTAACTAAATGATTCAATGTTATGAAACTACATATTTGTTTTTTTTTATTTATACCTCAAATTCAATGCCATAACACTTCATTATTTTTTTTATGATCCTAAACACATCAACAACCCAAACTACCAAAGGGCACCCAGTGGTGGATTAATAAGAGTATCAAATGCTATGAGCCTTGTGCATCAATGCTTTATGAAAGTGCCCCACCTGGGGCAGAGAGCTCTTTCAATTACTTACATCCATCCATCACTTTTAGAAGCACTTATGCAGTTGCTACTTCCACTGCTCAATTTTTAATCACCAATAACTTCATTTTCGTTGTTCTGACTGGTTTAATCTAACACTGAGGGCACCAAGTTTCATCCACTTGTGATGATGGATATGGAAATTTTGACTTCTCCAATATGTTCAGGTTTCCTACAAGCATTGACTAACATATTCCACCTGTAACAACTGAGCCGGAAATTTTATTTTTTTATGAGATTTTTTAAAACCACTGCGTATCTATGACCCGAACAAACGAGATTCCCGTCAAAAAATTATAGTGGTTACTTAGTTCTGTCGACAACACGGCTGATTACAGCTGTCGTCCCTCAGGGTTCGGTCCTGGTACCAATCCTGTACTCACTGTACATCCATGACGTCCCTAGTCCCAGCAACTGTGAATTCGTGGTCTGATGACGTAGAGTGGGCGTATCGGTGGCTGATAAAAATTAACCATTCGAAAACGGATTCAATCTATTGTACAAAAAGACGTCGCGGGGCTCCGTCTGAAGTTTCAATGAATGGAGTTCGTATACCATGGGAAGCTCCGCTAACTATCTCGGTGTCTTTCTTGACAAAGGGATAACTTGGCGGAATCATATTGAAGCGTTAAAAACTAAATTCCAAATTACGTTTCGACAGCTTTACCCATTATTAAGTGAACGTTCTAAATTGAGTTTGATTAACAAGATTCGGCTCTATAAGGTAGTCATAAGACCAGCAATAACATACGCATGTGCGGTTTGGTGTTTTATCGCCAAAATACACTTACGAAATCTGCAGCTTCTGCAAAGCAGAACGTTGCGCACTATTACTGTCGCCCCATGGTAAGTCTCTAACGAAACTCTTCACAGAGACCTCGATGTCCCTTACCTAGGGGACTACATTAAAAACAGGCGCTACACAGTCGAGGAAGTTCGCAAGCACAAAAGGCCGCAGCTCACACTGTAATCAAAATTAATTCGTGACCTAAGAACAACCAAAATTGGAGCATTTTGGCAAAATCCTTAGAAAAATCAAATATTTTTAGACCATATCAAAATCTGTCCAGTAATTTTAACAATGCCTAAACCCTCCCTGTCCTAAAACATTATCTTCTCCCTCTTTGCTCTCGTTCTTCTTTCTCTCATTTCCTTCTCTTTTTTCATTAAAATTGTCTGGTTTCTGAGTTACCTGACCTGACAAACTTACAAACTGACACTATGACTCAAGAGCTAAGGTCCCACGAACCGCTCTGACAACCAACGATGCCTTGACCTAGAATGACTTTATCAAGAGTTGGGTCATTTTTCTCATAATCGATACGATTTTGTTCTCTGGGGCCCTCCTGAACATAACTTTGAAAAAAGTTTTACTTTTTGCAACGGAGCCGCCTTTTCCGGCTATCTGTAAAGGAAACTGGTGGAAGCAAAACCGATCAAAGACAAGACATTAAGATATTTATTAATAAATTGTAATTAGTGTGAACACACTTTATCAAAGACACAAATCAAAAAATATAGCACCATATCAGATACAGACATCTGATCAACATACATTCAGATTACATTTTTATATAGTTTAACAATATTTTTTGTAATATTAGGATTTATTTGACAAGAACCGAGACACTTGCATTCGGCAGACAGAGCTCAGTAGCGGAAACACTCTTGTAATTGGTAGATGTTAAAAGTTCTCGGTCATTATACAACAATCAAGTGAGCGCAGCTCAATGGTTGTGAACTAGTCTGCAGCAATGTATTTTTGTAATGTTATTCCTTGCTAATTTTAATCATTTATTGTCTATATGTGGATGAATAATGAATGAAGAATTTGTCAAACAGATCCTAATTTTATTTTGTACTGTACACGAACATAATCATGCATTACACATAGATGTGGATACGGTACATAAGCGTTTAAATATACACGTTTAAGGCAAAGTAATTTTGAATGTATTGTTTCATACAAAATAGAGTATAAAAGCTGGTAGATTTACTAAAATACACAATATTTTTGATACATACTTCCTTTCAGCCTTTGAAACCATTTAACATTTAGTTTATAAACATGGTCGAAGCTAAATAGCTCATTTCTTCTGTAAGGATTGTATGCTAGAAGTTTCAACAAGTACATAAATACAATCCAGTTACTTTTTCAATCTCCTTTAATCGGTTATGAGTATCTCGCAGAACATTTTTTTTGTGTTTCAACATGTTCTAACTATTACGCACTAAATATATTCCAAAAATAACAATTTTAATCAATTAAAGCATTAATTCATTCGTTAAGTAATTAATTGACATTATTAAAACTTTCTCATAATTCTATGTTGCTAATTTCAACTTGTGAACACGCGCCACATAAAAGGTATCTCAACAAGAACAGCTATGTAATTTGGACTTTGGAGATCACAAATTCAAATTTTATTGAAGAAAATTGAGTTTATTATGCGCACATAGCATGTACAACAAATGTCATGCTTTTACATATGGTAGCATTTACAAAGTGGCTGTGCTTGGACATTGTAGAGAACCCTATGTAAATTAATAGTACAATAAAAGCTGTCATGGTATAATAGTAAACTATGATGATTCTTCTTGTACACATCTGACAATAGATACACAAGAAATATACTCTGATGAAGCAGAATACAAAGTCCAGGAAAGTAAACTTTCAAGTCATGATTATTTTGAAAATACTTAGTAATTGAAAGTTATTTTATTTTGTCTTGAGGCCTTACAATTTATAACAGACAAAGCCTTGATGCACTGTTGTGCAAAGGACTATACTATGAAATTAATAATGCAACAATACCACTAACTGTGACAGCTTGAATTGCATCATAAAAAAATCTGGTGATCCAACAAGAAACTAGGCCACTAAATATATAAGCTGCAATTTGCAAAAGTATTTTCCATTTTTAGCAATCTAATAGCTTCATTCTATAACACATAAGCAATAGAGATCGTAACGGTAAAAACATACATAAACTAATAATCCAATACAGAGACTTTATAAGCATTTTCTGTGTAATTGATCCACAGATCAACAAATTTATTTAAAGGAAAAAGAATGTCCAATTTTGAGATGGAATTCATTTTGGTAAGAGCTGCACGAGAAAATGCTCAATAAGTATCCCTCTACAGCTAGAAATAACAGAAATCCACAGATAAATAAAATGTATGTCAGTAATTTCTGTGTATATTGATTATATGAACATTCATATATAATATTTCGTCGCCGGACGAATGCAAAACGCATTAGGACATAGAATATTCCATACACAAAAATTCGGTGTGATATAGTTCCGAAATTTCAAATTTCCAGCATTGTGTAATGGACAAAATCCAGTATATATATAGGTGTTCTAGGAATAGACTGAACACTTAAAAATACAAATTAGGTTTGAGCATCCACATTATACCAATAAATACTAATGAACACTTTATGCACCATTTATATGGAATGCACATTAGTTATTTTGGATGGTAGAAATGGTGCATATAACTTAATTTTATAGGCAGTATTTTGCTATTGAAAAAACATGTCTTCAGACTAACATACAAAGCAATCTACATATTTATCTGTTCAGTCTGTCCCCATATGTCACAAAAGACAGATAAGAATAACACCTCGAAAAAATTACGTATAAAAAATAAAACTAGGTGATTTGCTATCCTTAATATATGTACAAAAAGCTGAAAATCATCTGGCTTGGGTAGAATCACAAAAATGGGATGAAATAAGTATTTTCCCATTGATATTTTATCATCAACATTTTACTATAACTTAACAGTCGCACGGAGCAGTATGAAAATATATCCAAAAGTGACTTTTTATATAGACATCAAAATCACAATATAGTGATTTGGTGTGAATCACTTAGCAGAAAGCTACATGTATGTTAAATATAAGAGGTAGGATATTTCTGCCAAATTCTGATTATGAAAGACAAACATTGTCAAGATATTATGATAAGCCTTCAGTTCAAAGGAGGGGAAAAGTTCGATAATTTTTGATTTTTGGTATATTTGTTATATTCGAAAGATAAATTACCTGAGAAACAAGTATAAAGTCTGCATGTAGCTTATAGAACAGTCTTAAAGCTGCGTAATATAAAATGAAAGTGCCTTTCTAACAGGTGAAGCAAAAAATCGTTGAATTGATATAAAAAATGATGGGGTATTTTCCAAAAAAAAATTTACAGTATACCAATATTTATCTCTAAACAGTATATTCTAAGTATTTTCACTTTTCTCTTTTAAACACATGAATTCGCGTTCAACACATAAATCTTAAATACGTTTTTCAGAACACACTAGTGAAATTAGAAAAGAAAAAGTACAACGAATTTCAAAAATGCTTGTAAACAATGTGTATCAGCAATTAAAAATGCAATTTTGGTGTGGAAAACACCCCATTATATTTTTTATTTTTTTTTTAGGAAAATGTAGATATTACAGCATGGCCTTGTTTGCTTTTTCCAAATATCAGGCATCATAGAAATAAGGCCAATGATATGTACTAAAAGCATCACACCAGTCACTTTTGTGTACAGGTGATGTTTGTATCAACAGTCCATGTATCTACAGAAAAACAACTTTAAAGAATGCTACATTTTTTCTTACTCCTTTTAATGTAGTTTGGTTTCAGTGGGGTCGCTCAGACAGCTGAAATTTTCTGACTACCCTAACCAACTCATAAAATGCATTATCAACGTTCATCCTCATTTTAGCGCTTGCATTCTATGTATGGTATCTTCAGCTGCCTGGCTAATTGTTGGGCTTCCTCTTGCCATACAACTCTCTGATGCTCTAAATCTACCTATAAGATGATTTAGTTGGTTTACTTCCAACTCTAATAGATGAGGAAGACATCACTCGTGAAATAATCCACCTATTTCTATACAGCGAAAACCAAGTTTGACTGATGGCTTGTGTTCAAAGAAGGAGATCTGTTCGAACATTAATTTAATCTTTTGTTTTAATTTTCAACACTGCCCGCGTGTGCGCAGAAAAAAACCATTTTGACGCAGGACGCTGGATTAGTACTGACCAAAATCGCTCCACTATGAATTATGGAGGTGGGTACCTTGAGTTAGATTGTACATGATGCGGTGTTGTCAAACGAATCAATGATACAATGTTGCAGAATTTGTGGCAATCCTGACCTTTCCTTTCCACCTAAAATGGGGCGCCGTTAGGAACCGATCGGGAATCAATCCAAAACAGATTCGACACAATTCGCATTCCAAGAATGTGTACGCTCAGGCCAACGCGGTGAAAGCTTCGCTATCCAGGCAGCTTCCATCTCTTTTTAACATATGTGTCTATACACACTTATGTCTCATACACATTGAACGCAAGCCGTAAGATAAATTTGGTTCTCAGTGTATAGGGAAAATATTATTCGTGAAATAATACACTATTTCTATATATAAAAGCGAAAAAAAACCACACACTCACTGATAATCATAGAATCTCCAAAAATATTTGACCAAGGATCATGAAATTTGGCATGGAGATAATTTATTGAAAGGGCATGATAGATAAGAACGGACTTTGCGATTGGGCTGGTAAGAGGGCTGAGGGTGTTCTCAATTTTTTTTATGAAAGTTCTCTGTTTTTTTTTCTACTAGGGATCTGAATTCTGCCAAGGAGGGTATTTTATGTATACCGGATATCAGCTAAGAACAGATTTTGCGCCAGAGTTATTCACAAGTTTGTATTGAAGTATTTTGTTTTTTCTACTAGATACCTAAAAGTTTACTGGGAGAAATTTTATAAGCAGCAGATGTCACTTCAGAAAGAATTTTGTAACATTGTCGGATTAGGTTTATATTTTAGACATCAGTTGCGAATGAATTTTCCGAAAGAGCCCGATTGCGAGTGAATCAGCCGCCTCAGAGCTTAGTGTCCATAGGGACGCAAATTCTCAATTACTATCGGGAGAGGGCGCTTATTTTATGCTTTGTCTCCGGGCGCACAGAACTCTGAAGCGGACCCTGGCGATGGGTTTTCCAATTTTCCATGAATGTCCTTTGTTTTTTCTACTATAAACCTAAAATTTGGCAAGAATGTATTTTAAGAAGTGCATTCAGAAGTTTGTATGAAAATCCTTTGTTTTTCACTGGATGGCTAGAATTTTATAGGTAGATGTCTGTTAACTATGGATTTTGCAATAGAGCCGGATTAACAGGGATAAAGGGCACTTGCAAACTGTTTGAAATTTCTTGAAGTTTTCTGCCATATATGTACCTAAACATTGAAAATAATGATATTGTTTAGAGTGGATTAAGTTAAAAATGGATTTTGTGAAAAGTCCGAAATCAGGACTCTAATGTGTAACAATTTTGTACCTATTAGCTTTCCGTCCCGCGATTTTACCCACAGAAGGTATAGGTGCCAATCACTATATATCAACTATTGTGCATTTCATGAAAATGAGACATTTTTCTATTATAAAAAATAGCCTATATATATATATGTTACGTGTCTTAATCTACATGTATGCTAAAGTTCATTGTAACAAACACAAACATAATATCATCTAAAGAAAGGTAAACACATAATCTTTTATGTTGACTTAGACCAACTGCAGAAGCTTAATTTGCTTTTTGTCATTGTAACTATGACACTTTGATCTAAAGGTGAATAAAACCAAGAAATACGCAATCGGAAGTTGTAGCATCACTTAGCTTTACGTTACAATTTCAGCCCGTACGAGGTTTATAAATCACCATAACGTTTAAAAGCTTTTCGTTTTTTCCATAATTTGCCTCATCTATAACTTGAATAGTCCATTCAAAGTGTAATGGTTAAAGATTAAGACATTTCAAGGGCATGCAATGATCTGAAAATAACGGGTATTGATGTGGAGTTTTTAAAGGTATCCCAAGAGCTCCATCCCTTTGACCAATATAATGAGCTATTGAATTATTAAACTTTCTGATAAAGACATTTGATATCTCTTATAATCCTTATCAAAATAATGCACCTTATATTTTGTTTTCTGAACTCCATATTCAGCACTTATTTTTTTGCAAGTAGGATTCCTTTATGCCTACCTTAAGAGTTCAGCTAAACCAATAAGAAGGACTAAGATTTAGATTTTCTTGTGCCCTTACTAAGAACTGAGCTTTGGCAACACTAGTACTCTTTTTCTCTGTTATCATCAGCACAACTTTTTTTTATAAATTCCAGGGTGAATTTTAACTTTCATCAACAATGTATAATTGATCACAAATAATAGAAGAATATTAATTAAAGGTATGTAATAAATAACAGGCAGCCACAAACAATAAAATCTTAAACAATTAGTCCTATGATTTACTAGCAACACTATTATGTTGAATATGCATGAATGATATGTCTGAGTCTCCTACCTTATTCCCAACCATGAGCATAGGGAACTCATCTCTATCCTTAACTCTTAATATTTGCCTATGGAATTTGTTATTTCATCAAAGCTGGATCTTTCTGTTACTGAAAACACAAGTAGAAACCCTTCTCCAGACCTCATATATTGCTCCCTCATAGCACTGAATTTTCTTGTCCAGCAGTGTCCAAAACTTGAAAGCAATGATAAATGAAATGAATCAACCTATTATGTATTTCACAGTTTACGAGGGATGTCTTTTAAGTTTTGCATATGGAATTAAAACAACACGGTAGGTAGTTTTAAATGACTTTATTGTCTTTCGAAGTATTCTCCTACAAAGATTAATACACATCTCTATGCGCTTTTTTAAGTTTCCGGAATTGAAACGGTCAAGCGTTTTTTGACACCAATTAACCCTGACTGCTTTCTGCTCTTCAGTCAACAGGTGGGGTATCCAACGAGAAACTGATTTTCTTACTCCTAATTCTTCAAGTGAAATTTTTTGAATTGAGGTCTTTGAGATCTTCAAGGACGCCTCAACCTCGCCATATGTCACAGGTCTATCTTCAATGATGAGTTTGCGCACAGCATCGTCGTTTTCCTGGGTGACTGCCGTTTTTGGTGCACCCACCCTGGGATCGTCGCTAAGACTCACCCGTCCACGTTTGAATTCTCCATACCAACGGAAAATTGTCGACTGATGTGGCGCTTCATTGCCGAAAACAGACAGTAACTCAGCAAGGCATTCTTGTTGCGATAATTTAAATTATGGCGCGAAAATATTCTCGGTCATTTTTCTAATGACTTGGTGACACTTAAAAATTCACTGTAGTGAGAACACTGCACGTATCGTTGTGAAACTTTGAAGTTAAGATTCAGTACTGACGTTCGATCCGCGCGGCTTACTATGTTTCCATATGCAGAACTTAAAAGACATCCCTCGTACTAGTGAAAATCAACTACATTAGAAAGTATCGAATATCATTATATGGAATTTATTTTGCTAATGGATAACACGTTTCTAGGTATAATAAAATAAAGTCGGGTGTGGACACGTTGACTGCAGGATGGCTATATAAGTCATAAAATAATACATTCTGGAAAAACTCTTATCATGGAACAATATTAAAAAAATCGCTTCAAGTAGCTTGACCGCGCACTTCCTACGCAATGCTGTCATTAATTCATAAGGGATTATATTCGGCACAAGTTAGTCCCTCTTAAAAAACATTGGCTACGAATATGTATAACGAAAGAATTAAATGGATCATATGATCAGATAGACGGAAATAACAAAAAACATAATATCCCAGTTTCTAAATTCTTTCGCGATTACTATACTTCCTCGCCTAGTGAAAAAATACCTCTGCACATTCTTCCCAAACATAATCACTTTTATTCAAGAAAACGAACTATTAATAATGCAATATGTAAATATAGGCTTCTAAAAGCTGGGAAGGAATGTGATGATGCTTGCATCAACATGAAAGAAAATTTCTATGACCTGTGTTTGTAAATAAATATTATAGCAAATTTTTGTTTTACTAAAAGCCTTATGGTTTTCAAAAATTTCACAGTTGCCCCCTTTCCTTTCAGTTTCCAGACCGAGTGGCAGTGATGTAATGTAAAGTATTGTAATCGCAAAAATTTTCGAGAATAAGATTTGTTTTTTGAATGTTGTTATATGACATGTACATCACAGCAAACCATGTCACTCATTTCCGTCAGTCTGTCCAGTAATCTTATAAACACCTAGAACCTGAGAAGTACTGCTCAAATTTTGATGAAATTTTTACAGTGTCACTCTATGCCTAGGATGCAAAAGCTTGACAGTTTTTGAAATTCAGTCCAGTGGTGGCGCAGCTAGGGGCAAACACATGAAAAAAATACAGCTGTTCAAACTTCGTTTTTGATGTTTCAGAGGCACCTGATCATTTTCAGAAAAAAATTTGTAACTTTAAAATCAGGAGTTGGCGGTTGTAGGGTGTGGGGAACCCCACTAATTTTACGCACCTATAAGTCCATGTTTCACACATCGTAGATTTCCCCTAAGATTTGCACTTGAAGCTTTGAGAAATATTTGTATATGTGACACGCGACTGCATCGCCGATTCTCTTGAGTTACTGTACTAGTGTGGTTTAGCGCTGTTGTCAGATGGTAGATACTTAGAGGAGGAAAGAAACTAGCATCACCACCATCAAACAGATGTGGACTTTGGAGTATGGACTAATTGCATGTTTGGCTGGCTAAATCCAGTCAATTTTTCTATTGTACATATTGGTCACTAGTTCAGGGGGACTTACTTGTGCCAAACATAATCATTTAAGAACTGATGATAATGATACCTAGGGGGTGCAAAGTCAACCTACTTTTTATTCATTGAAAAACCTGAATTCTAATCATAAATAATAGTTTTCAGTGGATTCCATTCAGTCCCCAACAAGGTGAGAAAATACTTTTTGAACAGTGTTCTTTTTCATACTAGCACATGTAAACATAGGGATATCTCAAGAACAAACATGAAAACTTTGCAAAAACATTTGTCATCACAGTACACTGGCCATAAGAAAATAAGCATTTCTATGAATTGTAAGGTATATAGGCATTGAACTTAAGCACTACCTTAAATTTAAGGATATCCTTATCAGATACTCCTATAATATTATACAAATCATTGTCAAGTCAAACAAATAAAATCATCACACTCTTTTGTTTAATTTTTCACTAAATTTAACCTGTGATAAGTATTAATTCCCTTCTTTATTAGATATCAATAATTATTAGTAATACAAAGGTATAATTATACTATGTACCAATTTCATGCAAAAGATGAAATAACATCACCTGTGGAAGGTGAATAATCAAGAATTCTTTGGTGCAATTTAGTGCTATAATTTGAAT